AGTTCCATAGACTCATCGATGTTCGGCAAATCTGCCGTGTGAGATGTCCTCACTTGAGTTTCGATCGCTAGAACGACGAGTGTCTCTGATATGCCTCTGACCGCTCGGCCGGGTCAGACACTGACGTTGCGGCTCGTCCCTGCAGCCTCAAACCACCACGACTACGCCCTCCCTGCTTGAAACGACAGACTGTCTGCACTTACGTGCCGCACTTTAAGAAACGCGATATCAAAGACATGAACCAAGGCGCGCAATCTCCAAAACGCCCGAACGCCCGAACGCCCGAACGCCTTTGATGCCATCTACATATGGAACACAGCCCTCCTTGGCGACCCCTTGCTTCCGTAATATTTCAACAGCCGCAACGTTGGGATGGTGGCCAGTGATGACGTCGACGAGGTCGCTATCATGGGCTTTGCAATCCTCACAAGATATCAATTTTGATCACATCGATGATCACCTCAAGATCGTGATGCTTTCTCGTACATGTAAAGCAAGGGAGCCTGTATAGCATCATCTACAGCAAGCCATCATTCTCACCAGGAAGTCGCTTCACACGCTTCTGTTCCCAGTCATCCAAGTCCTTGCCAGCAAGCCTCTGTTACCAATATGTTAGTCACTCAAATCACAAACGGCATTCTTCCCATCATTCCGAGCTGTGCACGACGTACGTAGTATTCCTCCTTCATGTCCACCTTTCTTGCAGATCGACGCACGTTGAGCTCCTCGTCCTTGGTCATCTGGCGAACCTTGCGGTCGTAGCGTTCATAGCGGACGGCAGTGGCTGGCGTGAGGACGAAGGAGCTAGCAACGATGACGGTGAGGAAGGGCAGGCCGAACATGAGGAATGGGTGCTTGTTCATGAGGTTGCGATACCGCATGCCGATCCTGTTCATGTCGGCCGTGGACCGGAACTTTTTGTTTTGAAACGCCGGCATCGTGGGTCGATATCGGTCGCAATCTGCTGGTCGGTAGGGCCGATGGGTTTGGAGGGGAGAGTCGGGAGCTCCGGGTACTAATCGGGGCTGTCAGAGGTTGAGCGAAGCAAAGCTTTGAATGGTGGCAGAAATATTTCTTTGGTGGCGGCGATGACTGTGGAGATGTTTATTGTGGCTACAGCAGAATTGATTCTCGTCTGACGTGGTTCGGTCTGAGCGAAGTGTGGAGAGAAGGGTTTTTAGATAATTGACCAAAGGAGGAGTCTTGATTTGATTGAGAGTGAAGTTCAATTGAATGAACCGACTCCATCATCAACATCCCCACTTTTGCCGCTCCAAACGACTCATGGCTTGTGCGCGTTTACTTTTTTTCCGTACCGAAACATATTTCCAACTGTTTGGTCCCGAGGTGAAATTCAGGGTCCATTTTCATGCTCCACCGTCGACTGTTTCGAACTTCATTCATTGCAATTGCGGCCAACCTGGGGTCTTTCATTTGCCACTAGTTATGGCAAAATTTCTTTTCAGCCTCATATTCAGCAATTCAAGGGCTCAATTGTCTTCATGTACCGTCTTGTACCACGCCAAACGACGTGTACGAGCGTCTGAGCTCTTGGAAGCAGCCCCATCCATGTCTTGGAAATAAGACGACTCCATCATGCAAATGGTCCTTGGAAAGTGTCAGGCATATCCTGGGGAACTAGCCACATCTCGAAGCCGGCTCGGGCTCCGTGAAGTCCCTTCACGATGCTTTATATTAAGCAAGACAGCCCGTGCTTCTTGACCTAAACCTGCAACGTTTCTGCGGGTTCCGAGACGTTTTCGACTATTGTTCCATTTTGCTTCTAGTCGATGTCTGACTGGAGCCAGTGGAGTCGATTACTTTGCTTTCTCAAAGCCTGGACCTTGTTTGTTGGGAAAGACTAGCGAAACAATTGAACACTGGACTGGCAATGCCTGGACTTTAGCCTAACAGTCCGGAGATTTGATGTCTTTGGGTCAATGGTGTTGTCGAATTATGCGAAAAGTATTTCATTTGACCGTTTGCCTTGGCCCTTTCTACACAACAAAGGCTCCTTGTGCTATCGCCTGTCTAGTGTTACCTGGCGTTGCATAGCACAACACACTTGCAGTTATACTCAACACCACACCGTGTCTCCATAAAGCGGTTTCCCTTTCGTAATGGGCATGAATGTTGAGAGTTGGCCATATGCTTAGTCGATGAGCCTTATTGTATAACTGACTCTGGATAAACCGTCTTGTCGTTGCAATTCTTCGAGCTGGTGCCAGTATTTACCAATGATAACTCGACTGGCTTTCATAAACAAGACATTATTTTGAATGCGACTAAAACGGCTGCGACCACTACTTGAGGTGATCTATGAGGTTTGAGGTTACCTCAGCAAGGTGCCTTGTAAGAACGAAGGATCTATGCATCCCTCTGAAGGTCAGCTCATGAAAGAGCCTGACCTCAATGAAGAACGCGATAGACAGTGACCATACTCTTTCTCATGTTTGGGAATAACGATCAGGGTCAGGATATTAACAATCCATGGCCAACAAGACTTCAGTGAAAACTTGAAGAACGTGGCTCGTTTGAGGAAATCTCGTACACAGAGTGCCGCAGTGCTTGGAATGATGAGCATCATATTCATACCAGATTTAGCCCAGCCGAGCTGCCTTTGCAGTTTATCCTAAACCATATCCCATTATAAAATCCATTGTCGTTACCATATACACATACAAAACGCCCAAACATAAAACGAGGTAGCTTACCACATCCTGCGTTGGTAGTAAAGCCCATCCTCAGCCTGCGCTGACTTTTGAAGCTCCTGCTTGATCATTTTTCTTCTCTTCGCCTTGCTGACGGGTTTGTGGTTCGCGACCGGAGCTTCGACATGGCCTTCAGGCGTCGACATCTTGTCCACCACCTTGGCTTGCAGATGCTTTATAATCTCAATGTTTCTCTGCAACGTAGCATCTCCCTCAATGTCCACCATGGGTTTTGATTCCTTGATCTCTACTAACAGACGTTGTCGTCGGACTTCGATATCGGCTTCTGTGTCTATGTCGATGACACGGCCATCTTCAAGCTCCTTTGTGCGCACCTGGAACTTCTCTGGAAGATAAACCTTTGGCGATGGACGTGTTTCAGCGCGCGGTTTGATTGCCGAGCGGAGCTGGCTGACAGTCCTTTGCTGTATGATGTACCCGCTGATGAAGAGTGCAACTGTGCAGCTCACCACTGTGAGTTTGAATGTCTTATCAGTATCGGATTCTCTGGAATGCAGAGGGCGGTGAATGTCTCTTACCCACGAAGCAGGATGCGATGACTTGCACCTGGCTTGAAGTGAGAAGCATCCGAGCCATGATGAATTATAAAATTGATATATGAGACCAGCCGATTTATGAATTGATATGAAGAACACAATCAAACGGTTCAGAATATAGTTTCAAGCCTAGCTCGAAGGTGGTTGAGAGACCATTATTTACTCTGTTGGCACGACAACGCGGCTTATCAGCTTATCGCTCTCAAGCTTTCGACACTTTCGTATCCAAGCTTTAAACCAGCCCCCACCATCACCAACTAACAAGAATTGACAATTCTTTGCGACAATCACACAACATGAGTAGAGATAAGGATACAGTCCACGCAGATGCGCGGCGCTTCCTCGATGAGCGTGGCTCCAATATTTCGGTCGCGCCAAACGGCCTCAACCCTGCGACTATCATGGAAAAGGCCGTCAGGGACCGCATCGTCGACTCGATATATTACAAAATGCAATGCTTTGCGTGCAACGAAGCCGATATTGTCGATCGCGTTGTCGAGGATGTCAAGTTTATTGGAGGTACATATGGCACCACACAAGTACCCAGTCCGTTTTTGTGCCTCGCCTTCAAGCTTCTCGAGCTTTCGCCTAGCGACGCGGTATTACTGGAATATCTCAAATTCGGCGGTGAAGCCTTCAAATATCTGCGCGCACTTGCGTGTTTCTACTTCCGACTCACACGGCAAGCAAAGAATGTTTACGAGATGCTGGAACCGTTTCTCGAGGATAGGCGCAAACTGAGACGGAGAGGAAGGGAAGGTGTAAAGTTGTCATACATGGACGAATTCGTGGACGAGCTCTTGACAAAGGAGCGTGTATGCGGTACGAGTCTGTGGAAAATGCCAAAGCGGGAGGTTCTAGAGGACCTAGAGATTCTGGAGCCAAGGGTCAGCCCTCTTGGCGACCTTGAGGATCTTCTCGAGGAGGAGGACGAAGCAGAGAAAGAGAATGGAACGAGGGAAGAATCTGGGGAAATCTCAGAAGGAGACGTTATGGAGGTTGACCGCGGCGAGCGAAGAAGAAGCCCAACCCGAAGCCGTAGCCGCAGTCGGAGCCACAGTCCACGTCGCAGCCGCAGTCGCAGCCGCAGCCGAAGTCGTTCACCTTGATCTGACCACTCACCCTAAGGACACCAACGCAAGACTTAAAGTCGTGAGACGCCCGATGTATAATCCTTTAATATGAGAAAACACGACTCCAACGTCTAAAAGCTCACGCCGGGTTAGACACGGAGACCTGATCAACTAGCCAATCTACTCGACGCCAGCGAAGGCACTACTTATACAGCCCAGTGGCACGTATTGGAAAGGGCGCAATCGACCACGAGACAGCTCAGGTCAAAGAGTTTTGATCCCATAAGGGATACAGTCGCAGTAGCGCTGCCTGAAGACAAGGGGAACATAACGACAGGAGTTAAGGTTGCAGATTTGAACATCTGACCACCTGTTTAAAGTATCTATAGCGCCACCGACTTGAGCGACAATAGAAATATCTCGTAAATTAATAATGGCATTAACTCATACTCATTCATAAACATATCACAAATTAAATCTCGAAGCTTCTGGGAGTTAGACGGCAGAAGCAACACTTGTGTTGCTGACGTTGAGTGATGGACACTTGAAGGCCATTTTTGATTGACTACAAGATCTATAAAACCTGATACACTTTGACCATTCGTCTTCTTTAATATACAATATCGTGAAATCATCGCTTATGCAATTCTACCGCATACTTATATAACCATGGACTTCAGTCTTTCCGCCAGTTGAAGTACTCTTTGGTCATCCCAGTACTGCCCGATAATCTGCAGACCTGCTGGGAACGGACTTCCTTCCACTTTAGCTGGAATACTCACAGCCGGTAACCCTGCTAGACTTGCTGGTACGGTGAACGCATCATTCATGTATGCATCCACACTACTTTGCTTCTCAATCTCTTCTAATCTCGGAGGAAATGTCGGTGCTGTAGGGCACAGGATGAAGTCAATTTGGACTGGACCAGTCTTGTCTTCCATACCAGTGGTCTCAGCCATATCGCTGAGGTCAAATTGCGCCGGCTCGTAAAGAGGGTTATCAAGACGAAAGACACGGTCGAAGTCCTGTTGCACCATCCGACGAACCTTTTGGGCCTGGATGAAGTAGTTGTCTATGGCTTCGGAGCTGAGACTGTAGGTACCCAGTAGAATTCGCCGCCTGACTTCTTCACCGAAACCCTCGCCACGAGTATCAGAGTAAAGAGTCTCACCGACTGCATCGCTGCCTTCGCCACGTTTTCCGTAGCGAACACCATCGTACTTGGCAAGGTTTGACGAAGCTTCCGCAGGGGCAAGAACGTAATAAGCGCAAAGTGCTTCTTTGGTAGATGGTAGTGAGATGGGCACTAGTGCTGCACCCTGTGCCTCAAGGTTAGAAGCAGCAGATATCCAAGCGGCGCGAATGGAAGGATCAAGCTCATCGATATTGTACTCGAGGGGAATACCAATATTTAGTTTCGAAAGATCAGGGAGAGCGGATGGTATCGTCTCGGCGCATCGTTTCCGAGATGCAGAAGGCAGTGACGTTGGATCCTGGGAGTCATGCTCCTCATGCATTTTGGTCTTGAACACAAGGTCATATATCGGCTTAACATCCTTGGCCATGAAGCCAACCGTATCCAAAGAGTTTGCATACGGCACGACACCGAATCGAGATATCATGCCGTAACTAGGCTTATAGCCAACTGTCCCAGTATACGCAGCTGGTAATCGAATTGAACCACCGGTGTCTGTTCCCAATGCGACATCGGCGTCTCCTAAGCGTACTGCAACAGCACTTCCACCAGAGCTTCCACCAGCGGATGCATTGCCATCCTTAGCTAAAGGATTCTTCACTGCCCCATGCACCGAGTTTGTGGAGTGAGATCCCATACCAAACTCATCCATGTTAGTCTTCCCAATAACTGTCGCACCCCTTTTGCGTAATTGGCGGACGACAGTAGCTTCGAAAGGTGAAGGATGAGCCGAGAGAATATGTGAGGCGCATTGTGTCGGGAACTCAGAGGTTGCAATATTGTCCTTGACAGCAAGCGTAAAAGGCTTCACATCCTTACACATAAAAGGAAGAAAATCGGCATTTGGGTCTGCGGTAGCGAGTTTGGCTATGCGTGTTAGTGATAGTAAAGTAAAGAGATGAATCTAGACATACTACGACCAACAAAGTGGTTGTAACTACTATGTGAGCGCCATTGTGTAGCCGGTTGTGCACCAAAAACAATCGAGAAAGTTTTGGTATAGTATCGAGAAGTTCTCGAGGCCGATTGCCGCACAAGAGCTGCACTCATCATGATTTTATGATCATGGGAAGTCGCTATAATTTCAAGATGTTGGAGTGGGGATGAGCTGCAGCTTGGTTTAGGCTTATCGATAAGGAAGCATTATTGTATCCAAGGGCTCTCATCTCATCATCCTTGCTTAGCATCGCAACTGACAAAACATTCAATCCAAATACAAAATGGCGGCTAAAAGAGACTTTGAGGATGTCGATGAAGGCGATGCTTCAAAGCCTACACCAAAGCGATCTAAGAAACACGGCGGCAAAGCGCGACAACATCAAAACTCTGGCATTGATCCTACCTGGGGCCAGAAATATGTCTTTGCAGACAACGAGCATGCGACAACGATTCCCGCAGGCGAAGAGTCTGATTTCGAGGACGATGCAGATGCCATGGCATATTTAAACTCAGTTCGGTAAGTTAAACCTTGTTCATCGCGCCCCTATTGTCTTTGCTGAAGATCGCGACCTTGCAGAGCACGAATACTAATATGGTGAGTATAACAGACAACAAGCTGCCGGAATCCCCCATTTACTCGTCGCACCTAAAGTCCAGATCGGACCTCAGTTGCCCGCCGAACTTAGAGGTGATGATGAAGATGATGGAGAAGGACCCGTCGACAGGAGCATATACAACGACGGTATTGGCGATTCTCGGGGCTGGTACGAGGACGGCGCGTACATGGCGATGCCCGACGAAGCGAACGACGAGGGAAACTACGAAGAAGGAGAATACCCAGAAGATGACGACGACAGCTATGATGAAGAAGTAGCTATACATGAAGCCTACTTTACCTCCGTCATGGACCACTATCTTCACCTACGAACTATCCTTCATGCCGCCACTCCCCAGAACGCCCGTTCTCGTCTCGCAAAGGCGCAACTCAAGACCGAAGCCCCTGCAGATAATCAAACCTCTGTGATAGCCACCTGGTCGCGAATTTTGCGCGACACTGATCCTCATCCACTTCAGATCGCTCACATGTCCAAAGACACGACGCTGCGAATACTGCGCATCATGCTTGGCGGCAAGTTTCTTCGTCGCGGGTACACACTTCCAGAACGTACGAGTCGCTGGGTCTGGGCATTACTTGCAAGACTGCCAGATAGGGGCGAACTAAACTATGCTGAGATTGGTTGGATTCGTGACCTGGGACGAAGAGCAGTCCTCTTGGGCAGAAGTTTATCAGAAATGGCGGCATTAAGAGACGAGTTGGCAGAAGGTGGGCTTGGCGCGCATGAAGCTGTTGATAGAAGCAGCAGTGACGAAGACGTTATGGCCGATCCAGAAGACATGGAGGTCGAAGGTGCCATCAGCGCAGAGGAGGACGAAGATGATTCCACGCCACCTGAAACCGGACAGGAAGTCGAACAAACATCAAAAGTCACAGAGCCCACAACGAGTTCACTGCCAAAGCCTGATGCAGAAGAAGGTGAGATAGAGGAAGAGGAAGACGTGGCTATGGATACTGCATCGGACTCGGATGCCGAAGAAGGTGAGCTTGCTGCTCCAGAGTCCGATGTGAATCTCGAAGCAGCGAAAGAACGATTGCTCGCCCAAATCAATGGTGGAGTGGCTCAAGAGGGCGACGAAGGCGCAGCGAAGGAGGCTGCGAAACAGCGATTGCGGGCGAATCTACGTGCTACCATCAACATGATCTTGACGGTAGCTGGTGAGTTTTACGGACAGAGAGACTTGCTCGAGTTCCGCGAGCCCTTCGTGGGCATGTAAGTTGAAGGGTAGTAATAATAATTGTAGGTCTTCTCGACCTTTCTGTATAATTCCATGTAGCTACAGCGAGCTCCAATGTCTTTTTGACACCCAATAAATCTACAACCGCTCTGAAGCATTGATATATACCTGAACGCCGACCAATGTTGCAAAACCCCAACATATCGCATAGTTGACATGACAATGTACAATGATTCTGTCGAAACCCATCGTAACAAGTGGTGGTTTAGTTAGTCATATCCATTTCGGGATCGACAAGAAAATCGGCCTCTTCGAAATCTGAACCAGAGTTTCGATTGTTTGAGACGAACCCCCTCAAACCGGCACCCTTTCGGGACACGGGAATAGCCATGACTCGGGAGTTGCTCTGGACGTCCATGGCCCGGCTTTCAACCAGTTCATCTTCCTCTTCATCAAAAAATCGCTTGCGAGATCCATCGTAGGACGCAGCACTCTCATTGCTCTCTTGCGACATGGTAAGCTCGGGAATGGCATCGATATCCGGAACATCATCCTCTCGTTCAAACTCGGGTTGCGTATCAAGACCGCCAACTCTGTTGATTCCGCAGAAAGGAAGAAGTTCTCGAGAGGCACCCTTGGTGGGGACTCGTGCGGTGGTTTTGGTGGTGTTTACTGGAGCATTGTCTGTCCAGAGCTTGAAAGCACTAGTTCCGACTGTCTTATATCCTTCGGGAACGGACTTGCGAACTCGCATACCGACGCTGAGGAGGTTTGACTGGACTGTTGAGGGGAGAACTGGCTTGAGAGGCTTCTGAGCTTCAGCAGCCGCAGACTCAACTGGGGTTCTAGCATTGAAGAAAGAGGTGATTTGGCGCTGAGAGGGATCGGCTGAAGCACCAGCAAATTGGCGCTTGGTACGGGGAGTTGACATGACGAAAAAGTGTCAAGACTGTGGTAAACTGAGGGCAACTCTTTGGTTCAAAAAGAACAATCAATGAATTCGACGGGATGAGCAATGACGTTGCAGTGGTGGTGAAAGAGTAAGCAAGGACTGTGTTACAGAATACAGTAACACAGAGACAAAGTTCAAGGAGTTGATGAGTGGAGAGTAACTAAAGACAAATTCGAAAGAAATAAGTCTCTGTAAGGGTAAATGACGTCGGAAACGAGAGGAGGATATCAAGGGTTCAAGAAGAGAATGAAGCAAGGAGAAGAGGGGACACTGAAACAAGTCGTCCAAGGGCCTTGTTGCCAGGGGTGAGCAAATTTGGCAGGTTCCGGAAGTGAAGCGCCCCTGTTCTGACCCAAGAAGACCCAAAAAGCTAGAGAAGGAGACAATCCTAAAAGCGGCACAATCCAGCCAATCAACTAATAAGAGTTTCTTTCTGTGGATCTCAACTTCCGCGCATGGGCGCGGTTTCTAGGCACCGCTTTCGCGTAAAGTGATTGATTGAGAGCTCGTCCATTGGTCCGCTGACTCATCTGATAAGCCCCATCTATCTGATCAGCGAGAGGAAAGCCTGGCTGCCTGAGCTACGTTGAAGACCAAGGCGGTGGCGATGGAATATCCCACAGGCAAATTCTAACACTTATCATGATCGACAAGAATTGGTTTAATTTGCCTGTCAGAATCGAGGTCCACTTCGAACTTGCCTCTAGATGTAAGAAATTCATTGAGGAAAAAAGTCACACGATCACCAACGAATTAACCACACCAAATACGAGTAGCTTTTCACATTGATCAAACTCCGAAGGCACCGAGCGTTGTAGGATTAAGCTATCACGAGCCGAGGTGATATTGATTGGCTAGATAGAAGGCCAATTCGAAAAAGATCCATTAACCAGTCCAATCACCATTGACTATCATTAGAACTACAATGTGTTGGGTTTAAGGCAGAATACGGATTCCATCGATATTTCGCGGGGTAATTGGTTCCCCAGGTTCGTGAAAACCCATCTTGCTCTAGACTCTGCTTCAGCTCAGTTGCCTCAGGCGCTGTGTGGCGGATGGCCGTCTCCGGGTCTAGTCATCCAGCAAGTCAGCAGCTAGTTATGTCGATCGGCTGAGGAGTCGAGTCCAACGATCGATGACGCCTTCCATCACCGACTGGTACTCCAGGGAGTCGAATTCGATAGCTATACGAAGCGTAGTGTAGAGCAAAGAGTAGTCGGTATCATGTTAATACGAAGCACAGGATTGTGCTCTACGACAGTCACGACAGCAACACAACGCAATCATCGACTAGAAGCATTCACGTCAAGAAGAAAGTGATGTGGAAACCATTGTGAATTTCGCAAAAGCACAGTGACCATCCTCCGCTACCCACTGCACTTGGGTATGAAGCGATCATCAAGAAACGGTTCCACGTCCTCATGTCCAGCCGACCCGTTGGGACCAGCATGGACACTCGTGTGAAGGCTTTCTCAGCTTTCCACCCATGCAGTGCTTTTTTTTCCTTCCTGCCTCCAGACGACTCTTTGGTACAAGGCGCGTAACGGAAAAACAAAAGAGAAATGATGTGCCATGCAAGATATCCGGAGACCCCAAACGCCCCTATTCTGGGTGTTCCATCTTCTATCTGCAAAGATTTTTTGGTAAGTGTTCGCAACGTCGGCTGTTCTATCCGTCCATGTCGATGTTGTGTTTTGCAGATCCGAGATGGCCACCATGAGATGAACCGTAAGAGTCATGAGTGCCCAAGGAAATAAACCGCCGCGAGGCGTTTACTTCCTTCGGAAAGAGCAGCCCTCAGTCAGACGAGCCTTACCACCGGTAGGCTGGCAGAGGACAGTGGTGCATCCCTGGCAGATGACAACGGTCTGGGCGTGAGAGAAGACGGTGGTGATGGTGAAGCAACCGGGGCACTTGACGTCCATGAAGAAGGATCGAGGGGCGGGCACAAGGGTCTGGTAATGTTAGATCGATTGTCGTGACGATAAAAAATTTGTCCGGATGCTATCGTACCTTGAGCTTGTGCTTCTTGGCCTCGGCGGCCGGGGAAGGGTTCAGAAGATCAACGGCGAGAACCTGGGGGTGGGATGTTAGCCAACTTGTTCCATCATCATGTCTGTATCTCCCGTGTGTCCATCTATCGTTCGTTGTGTCGTCGAAGTCGAGTTCAATCAATTTGTAACTTTTGCCACGGGAAGCAAGTTTCTTCGAGTCGATGATTCCACCTCTTTTTCACACACGTAGTCGTTGTCCATCCATCGCTCGTGATCGATCCATCGTAAAGAGTATCACAAAAAGGCAGTCGCTTACCATCTTGTCTGATTTTCTCGAAAATTTCTTGTCGGTGACTTGCGAGAATGGGAAAGCTTGACGAAATCCGGCAACAGATTTGAGGCTCGCAAGGTGGGTGGGAGGAGGTAAGCGAGGAAAAGTTTGGTGGCTCTGAGGGGACGACTCGTTCTTGCCTCTGGGGCGGTTTCTGTGGCCCAAAGTGGACTAGCTTGCTAGGGTTGTATAACCCATACACGTGATGAAATTTGGAAGTAGTGATCGGGTCAATGTCGGGGGCATCGTGACGCCTTTGCGTTGCAGCTTGTGCACCAATTGTGCTTAGTGGAGCTTATGCGAGTTATGCATGGATTAGCTCTGCCTGGTCCCTTGTAGCGAGTTGCGTCAGTTTACACTACAATAGGCTGCCGCTTTGGAGAAAATACATAGACGAGGGAGACGCCATTGAAGAAGTAATCACTTCAACTTCGCCAAGCTCTCAAAATGTCTAACCCCATGGAACAGCGTATCAATGTTCCAATTGATGACCCAAACGCAGACACAGAATGGTCAGTTTCTGCTACCCCTCCATGACCCTGAGCTAGCTCTAACCCCGCCATAGGAATGATATTCTTCGAAAACATGGAGTTATCCCTGAGAAGCCACCGAGCCCAACTCCTATGATCGAGGAGGCCATTCTGGAAGGACGAAGACTAGCACATGAGAACCGATTGGAAGGCAAGGACCTCGACGAGTTGGACGAGCTAGAAGACGAAGAAGATGAAGATTTCCTGGAACAATACCGTCAAAAGCGCATGGCCGAGTTGAACAGTTTACAAAAGAAAGCTTTACATGGAACCGTGTACCCTCTTTCAAAGCCCGAATACCAGCGCGAAGTCACAGACGCATCAAAAAACGGGCCAGTATTTGTCAACCTCACATCTGCAATGGGAACGAATGTTGAGTCTCGAGTCTTGACTGAACTATGGAGGCAAGCAGCCAGGGAGTACGGCGAAATCAAGTTTTGCGAAATCCGAGCCAGCCAGGCCATCGAGAATTACCCGGACCGAAACTGCCCGACGATTCTGGTTTATAACAAGGGAGATATTGTCAAGCAGATCGTGACATTGGCGACTATTGGTGGCGTGCGAACAGGGATGCAGCAGATTGACAATCTCCTGGTTGAGGTTGGCGCTGTCCCTGACTCCGACATGCGCATTGTCAAGAGGAGGCAAGCCGCTGAAGATGCCGCCGAAGACCGTTTGGCAGGCAAGACTATCAAGACCGGAACTGCTGGGAGATCGCGAAACGTCGACAGTGATGATGACGACTGGGATTAGACTTCGAATGAAGGATACTTGTGTCTTTGAACAAACTGATCGCTTGTATGGCTCGTCTAGGTTGTGGTGCATAGTCGTTTGCGCTCAACTTTTGAACCGCTTTGATCCACCCTCCACAGCTATGGTATAGGCCCAAGGGCCATTTCAACGGAAGACACCGTGCTTCCGTAGGAACATCTATGGTCACTGCACAAGCCGAGACGTATCCCTCCAAGGAACGATACGTCTATTTATGCATCAAAAAGAAGGAGGGTGTCTCTGGCGACATGGCTCGCCTATACTGGTGAGTGTAATCCTGAACACTCTACGAGGCTATAGGCACAGGGAGCTACATACCAATAAGACGTTATAATGCAAAGCACATATACGACTAGGCCCATTGATGATTTTGTAATGAGGGATAGACCAATTCAGGTCCATTAAGGAGTGGGCTAAAACAACAGCTCATGTTTCCGATAGAAACAACATAATTCTTTCTGGCTGCCAATCCAACAGATACTCACTTTGACTTGGTCTAGATTGTGGTATGAGGGTGAAGTCGCATTGCTCTCTTATACAAAGAAGGGTCGGCCCGTAAAATCTTGCTCTATCAAGCTTCAGAATAAATTTTGGTATACTAGCTGCCTACCTGTACATGAATCTCCGGTTGTAGCGCCATGCCCTCAACTACATGCTCATCAGAAGTAATGGTTTTTCAGGCCAAGCTAAGATGCGACATGGGACACAATAATATATACCTTAGCACAGTGTGCAGAGACAATACCATGTCCAAGTCGATTGTTTCGGTTTCTCGTGCCATCAATACTTGGGTTTCTAAAATTGAGGTCAAGACAACTCTGTCGTATTGGTGCTACAATCTGTGTTTATGCGTGACCAGCGACAGAAAACAAAATTTAGTCAACTGATCTTGTAGACGGTGGAAGGAAGAAACGGACTATCAGGCCGTGTCCTGAGAAGATGTCTTCGTCAATCATCCACATCTTCATCTTGGTATCGCAAAGCACAAGGCTGATCTCCATAGAAATTAAATACGAGAGAAAAAGGACAATGTAAGGTATCATTCATGCGCTCGTCAATCTGCTTTTACGCCATTTACCCATCATGATTGCTGATTTTCCTCATCAGTGACAGAAACAAGATTCCCTCTCGGCAGACTCCAACTACTCTTATCCAATTCTCCTGGCCCGCATCGCCATGAGCATCCTCGGTGGATAAATGGAATGGTCCTCTCACCCTCTGCCATACTCAGCGGTGTCACCCGCAGGACAGATGAGTCGACCTTTTTACAGGTTCGAACTTCTCGCCATTCAACCCACTCGACAGTCGGAATAACCATCATCTTCCGACAATGTGCACAAGTCAATCCACCGGCTTCTTTTTGTCGCTGTGCTCGCTCTAGAAGCCTCCTGAGGTGGTTAAGACCCTCAGGGATGTAAACTGCCATTTCTGAAAGCTGAGAAGTAGAATAGCAGGCTCGGAGGGCTGTCTCCAGAAGACTCGGAACGCGGCTTGCCCCTTGGAGACGTTGCGACTCTGTCATGGATGAGACGGATGCTGATGGTGAAAACTCGGGTTCTCCCTCATCAACGGGCAAGATGAGTTCCCGATGGTCTGTTGGAAACTTGAAGTCTGATACGACCCGTCCCATAGTATCTGAGAGCTGTGAAGGAGACTTCCCCAACACTCGACTTACCAAGTGTGGTACAGAAGAAGGTTCTGATTCTGTGTGAGAAAGAAGCACATTATTTGGCTTCCCTTCGTTCTGCCCCAAGCTTTGATTTGGTTGCCAGAAAGGGTTGGGGTGAACAACAAGTGTGTCGAGTTTGCTATCTGATGTAAATAGATCCAGCAGCTCAACTGGTAAATGTCGCAAACGGTTTTGTGACACATTGAGCTCCTTGAGATGCTGTAATTTACCGATGCCAGGAGGGAGCTCGGTGAGTTTGTTGTGACGGAGACTGAGGATAGTGAGGTAGGTCAAGTCGAAGATGGCACCAGGAACCCTTGTTAGCCGGTTCTGGGCCATGTAGATCTTGAGCTCCGGGTCGTTTTGCTCAAAGGCTACATCCTTGGTGACGATGGGAATGCAGGTGAACTGGGACAAAGGACTAATGGTGTCGTTGGAGACATCTTCCAGCCCCATCGACCAAAAGTCAACCGTCTCTTCGCCCGTCTCAAGACAGGTGCGAACCTTGTCGCGTGCAACTTGCTCGGCCCTTGAGACGCGGCGCACCACACGATCAAGTTGGGGCAGTCTGGGTTTTGGGTTTTCAGGAACGAGTTCGAGCATATCCTCGCTCTCATTGCCATCGCTGCCCAGGAAGACACCACTGTCTGCCTGTCGCGTCCATGGGCGCCTCTGCTTAGGAACGTGAATCTCACTAAAAGTTGAGTCGGAAGAAGTGGGATGCTGTTGAAACCAAGAACCAATGTATCTCTTCTTTCGCCTGCCTTCTACATAGTTGTCCAACGCGGGATCGTCATCACTAGAGAATATGGCGGGATCACTTGAATTGTTGAAGCCCGAGGGAGGCGCGTGCTTGGAACCGGCATTGCGGACGCGTTTCCGGGGGTTGTTGCTGAAAGTTTGGGACTGCTCATCCCAAGACACAGCAGGGAGAGGAGGGAGAGTCAACTCTTCTGACATTGAACTGATCCGATAGAGATATCAACGGGATTTTGAAATGACGTTACACAAGCGTAAAAAGAATTCAAATGATGCAGGAATTCAAACTTGAACTTGTCCAACGCGACTTGACTCAAAGATGGGTGGACTAGATGCAGAGTGACGATGGAGGAGAAATACAGGGTTCGAATCACCCCACTCACACACTAACGATGCCATGCACTCCAATTACTGGGTGTGCACGTGCCATTACCAGCCACCCAACCCCTAACGTGCCAGTGGTTTCAGGGTTGAGAGGGTCTCAAGATTCCGTTCCATGGACACGATATGATAAGATGATCAGATAATGCAATGCGTTTCCTTTTTGTTTGTGTTATTTTGATAATCAGAAAAGGGAGAGAATATCATAGAAAAAAGACTAGCATGCCAAACTGGTCCTGTCTCAACTGCAAGGTCTTGGTCGCGTACCTAGTGGTCAAGTACTAGGCACTACCTGATATGAAGAGGCTGGGTTGAGTAACTGGATGGTCCGGCGCCAGCCATCAAGATACTAGCTTTGCTCTAACAATGTTACATAGATTTAGTTGAAGACATCGGGACATCAAGGCTGTTGCCCGCAGAAGAGATACTATCTACTGAGGTTATATACTCAACAAAGGATGTTAGGAACTTATTGGTAACGACCAACTCATATACAGGAGCAATACATACTCTGATAACACAAAACTCAACAAGAGACAACCCAAAGAAACAATTGATGAACCTCGGGCAAAAAGAAGTCATTTCAAGGCGCAAAAGAAAGGTCTCGGAGGGAGTCGAATCCTCGCTGGCGGAATCAGAATCCGCAGTCATAGCCGTTAGTCAGACCACGAGACCTTCATAGCCGTTAGATTTATGCCTGCCTGTGGCTGTCAATTGTGAATATTTTTACTTATTAGATGCTGTGTTGTGGGATATTTGAGAATTCTTCCGAACGTCCATGATACCGCGGCTGAAGAAGCGGGTGCCGGGCCGAGCCTTTAGGCCAATCAAAATAATTTGGATGGTAGGACTCCACTCTTTAATCCAACGTCCACTCCCGTTCTTGCCGTTGCTCTAGAGAGTGGGTGAAGTTTTAAAGCAATATTGAATAAAGGACCAACTATTAAGTGATGTTGGATAATTCAAGATAATAGACTGAAGCTGATGAGTTTTCGATCATGGTTACATGACGTGCTGACCAACGGTAAAGAACATACAATTCGATTGCATCAATTTTCATGGCAAACTCACAAATGACATTCTGCAGAAACAGTTACCTAAACATACATTATAACTTGGCATTGAGTTGCTCCACTTGGCGCCGCTGCTGTTTGGAAATAATGCTTCTAAGTGCAGGGTAAACAGCTTGCCATTGATGGTGTACGGGCACTTCGCAACCCAAGATACCGCTAAACTCCACTTGGCCTTGACAAGACTCTCAGTGGGTGGACAGCTTAAACTTCCACTTCTACTATGCTCAACAATCGCAAACAAGCGCATGACACAGATTCACCTGCGAGATCCATTACCCGCTACCTTTTCATTTTTGCCCTTCCGTTACTAGTTCTCTTCATTTGGAATAAGGTATTCAGTAGCACCAAAACGGAGACCACAAAAGCAAACATGTCTTCAGGAAGAATCGCCCCGCTCGTTTTTCCTGCGGCATCCCAGCACACAGCTACAGTCATCTTTGTTCACGGTCTCGGTGACACTGGCCATGGTTGGGCGAGCGCTGTTGAGAACTGGCGCCGGCGACAGAAGCTGGATGAGGTCAAGTTCATCCTGCCTCATGCACCACAAATCCCCATCAGCGTGGTGAGTTTATGCCCGAGTGATGCATTAAGAATTGACCTAACACGGACAGAACATGGGAATGAGAATGCCTGGATGGTTTGATATCGTAAGAGTCCCTTCTAATCGTTGAGAACACATCTGACATGGCATAGAAACAACTTGGTGGAGACGTTGACTCTCTCATTCGTAACGAAGATATAGAAGGCATCAAGCTCAGCCAAAAGTACTTCCACGATCTCATTCAACAAGAGATTGGCTCGGGAATTTCCCCTGAGCGCATTGTTCTCGGCGGCTTCTCTCAGGGTGGTGCCATGTCTCTCCTTGCCGGCCTCACCTGCACAAGCAAGCTGGGTGGTATCCTTGGCCTCTCCTCGTGGTTGCTCCTGTCCAAGACCTTTGCCGACATGGTTAAGCCTACAGATGCCAACCGCCAGACTCCCGTTATGATGTTCCACGGTGAAGAAGACCCTATCGTCCCCTGCGAGCGTGGAAAGTTGAGTGCCGACCTGCTCAAGGGACTTGGCTACGACGTTGCATGGAAGACTTACCCGTAAGTCACTCCTGTTTTGTTAAAAACCAATATACTAACTTTACACAGTGGTATGGGACACTCTGCTGTTCCTGAGGAGCTTGACGAGGTTGAAGCATTCTTGAGGAAGCAGTTGCCCCCTAAGAACTAGAAGATTCAGGAAGAGGGTTCTTAGATGGCTTGTGTTTGCTGAGGTTTAATTACCAAAGAGGAACAGGAGAAAATAGACACGATGTTGATGAATGCGGCTCCTGGAATTTGGAATATATTCATCACATTATACTGGCACGGGTTAAGAAAAGGCCAATCGTGCTGACTTCACATGCCCCGTGGCCCTCGATCATTGCAACCTCGTGATGGCCATTCAAGTTAGGAGGGCAACACAACAGAGCTTGGGTTGAAAAAAAAAAAAAAACAGATGAATCAAGGAGCTGGTATAAGCAGCCTACAATGACTTGCTAATTTCATCGCTTATGCTTTCAGCAGTTAGATTTTCTATGAAATATCACCTTCCAGATAAAATTCCCTAAAGACGAGGTGCCGCCAAAATGACGTGCGCTGCGCTCTACCACTGGCTGGGCGCCTTACAATGCCCGCCGCGTAGAGGTGCATGATAAGGCCGGGCCACCAAGTGCCCTATCGCTTACAGTAGCGCACTGGGGGAACTTGCAGCGGCAGACCCTTGCACCCTTGATCCCGGACAGTCTTCTCCAACGGTTGCCAACCGATCGAAACCTTTGGTGGAATCAACAACTTTGTTCGATACCTGACCCTTCCAAATTGACGCATCTTGTTTATGGCTTCGATACTCTGCTAAAACATCTTCATCCGTCTTCTCAAAACGTCCCCGATTCGCAATCCACACAAGCCGAGTCACACCGATGATCGTCCGCCCAAAGTAAACAAACATGACCTCCGAAGCCTCGCGTCCAGTGTCACCGACACCGTCACAACTACCGCCTGTCCCTGGATCGCCCGTATACTCTCTTGCATCAACTACGAACCCTTTATCTCAGTTTAACCTACCACTCCCACCACCTCCCCGATCTTTACATGCTGTCCTCACAAAAGCCGACCTTGAAAACTCCCAGCAAGCTTATTCTGACCTCGTTGCTTCCGCAAAGTCATACCGGCTCGCTCTCGCTGCGCTGTCAACCGCTGCGTCCACCTTCGGCTCAGCGCTCGAAGCATGTGCCAGACTAAAAGAGGCTCGCGCTGAGCCTATTGGGCCTTCTGGGTCGACCAACATGACGGCTAGCTTCTCGACTAAGGGCTCCTGCACTGCCGATATGCTCATGTCCGCTTCTGGAGTGCACCATCTCGTCGCAAACCACCAACAGATTCTCTCCGAGACAGTATACCGATCCTTCGAAGTGCCGCTTCTCCATGACCTGGACAAATGGCAGACCGTTATTGACGATGAAGAGGAGACGTACAAACATAATATCAAAGCCCAGAGCAGAGAGATCAAGCGGTTGGAAAAGGAGGGCATGAAGTTGCACAAACAGCGAAGGCGAGATGTGGGACGATTTAGAGCACATTTGGTTGACTTGACTACGAAACTGGACGGTTTGACAACGTTACATGCCGATCATGCACGAACGCTGTTGAGAGAGAGTCAAGAGACAAGCGGAAGAATTGTCGACGCAAGCTGCAGCCTTGTACGCGCAGAGGTGGACATATTCGAAAGTCTCGCAAGAAAAGGATGGAGCGGAGGCGGTCTGGACGATCTCCTGGAGAGGGGACAGGATTTATTTGCAACCGAGGAAGACAGCGCAAACATGGGCAGCGGTGGCGGCGGCGACACACCAAAGCTCTTTTCGATCCTCCCGCCCAAGAGCATACTTGCCGATACAGGGTCAGAACTATCCAGGAGCCACGCTAGAGGTGACAGTCTCCTGATGGATACAGAACGCTACCAATCACTTGCTGCGCTGGCTTCAGATATGAGACCCAGTGGTGGTGGCGACACCGACAGCGTCTTCTCGACAGACTTTAACAAACCGCGTAACGCAAGACCGTTCTCACCACAGCCTATTCGCCGGGTCCCAACAGATGTAACCTATGACTCGCTAGTTGGCCGAGCAGAAGGTATAGGAAACGACGATGATGAATTAAGTCGATCTGAATTACTTCTGCCTGTGGCTGAATCAGATGGTGAAGTAGAGGAGACACAAAATGGCGATGAACATAATGAAATTTGTGAACAGGACATTGCTGTCGAGCAAGAGGAGGAAACAAGAGGGCGATCCGTATCACCTGCTTCTATGGAGAAAAGACCAAAGTCGCCAGGGCTAATTACAGATGCGAGCTCTGCAGCTGCGTGGAGCGGCGATGAAGACAGAAGTCCAAGCTAAGTGGCCGGGTTACTGAATTACGATTGTGTTGGGTTATCATGTACAAAGGCGTTTGTGTGGGCATTTTTGACAAGACATTCTCTTCACCGAGAGGCAGAAATAGATTTGCAGGGCTTGCTCCTGATTGATAGTATACAAACATTATGCGGATCTTCATCCTCGATGTCTATTAAATATGCGACTAAACCAAGTGGTACCATTCCATAACACGCCTTACGCCATGACCGTTGTTACGCCGTGGTCGATGATCAAATTCTTCGTCTCTCGTACATTCTAGTTCTGCTACCCACCGATGCTATTGCCTTTTTGGACCGTCTGTCTAGGATATCTTGTACTCACACTGCCGATTAGATGTCCTCTAATCATCCTTATCGGCATTGAGCACATCACCCCCAAACAGTCCAATCCAAGCGTCAAGCCACCAGATGAGCTTCCAGTACAAGCTTGCCTTGCTCCAATCGAATTCACCTGTCTCGGTTCGCGGCACCTCGTTACCGATCATGCTGCCACCAAACCACTTAACGAAAGGAATGGCATTAATCACTCGCTGCATCATGGTTTGCTGAGGGAGAAGGGCTTGCTCGGCAGGAAGAATGGTAGCGCGGCGGGCGGTCGGGATGCGACGACAGAAAATACTGTCCTCGTCGCGAATCTCCATAGGCTCAATGCTCGATGTGGTGGCTTTAGGGAGAGGCAGAGGCTCAGTGATCGTGGCGGAAGAGGCATGGGAGTTGCTGATAGTCCCAGTGTCCATGGTCAGGCTGGAGGTTTGCGAATGAGGCGGAGAGAGGTCGAGGAGACGGCTGTTAAACGATGTTGGCCCGCTCAAGTTCTTGCGACCATTTGAGGTGGGAACCGTCGGCATGCTCTGTGACCGGGGGTGATCAGGAACAACCTCAATATCGGGACAGGCCTCGTCCTTGGCGGGAGGAACTCCTCGGTACGGCTCAGCGTACACAAGATGTCCCAGAATCCTTTGAGGGCTGGCAAAGGTTGCAGCTTCGGCAGCTTCTCTGCTCTCAAAGGTAACCTTGACCCAATGATCTCCACCATCGGCACGATTCACCAAGGCTCGTTCGTCGGCTGTGAGGTTACGGCGTCGCGTGAATGCGGGATCGCGTAATTCGGACTTGTATCGGCGTTGGCTGGCAGGAGGTTCTCGGGGATAATCCTCCAAGATCGCGCCCGCAAGTGATTCGTAATGGGAGATGGCAGCGTACTGCTGAGTGTACGATCGGTAGCCGCGGAGGATTAGCTCGACGGGCGTAGAGGTGGCCGGTCGTTGGGTAGCAGCCTCTTCCTGCATCATACCGCTGCTCTTACGCTGGACGGTCTGAGCAGGTGCGGCGGCTTGGTTCGATACCCAATCGCCAAAAAGCTTATCTGCAGCAGCTAGCGTGGGGTTCTCGCGACTGCGAGCTGGTGTTCCGGTACGCGATCGCGAACGACGGGTTGATTTACCAAACGAACCAGATTCGGCGGCGCTGCGACGTGATCGTGTAGTTCCTTGGGGGGCATCTTGTCTGATTGCGCGTCTTGTCAGTGTTAGTTTGAAGGGGAAGAGAGGTAGCCATACTGGTTGAAATACATGGCATAAGGTCGCTTGATGCCGTCGTCACCGACATAGCATTCATCGTCTGGGACGTTGTGAAGGATAAGAGGAGCCATGATGAAGGTCGAAACAGATAATTAAGCGCAAGTATCACAGGCAGGGCGTGTCTGATGAATGGACCGTATTGTGTGGCGTGAGATACGATCCTGGGGGCGATGTTTGTCGACGGACAAAGAAGATGAAGATGATGGTTAAGTGATGAGCCGCCCTTTCACATTTGATGATTGCCCTGCAGTTTCTGAGGTTGACTTTTTGGCGGGCCAATCTGGCAGTTGCACCCAGCAACGGACCACTGAAGGTAGCTCCTTCTGTTTTGTGGGGCAGTTTATCCGGTTCCGTTGGAGCTTAAGCTTACCACCAACGCAGTCTCTACAGCAAGCATATAGGGTACTCGTTCACAATTAGGATAAGAGAAGGCCTTTAGCTGGGATAGTTTCTTTAATTACTAGATATCTACTGAGGCAGGTAGTTAATTAGGATACAACCGCAGTGTATTCATTTCCTTGAATTAGCCATGGATCTTCAATCAAACCCAATGTAGCTTTACTATAGTATCTATTTGGGACAACCACGGCTGTAGCCACTTGCGACTATTGTCCATCCTAATCTATGGACTTTTACACGTGCACCATTCACAAGGTAACGTTGTACGAGCCGCAAAATCCCATCCAGCACAGACTTGTTAATCACTTCGCCAATCTCTCCACTATCAATAACCCAAGCTGGAAACACCCATGACGATAACTATCATGATGGGCTGATTTAGTATCACGTTCATCCCACTTCAGCTCAAAAGATCCACCGGCGGATATTCCGGAAAGGATACTCGGATATACGATTCACCAGCATGTAAACGGAGCATGATTCTACAATAGTAACGTTTCTGATACTGTCTTGAACTACGGTCGAGAGTTTATTATCAACATCGCTCGACTCACCATGGCTCAACGCTTACTACTCCGAGCATTGATCGGCTTTGTTTCTGTGGCTGTAGCCATGATTGCTTGGTTCAGTGCATCGCCGCTTAAAGCTTTCCCATCGATATTGCAGAGGGTAGGAGTCGATTGGTACAACGCACAGAAGAATACAATCCCGCCAGCTGCTTCAATAACAAAAACACCTGTCTACTTCTTTAGCCATGGCGGTGTAAGTTTCCCCTAAAGTTAGAAACAAACAGACTAACAAACCAAAGCCAGATGTTCAATATAACACAAAGCATCCTGTATATCCGGTCCTTCAACGAATTGGCAAAGAAATTACACATCAAGTCAAACCAAAAGCCGTGGTTGTCTTCTCGGCACATTGGATGGGAGAAGAGGACACCATCCATGTCAACAATGCAGTTGATACTGACCTAATCTATGAGTGTGTTATGTGCTGAATCTTACTCCAAGTCTCTGTTAACCTGTAACCAGTTTCTATGGCTTCCCTGATCATTTTTACAAAGCTCAGTATCCAAACAAAGGAAGCCCCGAGCTTGCGAGTAAGATCATGGTGATGCTTTCAGAGGCCGGAATTCAGTCCTATGGAATGAAACGTGGCCTAGATCATGGCGTGTTCTCTGGCTTCCACGTTGGTACGTGTGCTAAGTATACTTGTCAGACAGATATACTGACAAGCCATAGCTTTTAACCCTGAAGCGAATCCTCTAAACGTCCCGCTGGTTCAGGTCTCTTTATTTAAGAGTGAAGACCCTCATGCTCATTATGCCCTTGGCCGCGCTGTGTCTGCACTTAGGAACGAGGGAATCGTCATAATCGGTGCTGGAATGTCAGTACACAACTTGCGAGACATGCACCACATGTTTAAAGGTAACACAGAACCACTCCCATACGTTGTGAGTTTCGACAACGCCCTTAAAGAGGCTGCGGAGGCCGACCCTGATGTCCGCGAGGAAAAGATGGCCGCGGTATGCAAGAGAGGAGACGCAAAACAAGCGCACCCTTTCATGGACCATCTCATGCCCGTTTTCATTGCTGCGGGCGCGGCTGGTGAGGATAGGGGAAAACAAACTTGGACATTGCATGAAGGTAGCTTCGGTTGGTCGCAGTTCCGTTTCGGTGATCTCCCTTCATCTTGGACTGCGCTGTAACACTGTGCTTGAAATCAAAGTTCAACACGGATCATTGAGGCCAGTATACAAAAGCAGGCAGATCGGTTCCTATATGATGGATCTTTAGATAAAGACCAAGAATTTGATTGAGGTGGCGACGCGAACGCCATCAAATCTAACCCTCAAATGTTGAGTGTGCAATACCTTTCTATCCAGTAAGGATAAGTAGCACTACAGCTATGAGGCCATCCTTAGCCACGTCACAACTAATGCACTCTGCTCAAACAACGCTTTAATTGGTGTTTAAATTTATTGAATCAGGTTGATATCCGCTCGCCATTAACTACTACTATTGACTCATAAGTATGCCCTATTCTGAGCCTAAAAGGTCTATTTCATTGATATACTTGCGCCTTTGACTATGTCTCCTTTATTGTAAAATTCCACGTTCGGGAGCATCTCACTAGCAACCCATCTTGCTGTTTGTGAATGTAGCGAACCATAACCAAATGGTTCATGAGTCTTTTCCTTTCTCATTCTATCGCCTCCAATATCAAGATTTCCCATATTATCAATTAGCGCCTCAGAAGATGATTCGCCTGGGCCGTCACGCCGAGGAAACGAGGAATATCCTTCGCAAAGTGCCTGGAACACGACCACTTGGTCTTGAAGATGAACGTCTACTTGACCCCCAACCTCTATCTCTTTATACAGACCTCGGCATAGCTGCTTTGAAACCTGATCCGTGAACCGATCCCTGTTATTCGTCTTCTTCGGCAGAGATCCGAGCCAGTCGTGTCCCCATCGAATTCCAGATGTGGAGTGTGCGACGAGGAGTATGTACCAGCGTGAATCCAGGTTCGTGTCTTCAGTAAGCTTGAAGCAGATTTCAGTTGACGGGAACAGTTCTTCCAGATCTTTTGTCAGTGATGCCTGGAGCTTCTCATGCATGCTACCAGGCACCACCATGCTGACATCGACAGACTTGACCTCGTAGGATTCGGGGTATTTTAGTTTCCCCGGGGCCTTGTATCGCAGGCTCTGACCAATCTTCAATGGGTGGAATTTCAGACTGATTTGCCCTCTGGACTGAGGTCCCATGCTCCACCCACGACGCTCTAGTGTTCTCTCTACCTGGATGCCGAACCGTTCTTCTAATGTTGGCAATAGTATCTGATCCAGATATTCGAAACTGAGGGAAAATGAGACATTTGTTCCGCCGGAGATTTGAAGCTCAACTGGTTCCTCAGAGTCATTTCCCGCAAAGACCAAGAATGGCAAGATAGCTTGGAGTATGAGAAGTGTGCTTGCAGAACCTGATTCTGCGGATACTTTGATATTGCGTTGGTGTAATTCCGTGGGTGTTCGTCTTGGTACGAATGTGACAGTTTTGGATCCTACACTTAGGCCATCAACGTCTGCATCGGTTATCTCCGTAAGATACTGGATACTGGTGACATGCTGGCTCTTGAGACCTGAAGGATATTAGCCAGTGATGTCGTTATAAATCCAGACATCACCCACCACCGCCGCGGTCACGATTTCCTCTCACGTTGGTGATTGTGACCGCTTGCCCTGTCAAAGCAGCTATGGCAACCGCGACTCTAACGACTTGCCCGCCACCCTCACCCGTTCTTCCATCCAATTCCACAGGCTTCATGTTGCCTGCGTTGAGATGGTGGGAAGCTTGTGGCGAGATGGGTTGATAGGTTGTGGTTGTCCTGCGGAAGGTTGGTTCAGGCAGAAGTATCAGCCGCGAAGTTGTACCGCAATGAAAGCAGCGTGAATGACTCAGAGAATTGTCTAGTAACCCAGCTATATATGATGTTGATGCTGATTCACCGTTTAACTGCTCCTCACTTTTTGTGACTCATTTGCCGAACGAACTAACAGCTGCAAAGCTAGGCAACAAACACTTTCCAGTGGCTGAATTGACAAGCAATATGGGCTTTTCACGATTAGATCCAATGTCTTTGTTATATTCAAGGAGAAAGATGAGCCGGCGGGTGGCTAATAGTATGTGTCCTCTGCGGTTGATTGCTAAGCCCTTCGGTGAGACCGAGACCAAAATTGAGCTGACGGGGCTCAGTATTTTCGTGTTCAAAACTGGGGTTTTGACAAGATTATACATAAGAAGCTGGAGTACTCGACCTTCTTTCTCTTGGCTGAGTTGCGTTTGGCCGCCGAATAACTGCAAGTGTAAGTGGACAGCTGAGCTGAATCGGGGATGGATGTCGGCTCCGGCAGGCAAAGTGGGACCACCCGCTGCGGCCGGGGCTCTCTAGTCTAACCTGCAAACCTGCAAGGATATCACTTACACGATGTTGGCATCCCCATGCGATGACTCAGCCTCATGATGATCCCTCTCCTCACTGCAGCAACGATTGGACGTCATGATAAACTCGCCACGCGTAGAGATACACTGCGCAGGAGATAAGTGGCGACTTTGGCCTATCATCTTCGCCAATTGGGACCGAGTTACAGAAAAGATGAATGATTGTAGGCCACAATTATCCTACACAGCCTTGACTTACGAATAATCGCGTATACTCATCGTCAAGGCGACTGGCCTGGGTTTTGCAACAGGGCTGGAGATTGTTAACTTGAAGAAGAAAGGCATTCAACAATACGAGAGTGAAGTATACAAGAACTATTCCAGCCTATACCCAAAGTTTTTCGCTCGTTCGTTTCAGATATACCCAACTACTGAAACCCTGCCATAAGGGAGACACTTCAAGCTCAGACAATTTAGGAGCAGACCATACCCAGATAACTTCGAGAAAAGAGAACAGAAAAAACAGTCCTTATTAAAAGGCACCTGCTCCCCTTTTCCACGTTAAAGACTTTATCTTCCTCTCTTCTTCTTCTTCTTCTTCTTCTTCTTCTTCTTCTTCTTCTTCTTCTTCTTCTTCTTCTTCTTCTTCTTCTTCTTCTTCTTCTTCTTCTTCTTCTTCATCTATTATGCAACCGCCCGATGCAAGAAACCTGCCTGCCTGCGCCTGTCCCAGTTCCTTCCTAGTCGTTGTATTGCAATGCAGTGGGAGGACGCTCGCCCTTCGATCGGCGTTTCCGTACGAAATGGATTGCGGAAACTGCAACAGCCCTAATTAGAAGGTGCGGATGGAGTGGGATATCTCTACTCACCAATCATCTAAGTCCTCCAGCGCCATTTCTAGTCTTCGCGAAACATGCTATTTCACGAATAGATATCAACCACGGATTCCGGAACTACTCGTTCTTTTCAGTATCATCCGAGAGCTCGATATCATCATCGGCTGCAGGAGTATCCAAAGGGGCTTCAGAACGGAAGGCAAGGTTAACTTGCCGAAGGGCTTGCTCGATGTCACTAGGCCTTTTGCCTACGCATGTATTGGTAACTCCAGATACCCAAAGAGCGACATTTGCTTGCAGTTGGGGAACCTTTCCGTCGTTCTCTTCAATGTCCATGGGGTTGGAATTTTCATCTGGGCCGCCTATAACCTGGTCCCGGCCTTGATCATTCTGTTCAGCACCGCAGTTTTCAACGCCACTGCCCTGATTAGCATCTCGATCGTTATGGTAGAGATATCACAGCATTACCTTTCACCACTTCCTTGTTCAGCGTCGATACGAGAAGGAGAGCCCATAGAGTCGCCCTTGTTTCGACTGTATTCCAGCTGGCCGACTCCACTGTTACGCAAGGCAAGCTGTGCCTGTTAGCGAAATCTTGGGAACATCTGGTGAACCGCGTACGAAGTCCCCTGGAATGCCATCTTGGATTGCCATGTGGGTAGGGTCGCCAGCTGCAAGCTCGTCATCGGGCCCATAAGGGTCGTCGAGGACAGTCGAAGGTGTCTCGCCCAAGCTAGGGGGCTCATTTCTTATTCGAATTTGCCTCTGAACCCTCCTGCAGCTGATATAGATCCGTTTTGTCTCTTCCAAAACACACAACTGGGAGCATGCTATACACTCGGGAATGCGGAGCTCGCTGTTAGTGTACATGGCGACAGACGTTAGAAGGGATAGTAGACGACGCTAAACTGAGACAAGATGGCAGTTTTCTCCGGTTCTGATACCAGTGGCCTTTCTCGGCGATGGTGGATGGGACGTTCGATCGCCAGAGTAGAGATATCGCCAGCCTTTGCGGTCAGCTCTCAAGTGGCAACCCTTCCCAATGTCGTAAGGGGGCACGCGAGGCGGAGTGTCACGGAGACTTCTACAGCCAAACGTGTAGGAGAGCGATGGAGTAGATGAGGTACTGCTAGCAAGTGAGGAAGTGGCGGTACTTCCTGCTGAGAGCCGGATAGCCATTACCAGAGCGCCTTAGGATGCACACGACAACCTTTGAGAGTTGATGGGGAACCACCAGGAGATGCTCGATGATTGAACCGCTGATGGAAAAGAAGGTGTTCGTGTTGTCTTTGCAGCAGTACCCTTGTAAGTCTCCTCCTACTGGTCGATGATAAGGAGCTGCCTGTCTTGTCTCCCGCTCCTGCTTTTATTCGAAGCTGATATCGAAATCATCCACAGACACTAACACTAATCAGTCTAGGGATCTCGAGCTTCTGTTGGAAGATATTGGAGTTCACTGGGGAATTACTGTCGACCAGAAGAAAACAAACACCGGTCTTTAATTTGCCGGTGACTTAGTTATCTCCCCCGATTGTGCACAGATACCGAGTCGATTATGGCTCCGAGGCGGTTTGGTAGTTGATCAGGGCCAAGGCAGCAAGGCAGCTCGCGGGCATGTGTCGACTGATTGGAGAGCCGACGATGAGGCTTCGCCATAACTGGGATTTGCAGACGAACAAGGCAGACAGCGTCTTGGTGTCATGATGAAACGCCCGGGCAAGTTTATGCGACTGTAGGGGAACGAAACAAAAAGCGGCAAAATGGAAAGAAACGAAAGAGAGAGAAAAAGGTATAGAGATACAGAAGCCACATGGACAAGGTGGTTCGAGAATTTGGTATTGTATTGACCCTTGATGGGCCAGTAGTGAACAATCCAGAATCGGTCGCCATGAAAGCTACACCAGAGTTTCCAAACAGCGGTAAAAACATCAAGAGATTCAAGAGGGAGAAGCGAAGGTGGAATTGCACAGCTACTTAACTTCTCCCTCCCACTTCAAGCCACCTCTACTTCTTGCATATGACAACCACCACATGCGCATGACGGACTCTCAGCTTTTATTCAACACTGGCGAAATTGGTGTGAGACCCTCTACTGTGTTCCCCAGCGGAGAGGTTGGTGACTTTCATCCCAGTCTTAGCTCAAGCAGGCTGTAACTCTTCAATACACATACAACTTACGAGGTACCTGGAAGAACTGGAAATCACTGTACATACCTGCAGATCAACCCTCGTTAAATTGTCGGTTTAATGCCCAGAAAGTCACAGTACAGGACCTGAAGCCGTTGTTGGGCAGACTAAACTGAGGTAAACTGAGGTTGGCCTACTCCTTGGACCGTCGCTGATCTTGCAAGGATCGCATCACACGTCCACCGATGGTATAATACATGCAGCGAAGTCAGCTTGGATAGGCTGAACCAGCAATGTCGAGCAGCCCACGCGATAACTCTTTTGGTCAATAAACTATCTCGATGGGCCTGTCCTGCACACGCTCCTTGGCTGATTACCACCAACAGCTGAGACACTTGCAGTAAAGTGGCGCCTCGAGATTTTTCATTCGGATTGGTGCGCACACCAACTATGGCATTGGTGTATAGCAACGTTGTCTTCAATGGAACGATTTATCTTCAACTACTGGATGGAGCATAGATGCGAATCTCCATGTCTGTGTGTGCCACATGCACGTCTTTTGGTGTCGCACTATTGCTTCTAGCAACCAATAACTCTGTTGGAGAGTTTGCTTTTAGTCTGAAATCATACCTTCCATCTATCGGCCCCCAAACCTTGTTCCCAACAGAAATTAAAACGAAGATCAATGTTATTGATGAAGGTATTGCTACAAACTATAAATATAATATCTATACATGTACAACCCCAGTGGCCCCGAAAGAAACGATCTTGAAATCACCTTTGGTATTCGATGAAATCACCAATAGAAGCCCGCAAGTTATATGTCATGAAGAAACCATAACGTACCAGTACGAGGACGAAAGTAATGGAAATGGGCCGTCAATAGCACCCCCTGTTTAAACGCCAACCAGAGACACAGCATCAAAATCCAATATGGGTTCCAGTGGGGTGAGATGTCAACCCCAAGGAATTCACCAACGCCGGGTCCGAGAAGACTTGCCGTTATGATTGGCACATTCAACTGCTGGTGGATGGCCACGATAGTTCGGGTCGATACGTTGTGGATAAGGCCATGGCGTACCACCTTGCAGGACGTCTTGGGCTGAGGCATTGAGGTTGGCACCATGGGTGAACTGCATTTCAAAATGGGTGATGGCCCTGGCAGCAGAAGTGATCGCACGTTGCTCAGTGTCACCAGCGTACGATGCATAACGGGTTCCCGGATGTTGCCCAGAGTCAACGAAATGAGCAGTCCTTCTATGAGGGTCGTCGAACGGACGGTGGCCGCCTGGGAGGGTCACCCGGCCCTGTGCGTCGATAGGGTCGTCGAACGGACGGTGGCCGCCTGGGAGGGTCACCCGGCCCTGTGCGTCGATAGGGTCGTCGTATTGCTGAAGGCCACTACTTTATCGAATTAGCAAGTGCACACCACATTTTTAAAAAGTCTCAATTACATACCTGCCTTGATATGCCCAGATGGTTGACGGGGCATACCCTTGGATGTCTTGACGTGCAGATATATCTTGATGTCCTTGGACCAGATAGGTTCGGCCGTCCGTTACGTGCGGTTGCATTTGAGGGAGACTTTGTGGAACTTGTGAGATCTCTCGCGAAGCAGACGCAGGGTATTGTGTTTGCCGTACATGTTGTGAGTGCCGCTGGACCGTGGTTGTCCGTGAGCGACGAGTCTCATCTGAATATCCCCTGTGAGGATCAGATGGAAGATTCATGATCGAAGTCGAAATGATCGATGCGGAAACATGGAGAAATGGACAAGAGTAAATGACGAAGAAAGAGAGGGATCGCGGTTCTTTTATATGGACAAATCTTTGTGGCGATGGAAACCAAGGCTGATCGCATGGCGGAATATGAAATTATTCGCAAAGCCGACTTTGACAATTACCTCTCTATCTGTTAAGGGGTTGACGGTCGTCGGGCACGAACACTATACAGACGCCTACAGCGGCAGGTAACTGCTGCCTGGATAACAATGGCCAGCCATGCCGGAGAGGAGAATGCCTAGGGTGGCATTGCAAGGAAAGCTTCAACACACTGGTCCCTCAAACCATATGGGAAGCTGTCGTGGCCCAAGTAAACTCGGGTCGAGTCATCAAAAAGCATCATAATGCCCGCCTCGACTTGTGGTTTGCTGGCGCCGACAGGATCGTCTATCACGAGATACACTGCTTAACGGGTTATTTTCTTGAGTGGGAAAAGGCATAGCTCGGGCAGCCCCTGATGACGCATTGCTGATATCTTCGTCGGGGTATGGCTACCTACTTATAAGCTAGGTCGCCTGGTGCGCTAGGAGGCAACTATTGGGGGCACATAAGCATATTGTCTTTCATGAGATCATAGGGGCACGAGCCTTTCTAGGAATCCCTAGACCTTACGACATGTACAATCTGTGGCTAGGACGAGATAACATCACCGGAAGGACGTCATGGGGCTCGCGTTGTTATCGATTGACTGGTGAGCGACGAGATGGACGACCCTGGAGAAGAACAATTTCGTGGAAGCCTCGAATTTGCCATCGGATCCAAGGCTATGTTGAAACGTCAATCAGTCCCACCTAGCTTTTGCTCGTGACACAGCTTTGTCGTATGTGTAGGAGCGAGGTGGGAATGAAATAAACAATTGATGATGTCGAGAAAAGAGGGGGCTTCATTATCACAGTCATGCGCGCGCCAACATCTGAAGGAAGGACGGAGTGGTTACACCATCTTGCGCGCTTATGTGCATGCATATTTTGTTGTTGCGAGGATGGCCGACGCTTATTCCATTAATGGTCTTCTGGCCGACTGTCCAGCAACAAGAAGCCAGTAGATCCCGGTCATTCACCGATTTCTGCAATGTTTGCTTTTCCGTGGTTTCTGCAGATGCGAACCAAGCTCTATGATGCCAAGGAAAACGGTTGTAATCCCTCGGCGGTATCATTCGGCCATTCCGAACATGCAACACATTTAACAGTTGAGATGTAACTCTGACCGGGGTTATCAAGGCCGTTGTGCGGCTGAATGCATGGAGTTCATTACTACGAGTTGGCTCATGTACTACGGATTACGAAAAAAATCCATCTGGTTGTCTCGGACTTGTATCGCCAATACTCTTCTTGGGGCTTAGCATTAAGGAAGAAAATAAGGGATGGGGACAGTGGCTGGTTCGATTCCGTGGCTTTCTTGCTGTATTTAACAGGCGCATTGGATTGAGATATTTCTTCTCGATGCTTGCTATACCCCGCCCGAGTACTATGTCAGGATATGCTGTTGTTTCTAGTTGCTCAGTTGCTGCTGGCTGAGCTGAACAGGCCTGCTGCTATTCGTGCCACCCGAAGGGATCTCAGTATCAAGAACTGCTGGTCTGATAAAGGTGCATGTATTTGAAACAATGCATCATTAAATCAGAAATCCTGCCTAATTCTATGACAACACGAACCATAACAGTCCTTCCAATATATGACCTGAATTTGAGGGTCAAGGGCCAAACTGCCCAAGCTGAACTCGGAACGACAATTCCTTGAATTGCAACAGGAGAAGCCATAAGTGCGACGCTCTGGTCCATTCCCCTTGCAACTCTGATATCGAAATAACATTATCGATTTAGACTGTGAATCAACGGGAATGATGGTTTTCTAGCTGTATGTCAGACTGGATTCGATGGTAAATAAAGGAGCAGGCAGCTTACAGATTCTTGCATATGGTTGTATGTGTCTCAACGGAGCTGGGCCCCTGGGTTGCAGGTCAACCTCTGGGAACAGCCAACAGAGCGTCCACTCACACCAGTGTCTCTCCATAGCCTGCTTTATTGGCGGTAGAGGAGTCGTGGCTTTTCATTTAGCTTGAGTCATGATATTATTCTCCGTCTTGTCCCGTACAATCTTGAAGTCTGGGGAATTGGGTGACCTGAATCCTTCCCATGGGCGGTCAATGTTCCACAACCAATTCGATATATTGGGAATTCTGGTTTCGAAACGCGTTTCTGCTTGGATTGTACTTCCAGTAAAGATGGCGTCTGAATTAGCTTGGCTGAGACCTAATGTCTCGGTGCCAGCAGTGGGTGCATTGCCGCTCAGGGTCTCAGTGGCCACTTGCCGCTGACAAACTGAAGTTGGCGAGTTCTCTCTCTTACCCATTGGTTTCATGTCTTTTAACTCCGAGGTGTCCATGATTTGTCCTGGGTAAGCAATTCAAGTGTCGATTGCTGATCCTTTCTCTTCATCAGACGTTTTTTCGACTAATCCTCACGAGGGTTTCTATACTTACACAATCGAGTGCGGCTCAAAAACGCCCAGCTTTGTTTTCACGTCTATCTCAGGCAGTTATATTCATGCCCGAAACAACAGGATGGTGATAATCTCAGCACCTCACAATTCTATGGGTGTGAGTGTCCTCTCTAAAGCTGGCTCTACACCACTGCGCCCCAAAGGTTGAGGCCATCTCTATCCAACCAACAAACAATGTCCGGAAGTTGACCACAGCTTCCGCTGCCCTGTAGTTAGAATATAGCCCCACGAGAAGCACACAGCCTCTTGTCCAGATACATTGACGACAGATGACCATTTCGCAGGGAACCTACTGCGTGAGGCAGGCTACGATAGGCATTGCATTCCGCCCACAGTTAACAGACGGTGATCGATTCACAGTTGGACGATCTATGGCCAAACCATCGATCCTTAGTGAGTGAAAAAACTACTCATGGGAATGATTTGACTAAGAGATATACCAGACACTGTTTTTGTGTGTAGTGATCGCCATCTTCGTGACTGATTACTCGAGCCACGGCTGACTCGTCAGCAAGCATGCCAATTCTTCTTCTCATCCATTGCAAAAGATTGGATGGATGACTGTTTTTGTAGGCACGCCCAACGGTGATTTGGTAGTACGGGAAGAGCATCAAAACTGCCCGGTTTTCAGCCCAGTATGAGCGAATGCTCAGCTCGGGGACATGATAAAGCATAAATGACATTGTAGACAGTATTCATACTTCTCTGTACGATTATTCGATATATCTTTCGTCATCAAATCGGCAGCATGAAAAAATTCTTACCGGGCAAACAGGGTATCATTTTCTATTCTACACCCTTCTTTTTCTCTGAGCATTGTAACGTAGGTACATTACTAATGACAGCGACAGCATACATCACGCAGTCTCATATAATAAAAACTCATAGTCTAGCCACACGTTCATATTACAATGTCCGAAAACGAGGGGTGCCAAGCGGTTTGGCACAACCTTTCTGGCATTATCCGTGCCGCCGTCTGGTTTCTTCTCAGATGGAAGTGTGTGTCAATGAGGCACCGATATAAGCTCTCTTTCCGATAAGGCGACCACATTGATACAACCTTATTTGAAAATTACTCCATATTTCATTCAGTCATCCAAAGTCATCCAGGAAGCGTAGTCGAGCAGATCAAATAGACTCTAGTTTGCTTGACACAGAATACACTCGACGAGTCCGATATCAACATTCAAAGGTCATGTAAAACCCATACATGACACCGGATAAGTCACCCGTAATGCCGCTTTCCGAGGCACGTACCGCTCAACGCCTTGCTGTGCTACACTAATACTCTATATCGTGGGTTCTGTCTAGCACGGTTTCTACTGATTCTTGGATTGACATGGGAGTTTTTGACTTGTTCAATTCGCCATACAATGTCAACTACAACTCACAGTGCTGGGGGTATAAGCAATATTGACTAAAATACAGTTGTGGCTTACAACTCACCTACTTCAACAGGTGGCCGATCTGTGTCAGAATGAGATATCACCCCAAACTTGCCGAGTGAAAATCAAACAAGAACAAAGAGATTGACTTGCTACAATTGCAGAGGATGGCGTGTGGTTAGTGATGATCAACCACTATTGGCTGAGGCAGAGCCTCAGTGACAATGTGATTCCTTGCCCATGGGTCGACGAATCAGATATTCACTAACAAGCGAGTATGAGGTTAAGCTATCGAATTGCAGCGACTAACACGTGTAAGACTTGGAGTAGTCGTGCTGTCGCGGTGGTCCGGTCAAGATCTGTCATTTTCTTCGTGATATGCGATCGGTGAGCGTGTGACAACCAGCGGAACCGATCAAATAGATTGTGTTCGACAGGAGACAGCGTGTAAGCATGGGGATTTCCCGGATTGCAGTCCAATACTCCTAGTCCAGTCCAGGTTGATCAATCTGCCTGACATTCAACGTCAATGCAATAAGCCCAGCCCGTTGGGCCGCCATAGAAGCGCCAATCGATACAAATTATTGCCACACAAACTCTCAATGTGCTGGCCATTTAGACCAAAGTATACATATATATCCTCTTGGTAATTCGTTTATAATTGTTTGGTTAAATGGTATACTGATGCCCGAAATACTATTGAGTGCATCTATCTGCCTGTGATTCGAGCGATCAAGATGGAGTTGGGCAGAATTGGCTCGTGGCCCGCACCACTCTGACTAGCTTAGAACCCATATCGACCTGTCAACTTCTCCTTTATATGGTATCTCGCAATGCTTCCTTAAATATCATGCATCCTCCTACGAGTTGGATTGTTGATATGCTGAACAAGCGCGAGTCTCACAACTCGTCAGGGGCCAGGTTTTATGTGGAGAGATGCGGTGATAGGTCATTTTTAAAGTTGACCGTCACTTGCAAACATTTAGGCAGACCGGTACTTCCGGCGTTTATTGGTCCTGCTGTCATAGTCTTTGTAGCTTGTATTAGTCCTTGCCATGAACGGTGTAACACCGCTGAATCCACTTACGTATGTATCAGCGCCCAACTTGACGATTCTTTACTTGCCAGAGGAGAGAAGCATCCAAATCTAACGGATGGTTCGTTGCAGTTTTACTGTCATGGTTTGGAGTCAATATCAACGATAATTTGTGAAGCTTTTACAGTTGAAGAATTTAGAGGTTTCAACATTTTACATCATGAACATCACGGACAGAGCAGGAATAAGAGTGTTTTTTGGATCATCGTAATAAAATTTATACAAGAGACTTGCCTCTGAAAGGCCAGAGAACATATCTATATAACAGAAATTCATCTATAAAAAGATGCAGTTTAATCGCCCTCCGCTAGGGAGAAGCCAGATTGGTGTTTTGCTAGCAAACACGAGCATGTTAACGTCTCGGACGTATCACAAATCGGCCAGTCTATATGGAACTGTTTTCGAGTTCTTTACAGAGCCTTGCGGGCAGCACGGCGGGCACGGCGGCGGCGAGAAGCGCAGCCAGTCTTGGGAGGAGTGACGGGAGTGGAAGGAGCCTGAGTAGGGGCAGCGGCCTCCTCAGAGGGCTTGACAACAGTGGCGAAAGTAGGAGTAGGAGCGGGAGCCTGGGTCTCAGCGGCGGTAGGGGCAGGGGCAGGGGCAGCGGAGCCAGAGCCGGAAGAGGTTCCCTGCCAGACCTTGGGGCCGGGGAAAGAGTAAGACTGGGCGTTGTAGACGTCAAAGATAATACCCTTGTCGGTGTAGGTGTAACCGGTCTGGAAGTCGAAGTTCTCGTCGGGGACGGCAGTGCCAGATCCAGTGACCTCAACCTGGGCGCAAGAGGGGTAGAACTGGGCACCGCGGGCGCTGTTTTGAGAGAAAGCGACTTCGGCCTCGTGACCGGCAATGATCTCCTGGCGGATGATGTACTTGCCAGCCTTGAGGCTGGAGGGGAGAGTGAAAGTGGCCTTGCCCTCGTTCTTGATGAGCTTGTCAACAGCCCACTGGCCACCCTCGAGACCCTCCTCAGCAATCTTGGTCCAGATAGCACCGGTACCGTCGGTCTCGGTGTAAGGGGCGATGTAGGTGATGACGGGACCCTTGTGAGATCCGTCAATGATATCGTCACCTCGCTCGTTGTGGTACCACTCGAAGGTGACCTCGTCACCGGCAGCAGCGGAGGCGAACTTGGGAGCGGCCTTTCCACCGTTGACGTTGCAGACAATGTCAGCGCTGGTCAAGTCCTTGACGGGGTTGTTGTTCTCGGGAGATCGGATGTAGGTGTTGCGACCATCACCGAGGTCTTTTCCGTTGACCCAGAGGCCATAAACCTGAGCGTGGGCAGAGACGGTGGTGGCCATGGCCAGAGTAGCGGCGGTAGCAGTGAAACGCATCTTGATAGATTTCTTTGTTGTTATAAAAACTTGTTAGGTGGTAAGGATTGGAATGAAGCGAGGATTCGCAAAAGTTGGTTTATATGTTGTTTAGAAAGAATGAAGGTTTGGCACAGCCAAATTGAAAGAAAGTGAAGATAGTTGAGAAAAAAGAAGTGATTTTGCTACGACGAGTGTGGAGGGAAAGAAAAGAAGACATGTTGGAGGAGAGTGAAGCCAACTTATATATCAAATCTCGAGTGTCTTCTCCTCCCTGGTTGAAAGTTGAGTTGCACCCGCCAACGAGGAAACTTCCGTCCGTCAGTCCCGCTAGAGAGGAGCAGGTGCAAGGATCAAGGAAGACAATTTCATCTGTTTACTGTAAGTCTATTACGCGTATCTACCTAGCTGTGCCAGTGACCAGGTATCTCAGGAGAGGCACTTCAGGTCAACGGACCCTTGCAGGAGTTGAGCGTCTCGCCTTTGAGTGTGTACTCCATAGCAGGCCAGATACTGATAGACGGAAAAAATAATCAACTGTAAGCAGCATCAGAGAAGCGGAAATTGGAACCCTGGGCCGCTTACACAAAGGCCTCGCCTGTCAAACGAGAAAACCAAGGCGTTTAACCTTAATCCTTGTCCCACCACGTTTGAGCCTCACAGTTGGACTCGACTTGATTGGTTTATTCAGACAACGGTGAAACTAGACACCTTTTGAGTGGCTGCCTTTAATGTTAATATCGGAGCAAGATTCTATAGTGAGATCTCGGAGCGGTGGTGACCCCTGATCTCGGACCCCTGTCCCTGTCCCTGTCGACCAACCCCAGCAATCTGAGCAGTTGCTTTTCTTTCTTTTTCTTCTATCCCCCGCTTTTTACACCTGAAACTCCAAAGAACCATAGTCTGTATTCCGACTGGGGGATAAATTCTTGGGAGGCGGTCCGAAGCATTTGACGTGTGGTTTCAAGGGGTTTCCAACGGAAGGAAAAGTGAAGAGAGCATCGGACGACAGATGAAGGAGTGAAAAACAATTGTGTTTCGATATGTTTCTTGTCCACGAGATTCTATCAAAAGATTGTAAAGTCATTCATTTGATACGCTTCAGGTTTGCAGTGTTAGAATAAATGCCAGTAAAGATCATTTATACAAGTAAATAACTAGTGAAGAAATGGCGTAGTATTCGGCAAATGGCTGACATTATTAGTATATATGGCATATGCCGTGACTGACGATCACTAGGTACCATCAATTATAAGCATGTATATGCTTCCTATGTAAGCTTGAATCTGTATGGGAAATAAACAAGTGACTGGCAGCTTGACAAGGATCTGTTTGAATCTATCTTTCGATGCAACCCCAAGTATCGTAGCCTCTAACATACTGAGTTTGAGGATGAGCGCTAAAGGCAGCTACCCTAAAGTATGAGTGTAGATCTGGTGTGAACAACACATGGATAATGACGCATGCTACAATTCCTACATCATAACGGAAACATTAATGAGCTACATATAAACAAATATTTCGAAGGTAACAAATGCTATTTGCTTTGCAATTATTGTATAAAAGGTACAAATATGGATTGATAGTTCAAATCTGGTGCAACAACTAATATTTAGCAAAGGTCACCAACTTAAATTATGCATAACATGCATCTAATAAAGCATGAAGCTATAGGATGAAAATAGTGCAAGCTACTTTAGGCATCGCGGCCCGAAAACACCGCTACTGATGTTGCCGGAAAGGCGTACCGTGTAACCGAAACCTCCTCGGCCGATCGCTTCGGACAAATCGTGTTGCTTCGAAACTCCTATCTGATGATAGATGCCAACATAGAGACGCACAACCATTGTAGACAGATAATTAATGCTATTCTTATACTTGGAAAAGTCTCTTTACAAGCATTGGTACTAAACTTGGATATGCCAGACGCAGTTCAATAATACAACTCATGAAAAAAAATTGCATGGTGAGGCGGGCCACAAGCCAATTCTGCCTAACTCCATATCGGCCGCTCGAATCACAGTTGTAGATTTGTTTACAATATATTTTGAGTCTGCTTCACGATACTGGGACGCGCAGTTCTGAATGCCGACGCAAAAAAAGCAACGCGAAACGGATGAAATAGCGAGGAGGATGTCATGTTGGGCCTCGACAAGCTTCTTCCCAACTCCTAACAGGCATTTACTGGCATCTTTCAAAGACTGCAGACTCAGAAGAGCTGGTTCCTGGCCTGATAAATCATTGGATACATGCCTAAGTTGGTCCTTGCCCGAATGAATAAGAGTTGAGGCTGGCATTCTTTCACCGTGTAGAAGCAGAAGAAGAGGACGACGAAGAGGGAGCGTGTCCTCTTAATGTCATAACTACCTAGGCAGGTACACCTCCAAAACCTAAACTTAACAAAACAATGCAGATAAGGGGATTCAGAACTACGCGGCTGTTGTAAACAAAGTAAAAATATCCAAGTAAAGTCTATTCGTGAGCCACAGACTTTTTATTGACATTATAAATAACCGATATCATCTCGCACTTGACTTTTACTCAGCAGCCCTCTCTTTACATACACATACGTCTTTACCCGCTTTTGCAAGCCATACCCATCTTACAATGTACGACTCCGCACACTTACTATCGCTCCCCTTCGAGCTAAGGGACATGATATGGACATTCTGCTCTACTACTGCAGAGCCAAACGGATTGTTGAGATGCTTTCACCAGACAAGGGACGAGTTCACCTCCCCACTGCATACTTACCGAAGACGTTGAAAGACTCCAAATACTCCGGATCTGGCTGGACTCTACATACAATGATGGAGTCTGGCTCAAGTTCGACTATACTTGGGAAAAGGGCGGGCATTATCACCACGCTGTCAGTCAAGTCGGCGACATGAGCGATCCCATCATTCAGACGATTCTCAAGATCCGACAGGTCAACAAGATCATCCTGAACCTTCATGCCCCGAGGCGGGGATACTTTGTGGGTGCGCTTTTTCTGATGCTCACCAAGGCAAACGACGTCTATTGCTTCATGTCCAACATGATGCGAGACATCATTGTGGACCAACTAGACCTAGATTTGGGATACGCTGAGATCAATTTTTTGATAGAATCCAGGCAGCCTGGTCAAACAGCAAACGAAGCAAAGAACTTCTGGGAGTGTCGTTTGCCTAAGGCCCTTCAAGAGCCAATAAGGAAGTATTGGAGCGGTACTGGACAGATGCCCTCCTTCTACGAATATTTCCTCATTAGTCACCCGTGGGAGTTCCTGCGCCCACCCGTTATCAATTATATGACGTGGCCACGGAAGCATGTTCATAGGCACGATCCCTTCACTACGGAAATGGTTCAGAACCTCAAAAAAGCTCTGTTTCAAGGGACGCTCCATGAATGTACCCAATAAGGTTTTGTGGCAACAGACGGTACTTAATTTATATCTCGATCGCTGTGACCTCTAGCAGCAAATCGCAGTGTGGTCGACCGAGTCCATGACTAGAGCACGCTGGACCGGGAAGCGCAATACGTTCGGCGAAAGGTATTGCAGCATTGAGGGACATTGGAAGCATATCTACTACGATAGGGAGAATCTCATGTCCCGGTTCCAGTTCTGGTTGGACAATCTGCCTGGACCTGCTGGTGGGCACATGGATATGTTGCGGCTCCATCGATTCAAGACCATGAACAAGTGCGGTGCCGGTATCTTCGCTCAACAGACCCAGAACTACCTCAAGTCGGGAGGTCCTTACGGAGCATCTACTGAGATCAACAAGTGTCTTGCTACGCTGTTTGATCCTTTTGCAGCTGCTCATATCATCGAAATGCGCGACAGTTGCCCTCATTTTCGAGCAGTGGAATGGGCAACTGCTCCTATTTCTGAGCATACAAAGTATAAGTCCAACGATACCTGGCTTACATTCTATCCAAAGGGCATTCGTTATTATTGGGACAGACGAAACCTTGTCGAATGGAGACTCCATTGGAAAACGCGAGACTACAATCGGCTGGGAAAGAGTGACAAGGGTCATTATCGCCGTAACAATGTACTTTTGCACCAATGGTGGGAATGCGTAGCTTCTTACCAAGACTCGGGAGCCATTCTCAACAATCTCGCGCTTCCCATGGAGCTTGAAGCCCTACAGGGGGCGCTCAAGTCCTTTCCAAGCCATCCCGCGGATAGCGAGCGCCCAGTTCTTGTTCGACGAGATCGGGATGAGTATGTTGCGCGCGTGGTCAGAAAGGGTTGCGGGTATATGGATGGACATTATTGTGTTATGGCTTGGCGGTGTTTGGCCTGGGCCAACTATACAGGAGCGAATCCATTCTTCCATAACGATAGGGGATTCAAAGAATTTGTGGGTGTGGTATACAACCCGTACGGGTCTGTTATGTATATTCCAAGTTAAGCTCGTTGGCGTTCTCACATATCGAAAGTTTAGAACAATGTCTACAGTATCACGTATTTTTTTTTATCAGAGCTTCCAAATCGTACATGACATGACAAGATCCAGTGAATACTACTTATTGAACATCAAGGAACAGGGTATATAATTCCCTACGAAATCAACTATTGTTGTATCTGCTCGAAAATATGGCCTTTTTCTTAGTTTGACCCAGAGGCCGCTGCCTTCTTTGACACCACAGCATCGTCCACACTTGGCGGTGCAGGAATGTCCACGCCCTCGACCCTGTACTCTAACCCTGGATACGCATCGCTGATAACAAGAACATCTAGCTTGCGGGCTTGTCTAGCCTCGGCCGGGGGAAGCTTGATGCTTGTCTTGGCTGTAGGCTTGCTGCCAGCCTCGAGCTTGCGATTGCCGCTTGTCCAGCCCACACGCTTCACTGCGATGACCTCGTCGCGCGATAGATCTGCAACGACAACGAACCAGGACTCTGTTTGAGGCTTGGGGAACTTTGGCGCATATATGCGAGCCTCGCGCTCCACAAGTTGGTTCAGACGCCTCAAGCTGATCGTGATTGAGAGAGCCGTGGCTTCGGCGATAGAGACCTCAACGTTAGGGAGAATAGACACCGCACGAGCAAAGCGATTGTGCTGGCTGGAAGGAACGCACAGCTTCTTAGCAAGTTGAATTGCCTGCGGCTTTGTCAATGCGCTTATCTTGGAAAGTGGTGTGTCGTTCTTAACGTCAGGTTCGATATTAGGAAGAATCGAGACTGGCGCGTCAGTGGGCCAACGAGCCGCCTTGACGGACTGGAGGACCGCTATCATCTGCAAGCAACTTGAAAGGTAGCCCAATTCTGTGAGAACATCGATAGAAGCCTGGACAATACGAATAGCCTGATCGAGTACACTGGTCTGATCACCGACGTAATCAGTGATAGGAAGTTCAATCTGGGACATGTGGGCCTGGAGAAGTAGGAATGCCTTCACATGGGGATCCCACATGGGAAGTCCAAAGGCGTGGCCAGGGAATGGCAGGTTATCAGAAAGGGTGTTGTTGATGAGATCCTCGTTGTGGCGCACAGGAAGTTCATCGTATTCAGTGGCACGAGACATCCAAGACAGGACGTCGAGGAAAGAGGCCTGTGCCTTTGCATACTTTACAAGGTGGCGGATTGTCTTGTGCGATAGGTAGTAGTAACTCATGATCTTGCCCAAAGGCGTGGGATCAACATCGCCGTTGGGGAAAACTTCGACACACTTGGAGTCGGCGAGCTCGTTCAGCGACTTGTTTACCATTTCGATCATGTAGTCGTTCGCGAGCTGCTGAGCGGCGATGCTGTTGTGCTCTTCAGCCGAAATCTCCAAACCGTAGTATGAGGGATTCTTGTGCAGCCGGCGGAAGAAGAATGTCCAAGTGAGATAGTCGAGCGCATCCTGTTTGGTAACAATGGTCTCGGATGAGACTTCGGCGCACAGATGGTTGTCCAAAACGGTGTGTAAAGAGGACTCGACTGGGAAACCTGTGTGAAGGAAGTGTTTGTAAAAGTCCTTTTTGGAGTCCTTGGTAAATATACGAGCAACTCCTGAATTATCGAACTGGGGACGACCAGCTCGTCCCAACATTTGCAACACATCGGTCAAATCCATGTCCTTGTATGCTTCGATCTTGGCGTCGAAGAATTGAGTGCCCTTGACAACGACCAAGTGCGCAGGCAAGTTGACACCCCAAGCAAGGGTACTGGTGGCGACCAGGATCTGGATCTTGTTGTTCAAAAAGAGCTCTTCAGCAAGCTGGCGATCTGACTCGACCAGACCAGCATGATGAAGGCCAATACCAAAGTTGATGGCTTCCTTGAGTGCGTCGTCTTTGACTCGAGCAAGGTTGAGCTGCAAATCCTCCTCATCCATGTGAAGGAAGCGTCGAGGGTTATCCTCCATACCACAAAAGTTGATAAGATCCTTGGCAGTCAAACGCGTCTGCCGTCGCGAAGGGACGAAAACAATAACAGGTTTATCAGGACTGTGGTTCTTGACAGCCAGGAAGGTAGGGCGGTTCATCGACTGCATCAGAGGACAGAAGCCCCTGACTTCCGGGAAACCGTCAATATAAAGCTCCAGAGGAACAGGACGAACGGAATGCTTAAAGTTAAAGAGACCCTCTTTAACACCCAACCAGTTTCCAAGATCTGTCGCGTTGGCGCAAGCGGTTGACATGCCCAGGAGCCGAACAGCGTTCTTGGTAGAAGAAGCAATGTAGTTCATACGAGACACAATGATTTCAAGAATAGGACCACGGTCACCCGCTAAAAGATGGATCTCATCAATGATGACTAGGCTGACCTGCCGAACGTACCCTCTTGTCTGCCAAGAACGAGAAATACCATCCCATTTCTCAGGGGTTGTGATGATGATGTCAGCATCTTGAATAGTCCTAGTATCAGGTGTATTGTCACCAGTCAACTCTACCAACTTGAGACCCAAAGGTCGTGCCAGCCTCACACCCCAGTCCTTAACACGCTCGCGGACGAGCGCTTTCATAGGGGCAATATAGACAACCTTTGACTTGGGTCTCTCGCGGAACGCCCACCACATAGCAAGCTCGGCAGCTACGGTCTTTCCACTACCGGTAGGTGATCCAAGGAGCACATTGGCGGGGGTATGGTAGAGAGTGTGGAAGATTTGAGTTTGCATAGGGTTGAAGAAATCGAAGCGCTTGGCATACAATTCTTCTAATGCTGGGTTCTTCAGCGCAGATATGGGCAATGGTTGCAAGTTCAGGAGTTCAGTATAGACACTCTCTGTATCCGGACGAATAAGATGTTGGAAAGAGACAGGCGTGACGGTTTCTGCACCTAACCATCTGTCTGATACTGCTCTGACATAAATCTGACTAGGGAGGGGATCTGAAAGCGGAATTGTAAAGTTAAGCTCATGGTCATCATGCAACTTTCTCCTGTTGAGGATAAAAAACTCGTGGTGATAGATCTCTGAGGTTTCAGAGTTCTCAACCCAGATGTAAAATGACTCTGAAGTTCCATGAATCTGATCATGCCATCGGAAGTCGGGAATGACGTAGAGCTTGATGCGCAAGACATCTCGGTTGAGTGGTGCAATTTCAGCCTCAACGTGAACTGTAGGGAAGTTGTTCAGGATCTTCGCGATGTTCTTGCCAGCACTCTGGTTATGGATCAGGCCTCCAATCTCGGCAGGCTCCATGTCTTTCATCGTCTCAATGGTCAAGTGTTCCTTGGTATCGAGTTGGTTGAGAACAGATTTGGCAAGGTCGAACTGATGAAGAGGGTGTTGGTAGGGCCAGATGCGCTTTTCAATCGATTTTGCCAGGGTCAGAAGCACAAGGCACTGGTGACCCCATCTACGGTTGAGGGCAAGCATAAAGAGTGCTCGACAGATACGTCCAGACTGCTGAGCGACGTAGTTCATATCGTTGGAAAGAGCAAAATCTTCAGGCTGAGCCTTGGAGATGTAAGACTGGAGGAGAATATTCGTCTTTGCTTGAGGAGTATCGATACCTCCATCGACATCGCAAGGAATAACCTCTCGTCGCAGGTGAGTCAACTCTTTCTCCTCACTATCTCTGGATTGAATGTTGTCAAACTCTCCACTCATGCTGATCATCTTCAGGATATCTGCTTCAGTAGCCTGGGGCTGCATCATAGCATTGAACACCTGGACACTTGTGTGCAGGATGTAATATTGACTGGCGATTCGTCCAATATCCTTACTGCGAAGTTCCTCTGTCCTCTCGTTGTAGATGATCATCTGGCATTGCTGCAGAGTTTTGGCGGCTTGAATAGCGAGTTGACGGCGTCTTTGAACCAGGTTTGGGTCGTCTCGGATCTCTGACCATTCAATACCGTAAGACATAGGGCTTCTCTGCATACGCACAAAGAGGTAAGAGTACCCAATCCACTGGACAGCATCGGGAATTGAAGTCACAGTACCCAGTGAAATCTCGGCGTTCAGGTTGTCGACTAGCTTCGTAGAGAATTTGGATTCAATAGGCTGCTGTTCAGTCACAGCGGTCAAGTAATGGGTAAGTTTATCATGGGTGGTGCAAATCATGCCGATACCAGTATCCTCAAATTGAGGACGACCGGCACGACCGAAGATTTGCAGCACGTCTAAGATACCCAAGTCGACAAACTTACCATCCTGTGCGCTATAAACCTGAGTTCCCTTGATAACAACTGCAGCAGCGGGCAAGTTAACACCCCAGGCCAGGGTGGCGGTACAGCAAAGGACCTTCAAGACACCTTCTCCGAAAAGTCTTTCCATTAGGTTTCTGTCAGATCTCGCCATACCAGCATGATGAACACCAATTCCCTTAGACAGCAGCTCTCGAATCTCCTTGGACTTGGATTGTTTGATATCACGAGACGCTTGCTCGAATCCAGGATGATAAGTAGGATCAAGCAGGTCTGCACACATGGCATCAATGGCTTTTTGGTGCAGCATGCGCGCTGTAAGCTGCGTATCCCTTCGTGAATGGACAAACACCATGACTTGGTGATCACGCTCAAGCATTTCTTTGACCTTGTCAAATGCCACCTGGTCCAAGTTATCTCTAGATTGTTTTGTGCCTGGCTTTCCTTTGACTCCAATAAAGTGTTGCTCAAGAGGAACAGGGCGGAAGGATGCGTCGAAATAAAACAGACCAGCATATTTGTTAACCTTGAGAAAATCGGCAACATCGACATAGTTAGGTAGCGTGGCACTGAGACCGACAATTCGAATGAGAGATTGTGTGCTCTCTACTTGTCGTTCCGTTCGAGCGACAAGTGATTCCAACACAGCACCTCTCTCGTCGTGGAGCATGTGGACTTCGTCAATGATGAGAAGCCGGACTTTTTGAACGAGTTCGGTGTCTCCAGTACCCTTTCGCGTAACAACATCCCATTTCTCAGGGGTCGTCACAATGATTTGAGTCTGGATGATCTCGGACTTTGTAAGTTGCATATCTCCAGTGTACTCTCGACACTTGATACCGAGCCAAGCCAGACGCTTACCCAGCTTGTCCGTGACTTCGGCAGCGAGAGCCTTCATGGGAGCAACATAGACGATCTTGAAGTCATCAGCGTTGACTGCGAACTCGGTTGCTGTCGGGTTTTCAAAAGGGTTGGGCTCAACATTCTGAGCAATGGTTTGAAGGATAGTAAGCATGGCAGCATCTGTTTTACCAGCACCAGTGGGTGCACAGATGAGCATATTCTCGCTGGTCTTGTGAGCGACAGGATAGACGAGACTTTGCATTCGATTGAGCGTCTTGTAACCCTTGAATGTGTTCCGACACAATCCGTTCAACTCTTTGATAGGAATGAGTCGCTGCCCGGGACCCAGGGCACCCTTCTTTCCTGCTGGAATAGAATACTCTTCATATTTGTCGAACGACAGTCTCTCGCTCCCAACTGGCAGCCCGTACTTCTTTCCAGCATAGCTCAATGTATTGCCAGCATTGTATGCTTTGTAAACGTGGGGGTACTGGGGTTCCTTGGAGTGGGCCGGTGCAAGCGTTGCAGACTTGTGAGCTTGGTCTTGACGGCGCAAGTTTTCTTCGCGTTGAGCTTTGTTCAAGAGTCGAGGCCCGCTGGAACTCCCTTGACTCTGCTCGTTGACAGCAGAGACGATTTCATCCCTGTGTCCGAGGATCTCGATAATGAAGTCAAGATCGTCGAAGCCAACCAAGTCAGTCAACTGAATTTGAAGCTCATCTTCAGAGCGGCCAGAGTTGAGAACACTCATGATCTGGCTCTCGAAAACATCAGCCGAGAGACCATTCTTAGCGGCAATGGCTGAACACTTAGTCGCAAACCACTCAGCACCATAATCCGCGGCGCCTGGTGCATCGAAAGCTTCTCCATCGGCGAAATCGCTACTCAGAGCTTCCTGGTCGTCATCTGAGATAAAGTCCCAAACGTCTTGGCCGCTGTTTCCGCTGGAATAGCCGCCAAATTCATCCTCATCAAGATCATCATCAACTGTTCCGTTCTCTTGGTGGATTTTGAGGTTGGCGATGGCCTCTTGCATAGCTGCAAACTGCTCCCGCCACAGCGCCTCTGCAGCGCTCAGTTGTTCGGATGCCATGATGTAATCGATGCTTAGTCCTCGCGATGGCTTTTATTCTCGTAGCCTAATGGCGGACTGGTTAGACCACAGTCTGCCGTATGCTGTGATGCAGAAGGACGTTATTCTGCTGCCTATGTTGATTTTGGCAGGTGACGTCCTTTTGATCTCAACCTTGACAGGAGTTGCTCGTCGAAGATTGGCTCATGATGGTGGATGTGTCGGACTTTCAAAGAGTCATACCGTGCATCAGTAAGTGGACAGAATAATACCCCACTAAACAAGTCCCCCGCCTAGCCGCCAGTGCGTCCTCACCAGTGCTTCTTGGAACTGTCGGCGACGTGGGGAACATGTGACGCCCCTAAAGTCTAGACAAATCCGGGCTGGGTTACTTTACTTACGGTGACAGAGGTTTGCAGCATTCAATCAACCCCAGACCTAGAGTTTATCTACTCCGACTTCCTCATATCTAACTCTTTCATTCCTACTTTCGCCTATTGCGCCCTTCAACCCACTTACAATCCCATCCTCCCTACAAACTCGGCCAAGCAATCATGAAGCTGCATTACATCGGTGTACGCTATCCCCGTGCCCCTCACCGACCGACCGCAACACTCCGTCCAGTTGGGCTAACCAAGCTGCTGCGACCAGGTCCTCCGCAACGAGAGCCAGCCGGCTCATGAGATTGTCGCTGAAAAGGAGCTCAGCAGCTACTCGCGATTTACCCGCAATAAGTTAGTTTCTCCCTTATCGCCGCGGTCTCCCATCCCGTATCGGCCGACCCGCGAGGACTAACTCGCAAACTTTAACAGCTATGGCGAATTCATGACACTATTCGCAAAGACTGTCGCCGAGCGCACCCGTCCTGGACAGCGACAGGATGTCGAGGAGCAAGGTATACACGATCCGAACCCTCCCCAACGTCGCAAGGCTCACATGCGTATTCTGCAGACTACACTTTCCACGCCTACGGCCGTACAGAGGGTGTCTGCGGCATCATCATCTCCGATCACCAGTACCCTGCCCTTGTGGCTCACCAACTTCTCAGCAAGGTTGTCGACGAGTTTCTCTCCAAGAACCCCCGCTCCAGCTGGGCAACCGGAACACCCACTCTCGCCATGCCTGAGCTGAAGGAGTACCTCACCAAGTACCAGGATCCCCAGCAGGCTGACAGCATCCTCAAGATCCAGAAGGAGCTGGACGAGACCAAGATTGTTCTCCATAAGACCATTGAGAGTGTGCTACAGCGTGGAGAGAAGATCGACGATCTAGTGGCCAAGAGTGACGGCCTAAGCGCCCAAAGCAAGATGTTTTACCGTACGTCACTGCTTATTCATTATCTTCCGCCCATTATTTGACAGCAGCTCACTAACTTGTTTCCGCAGAGCAAGCCAAGAAGCAGAACTCTTGCTGTATTTTGATGTAATGGACCATTTCATTTTTCCTGGCGTTGGACCTGGCTTCTTTTCAGCACATAAGGGATGTCGGCATTGAGATTGGTTATTCGTGTGGCGCAGATACTTCCAATCGTTTATTTAACCCACCATTCACTCACAGAGCCATGTCTTTAAAGCGAATTAGACTTGTCGAAAGGGGGGTACTAGAGGAATTTCATCACGCACTACAGCTGGTGTTTCAAGTTTGAGGAAGATGAAATGTCCTCTTTTGATATATTCAGTCCAGAATCGGACAACAGTGAAATTACTCACTTATCGCCAAAGCTAACCTAGATATAAAGAAAAATACAAATCAAGGAGAAAGCGTCTTTCTACTTTTGTCAAGAAAAACTCCAATATGCTTTGAAGACCAATTTAGTGTGTCGTCTTCCCATTTAATGTTTCTCCAGCGCCTTGCTGTAACCCGTAATACATAATGCTCCAGCATAGCCATTTTTGGCGTGCTGCTTATACAAATGAAATAGTGTATATGGATGAAGAAGAGGCTGACTCAGGGGTAATGTACCAAGCGGCCCAAACCAGTTGAGACCGCTGTGACAATCGCTACCAGAGCAAAGCAAGTTTCCAAGTGAGTATTGTATGAACTCGTGTTAAGGAAAGTAGAGAAAAGGGTGATATAAAATAACGATAGTAAGTTTCAATGATGAAACAGTGAATCAGGACTCCTCGAAAATAACCATCTCGCTCTTACGATGTGTCTGGTATGCATCGGGAGAGTGTGTCAATTCTCGCGGGTTTACCAAGACAGGGGTAGATGACCTGGTCTCAGCCAGGCGTTCGCCCTCCTCGATGGGGATATAGCCAGGCCCAGATGTAGCAGGACTGCCATTGCGCCTATGCCTGACACTGGGGTTACTCTTCAGGGGGTGCAGCATCTTGCGCTGCTGTTGAGAAACGCTGATCTGGCGAGCGATAGAGATCTCAACAGCATTTCGCAGGGCTTCCTGGGCGTCAGTGTCGGGACTCTTCTTCTTGGGTGATGACAAGGACGAGGAAGGTGAAAATCGCCTTGAAGCCCCCGCGTTAGATGATGTGACCGAAGCAGGGGGTGAGGCCATTTGCCACGACGCTTGAGAGGGAGATGTGTTTCTTCCTTTGGCAACATGAACATCCTTCTCGTCATCTGTGTGTTCAGGAGACACAGGTACTGCTCCAGAGACAGGCGTGTAGGGGGAGTTCTGTCTGGAGAACTTTTCGGGCGAGACGACTGCCCTAGGGGGCGAAGGATGTATCTTTGGAACAAGGCTGATTCTTTCTGCAGCCGTCCCGCTGGGACGTCTGTTGAACTTGGAGACTAAAACAGGCTGGTAGTGTGTAGCCTGTGAGGCAAACTTGTCGTGTTGCACTTCTGTGCGTGAGAGTGTAACGACCTGAGCCTTGGCTTCGTGGGTCAAGATCTCTGGCGTCTGTACAAAACTGGCTGAGTCGTATGGGGCGGGAGATGTGTTAGCACGGAAGCGAGGGGAAGGCAATGGCTTCATCTGATCTACAGTAGGAACGAAATTCGGCGAGGGCTGTGGCGAGGTTGCTCTCCGTGGACGACGAAAATCTCGATTTTCGGTAATAGCATCCTTGACCATCTTGAGGTGATCTAGATTCGCTTGTCGCCGGGCAAGTAGTGAGGAAGCTGATCCTTGCTGGGGCTGCAATACACTGTTGAACATAACACTATATCGGTCCATTTTAATATCAGGGATTTCGACATCAAGTAGTGACCGAGGGATCGCGGGCATCGGTGGTGGTGAGGAGGGTGGCACGGCTACCCTTTGCGCTCTCTTCTTGCTCGAGTCGCCTCGGAAGGCCCTCAGTGACATCTTGCGACCCATCCCTCCAGATCCAGGCTCTTTTGGCTTTGTCTCCTTTGTTGCCTTGATTTCGTTGATAGCCTTCTCTTTCCCAAGTTTTGACGGCGAAAAAGTGGCCTGGCTCGGTGTTTGTGTAGGCAGTGGTGATTCTTCGATCACCTGTGCTGGTTGAGAAATAGTTGGTTCAGTGTGAGATCGAATAACAATTGGTTTATGTTTTGGTGGTCTTCGTGAACTTGGTTCTCCCGAGACTGATGATGGTAATCCAGAAGAAATTAATGATGTGGTGGAAGCGTTGCTATCTGTCAAAGACCGTTGAGGCTTCTCGGGCCTCGTTCCTCGTTTTGACTTTGAACGAAATATACCCCACTTGCGATGCTTTTGATCGTGTTCCTCAACAGGCTCTGGTGCAGGCTTAGGTTCGGATTCTTGTATGGATTCTGGTGCATCAACTGCTGCATTCATAGCCCTGTTTTGCGGGTTCCAAGGCGCCGGCGCTGAGTCTCCCATGTGTGATGGACTTCCTATGGCCATACCAACGGCAATTACTCCAACCTCTCCAGTGTCTCCTACAGAATCCGGGGTTGAGGTTCGCACTAGAGTCGTTGTTGATAGTGATGAAGTGCGCGGGCTGAGGTCGGGAGATGGAAGTCGGCCATGGATGGGGATGTGAAACGCCGTTACGTTGCCCTGCCTTGAGCTTTTTAGGATGAGAGCAAGGTCGTCTCTGGAAACACGTTTGTTGTCCAAGGAATGATCAGAAAAGGATTTGCTGTCTGAACGATCGACGGTGAAGCTGCCTCTGCGCTGTAGTAACTGTCGTTGGGAACCGGAGGCCGCTGACACAGTAGCGGCTCTGGAGAGATTTGTAACATTAGGCATGACTGAAGAGATGTGGTCTCGCAATTATGCGAGGGGGGTCTCTCTATGCTAATGGGCCGACTGTTCAGAATAGATTGACTTCAAGCTGAGGGAACATGTAACAGATGAAGAGCACGGCGGAGCGTGTGGGAGATATTTGCTTGGCTTATAGAGCATGAAAAGAGTCTTTGTTTTGACAGATGGTCCCCTGTATCGAACAGGGTCTGACACAGAATATGGTTCACCAAAGACCAAGCTACCAAGCAAGTTCCCAGGGACCAGGATCCTCTTTAAAAAAGAAGCCCATTTCCATTTGGATGCTTTGAACGGGAGGCGACCCTCGTCTCACAGGGACCACCCCGCCTTTTATGAGGAGCCTATGATATGGAGCGATTGATGAGAATCGAGACGAATGGGGATAAAAGACCGGCAACCAAGAGGGAATTGTAGCCAAGATGACGATGCAGTTGCAGGGGTGAAATGAAATAAGCGCAAGAGGCAATTTCCATGCTCAAAAGCCTATCCCCGGATTGGTACAAGAGAAGCAACATGAATCAGCTTCTCAGCCAGCCAAAGGGCAGACTCTGGACTCTAGAGACTCATTTCGAGGACCTGGGGGCCCCGTCTTGGTCCTGGGAAACAGGCTAAAGGCGCATTTGCATTGGTCGCATGTTTGAGATTGATGGGACGGACGGGTTTGGTTCCTGGAAGTCAAATCAAGTCAGAAATCTTTAACACAACCCGGCAATGAATCCATCTAAGACTAGGGCCAAACAAGGTCTGACCAGGGTATCCCCTGTTGAGAAGAGTCAATTAGTGGGGTCTATGTCGTGTGTCAATGAGTGACCCTATCTAATACGATATAAAACCTCGAGGTATATTTAAGTTCATTTGATCAATGCCTAGGAAGAAGCCGGTTGTAGCATGAGCGGTTGTTGTTCAGTCGAGATTTGACGCCCGCTTAGAATCCACTGACTGACCTATAACGCGTTACGGTTAGTTCCTTCCCTATAGCCGCCGTTCTAACGTTCGATATAGAACAATGTCTCATTTGAATCGGCCAACGCGGCAATCTGTCGCCATTACTAGGGTATTCTCGATGAGTACACACACACACACTTGGATACTGTAACGGTCAACGCTGATCTCGGACTTACACCCAACCTTGGCAGTCTTTCTCTGTGACAACCAAACCAAACCAAGCAAGACCCGATTCATGTACATGATCCTTCGTCTTGAATCGCGGTCAGCTGTCACAAAACCATCTCTGCCTCTAATTGCCTCAATTGCACTCTTTCTTACCTGCCTTAGCACCTACTAGGCAGTGGACAACGCTGGAAAGCTAGGTACCTACTCTAGGTGCAGGGTCCATCTCACTGTCGTACTTGCATGCAGCTGCTTGACCTCATTTACTGCGCCGTGTATCTCCTTGACAACACCTGCATGATACTTTTAAAGCGTAGTATTGTATGACGCGTGTGTTGTTGGGCTTGGGTTGGTCGGTCTCTCGAAATTAGAGGAGCAGCACATGAAAGCATACCCACCCTGTCACAGCCTTGTATGAAACACCCGCATTTTTCAGACAGCTTACTGCAGGCACAAGACAATCTGCAAGCAACTCAGATACAAGTATCCAAATCAGGATACTAAAAGCCACAAATTGCAGAAAGATTCCAGTTGCGCCCCGTCTTCTGGAACTTTTCAGGTGGCGGGCACAGATCATTATTGTCTGATGCATATCTGCAAGTGCCTGTTTGATGTCCTTCATCTCATTCACAAGCTTCAGCTCATTTACATCCGACGCCCATTCAATTTAGGGCTGGACTCTGACGTCCCCTTGATATTAGCGAGCTGAAGCCCAGGACCAAGGATCTGTGCTCAGTCATGAACTCGGGATACAGTCGCCTAATTGGGACTTCCGGAGTAGTAACGTACTCTGTACACGGTTTAGCTGCGTCACTTTGCCCAAACCAGCGATGAAAGCATTGTTGATGATACTCTGTAATAGAGAGAGCGAATTTCAACAATCATCAAAACCCTCAGGGGCCTTTTCTTTGTCCATTCGACTTGACGTTTCACATCATGGCTAGGGTTACTATCAATTCGTCTCAGATTGCTAATTTCCATTTTGTAGCACCAACCGGCACGGGCCAAAGAAGCAGCTGGGCTCACACACCCTAGACGAAGTTGATGTGCAACCTTGATTTTCCTCTCGCTCCTTACCTGTACATCTGGATCTCTTCTGATGCCTCTCTCCAGAGTCGCATTCGTGGTTTCATGGCGCTCATAGCCGATACAAAGACTAGAACAGACACTACGTCGAACAAAGGAGAGAGCCGAATACATGATGATTCCTACGGGCAATATCCGGGCCCCCCCACCCCCGATGTTATCGGCAATGCTATTGCTCTTAATAAAGATCTTAAGAGTTGAAACGTCAAGGATTGATGTGGTCCTATGGCTTGAGTATCTCTCCGAAAGTTTTGCTGCGGACCCGTTCAGTCGGTTGGTGTTGGCAAAAGCAAAGTGCTGTCGATAAGCAATATCAGTCTAGCGTGCGCCTCGACCAAAAAACGTCGTTTGCTCTTTCACTTTCGGGTGGCTTTCTCTATCGGAAACTTTGTAAGAACCTAATCATCTGGTCGGTGCTGGCCTCCTATGCAGAGCCCAAGTATTGGCCATTATGGTATCCATTACATGGCGTGTATGCTCAAGCGGGATACTCCCGCGTAGGCGATTACATTAATCTCCGCGTTGGATATATATTAGACATCCGGTGAGTGTACAATGTATATCCGTTAGAGATACAACATGCCACCGTTCCTCTAGTTCGATATAGAATGTCATAAATACAACATATTTCCGTTGACTATAGTTGCCAAAGACCCGATGCTCCGCCTGCCTTCAGGTAGGTCAAAGATGTCATCTAAACATTGAGTGCATGCAGGAGGAATGCTTGGTAAGATCGGGTATACGTTGCAGAGAGGTCTGAACTGTGTTTTGAATATGTTATTTGTCTATCTTGACTAAGCGGAATACCCTAGTTTCATACATCATATGTTATCTGAGCTTGTAAATAATAGTAATAAACCGTACGATCGAGATGAAGATCGCAAACTGATAATGTGACCATGAAGGGTCTATGCTTCATCTTCTTCACCGTATACACATGTTATCAACTACGTATACGAGACCCAGTCTGGTTGTCCAAGCATGTGAATATATCCAGTTGTTGCGAATAAATCGCTGCCTTTGATAAGCTCGGTTCTTGTAGAACCCAAAATTAGAAGCAATCACAACTTATCCTCAAAGATACGGTCAACCATTCGTTGATGATTCTTAGCGGATGTCCCATCCACACAAGCGGGCCGCCTGAGTTCCCGCAGCTCTAACGCCAACAGAGTTGACCACCCAAGTTAATTTACTAGAATAAGTAAACAATGATTGCTCTATTAGTGTCTAGTACCCAAGTATAGGTTAGGCATATATGCTCAGTTGAGCCTCAATCTGTAACTATTTGTGTCAACGAATTATGTATGCCTAAAATAGCCATCAACAAGGAAGTACACAGTTTAATACCGATATGAAAAGACAAAAAGGACGACAAAAAACACAGCGTGACATGGGAGCTGTTGATCATGCTGCCGACCGACACATCTGAGAACCGTTGGGTTCAAAGTATAGGGTACAAGGTCCCACCACTAACGAGGTGTCACCGACTAAAGTATCCAATACTCATTGGACAGCATTGGAGCTCGATAACATTTTTGGCGGGGACTGATGGCCGCCTGGAGGGGCAAAGCTCCAAAAGAATCACCACATCAGACCGACGGCGGGGAACAACAGTCAAAGCAGTTGACAACCTCCCCCGCCAAAACAAACCTCACCTACCTTACTTTTATACCTCCCCGACCTAGATCTAAACTTTTGCAACCTTTCAGACTCAGACTCAGACTCTTAACAAACTCGCTCCTACACCCTCACACATCATCCATCATGTCGTGGCAAGGTCAGTACTATATCTCTTCTTCCCTTTTACATTCTATAATCATGGTCACGTCCCTGATTTTCCTCTACCCCTCCTCACCCGCCCCTCCATGCACCGACTGATGGTTGGTTTTGTTACTCATCACCGCCTCAAAATAATTCTCTGCCTCAAACTCAACTCGAAATCCGGATGAATGGATAAGAAAGATAGCTAACATGATATAGCATACATCGACTCAAGGTACATTTTCCCTACATCCCCCAAACACAGCTAGGAGCAATCATCATGGTCCTCACGTCGGCGCGAATACCGAGCGAATGCTGACAATATCTTCACAACAGCCTCGTCGGCTCCGGTCACATCGACAAGGGCGCCATTATCAGCGCCGCTGGCGACAGCGTTTGGGCTGCCTCTTCCGACCTCCAGGTACATAGAAAAAAATCCCTTCTCACCGACACAACTCGCCGAAGCGAAGGACGACCCCTGCGTCGATGATCAAAGAACGTTCCTGACTGACTTGCGACCCCACTATAGCTCAAGCCTGAAGAGATGAAGGCCATCTCTGCCATTGTTGGCGGTGACACCAAGGCCATGGACAAGGCTTTTGCCGAAGGTCTCTACATCGCCGGTGAGCGATATGTTATGGCCCGAGCTGAGGGTCGAAGTATCTACGCTCGATCGGTACGATATCCACATCACCATCTTTCTGCCCCCTGACACACCTCACTGACATTTCAACAATAGGGTCGTTCCGGTGTCGCTGTCGCAAAGACCACCCAGGCCATCGTCGTCGGCCACCACGGCGAGGCCCAGGTCGCCGGTAACGCCACCTCTACCGTCGAGGGTCTCGCCGACTACCTCATCAAGTCGAACTACTAGATATTGGTTTGTGTGCAAGGCAAGGCGAAGAAGGGTTTTTGGGCGGAATTATCTGTCAGAAGCGTCATAAAAAACGCTGTATGTCCGTAGACCGGATAGTCAACGCAGCTGTAACGAGCTTATGCCAAGAGGAGCGAGCGCCTTTGTTTTTAGAACACTGGGGTTGAGCTTCAAGCTTGAGTGTATGTGTGTATTTGGAGGACATTTCCCCGACCAGAAATTGGTCAACAGAGTTTGTTTCTACTGCATGATTCAGCATCTGGGCAATTCCATCGCCGTCCAGATCCCGTCTTCCGTATGCCAGATTTGAGAGAAAGTAGAAAAGATCTCTAGACGTCATCCATATTGACTTTCCATTACAACTCGCACTTACATCCGTTCTGCGCCTTCCCCGTCTCATGCAACATGTACATTGCTTTTGTCCATAAAAGTGTCGTGATAATTCTTTATGCCATTAACGCCTATTCCAAGCCAGTATGGTCCTCTAAACTTCGTCTCTCATGTCCACAAAGACATGCAGCTCTTGGGTCTTTCGCATAACACAGCCTCTCGTTTAAACAATTTGGACTATTAAGTTTCTGCTGGAACTTTATGTCCCGATGAACTAGACAGGGAGCTCGGCGTTTCGTCTTCCAAGACCTATTCTGTCGACAACCATTCCGATATAGGGTCCCACAACAGGCAAGCCTCGCGCGAAGCCGGCAATCGTCCCTAGGAAATCTCCAAACAAGATGACTATACCATACGCTTCCACAAGGAACCCGATAAAGGTCCACTTCATGAAGATAAGTATTAAGCCCAGGAAGAACGCCGCCGTACCCTTTGCTTTCTGTTTGCGAGCGAAGAAGAGAAGAGTCTTTTGAGGTCCAATAATGATGGTCAAGCCGATGAGGAAGAGAATCTATTCGTTCGACGGTCGTGTTAGCAATCGGTTCGGTGGGATACAAGGTGTGGAGGTCGTCATACGTTTCCCATAGCAAGCCTGGGAAGCAAGTTAGCAAAAAGTCGTTGGTAAGGGGGCGCGGGTGAATTCCTACATAGATCGATCAAAGAAGAGCATAACACCTCCTATCAGGAAGAAGCCTCCTGCGAAACCATCAGTTTCCATAGTTCATGATGCGCCGCGCCTATAGAGCAAGCTATGCGCATGCCCATGTATGTATACATACCGCCGGAGCAAAAGACAACTCCAATTTCTATCGAGAACAGTCAGCTTCTGTGCATACCGAGCATCACGTCCATCCAAGCATAGCTTCACCGTGGACTTATTGCAGCTCAAGTGCAGGGGGTAAGCTAAGCGCACATACTTTGGGTATCTGTCAACCACATTGACATCTTGGCGGTTTAATAGTTGTACAGACAGGATCTTGATTCGACAAAAACTGCAGCAGTCGAGTGGCCGATAGGAAATGTATATATTGTAGAAGCTCAATGGATAGAGGTGAGATTGGGTGTAGGGAGAAACGACAACTCGAACGTTGCCTTTTCTTCGTCACCAGTTCCCTTGGAGGACAGGACACGTTCCAGGGGTTTGTATATGTAAACGGTGATTGACAGGGCTGTACCAAAGAGGGCCTAGAGGATGCCTGAGAGGTCAGGAGCTGTCGCGTGTCTTATTGGCTGCGTTTGTCGAAAGTGGGTGAGCGTGGGACTGTCTTCAAATTCTGCTGGAACACCGATTTAAAAGAATCGCATCGTTCTTCATCTCACTTTTAAGTTGCAGAACAAACTCCCAACCAGCAGGTTTCCACTCTGAAGCATTCCGATTTTGAGTGCCATATAAAGTCGGGAGCGTGTTGTTTCTCACCGATATGTTTTAAGTTTGGTAAAGAAACACCACACATCGAAGAAACAGCATTCACGTTGGATTCATTCTATTGCTATACACATTTATCTGGACAGATCACCTCATCTGTCCCTGCCGCGACGGCCAGCGGCGTTCTTCGCCCTGGCAACTGAGATACGTTTCTTCCCCATACGTTCTCGGTAATCTGTCGACTTAGGCAGAGAACAAAGCTTTACATGATCACGATTAAGCCGGAGCGTCAATTGCCATCCCTTGGCCGAAAGGCCTAGGGTGCATAGTTGGGGCTTGACTTTGTTGGTCGGACATTTTTTGTCTCGTACTCTATTAAGTGGTATCTCTGTATAACGCGCGCATGTGTATGTATGTCTGGTAATTCCGTACATTTGTTGGCGAGAACGAAGCCGTCTCATCTGCTTCCTTGATGTTGTAGTTTTTCTTTTTCATCAATTCATTACATGGGTATATCCTGCTCAAAAGACTGCGATCATTTGAGAACCGTATGGGCACCACGAGCCTCCAGAATCTGCTCGGTAGCGCTCTGTGGTAGCGTTCTGATGAGACCAAACACCTCCCTGTTGTGGTAGCGTAGCCGTGTCTTGGGATCAAGATACGGTGCAGGCAGTCCTGTCACGTCACAGTAGTGCTTGTTGTGTGCGAGTGATGGCGCAGACTCGATGTTTGTGTATGTGGCAGTGGGCGCTGAAGGACCGCCTGGCTTGAGGCTCTTCTCAAGTACAAGCTTGGACAAGCTTCGCGATGCTTGCGCAAGATTCGGGGGCTCCTTGCCGCTCTCGGTAGCTGGTGTGCTGGTACCGCTGGTTGAGAGTCCATCGTTGTCGGCTGGGGTGGCGATACCGCTCGCGTCCATTGGCGTGCCTAGAGCAGAAGCTTCTCTTCGGGAAGCATCACCAACTATGGCCTTCAAGTTCTTGTTTCTGCGCTGGTTGGGCTTCCATGATGGACTACGGAAGTTCTTGTGGATGGAGTGGATGTCGAGCTTCTCTATAAGCTGTTGATGGGCGATCTGCGCCTCGGTCGGAGCGGCCATCGTGGTTTCTGTTTGGCAAGATATTATATGCGAGAGGAGATTTCAGTAGTCGAGTTTGACGTTGTAATTACTTTGTGCTTTTGGTTTGTGATAGAAAGGTTGACATTATAGAGTATAGCGCCTGGTGTCGCAAACTATGAGCTTATCGCGTTGTAGTAGATTCTGCCGCGTTCCACCGCGTTCCTGATACTGTAGTTGGGGAATGCTTCACAACCCAAGTGGGCGTAAAGTAAACAGAGGACTCCACTACGCCTTGTCTTGTTCACCATATTGACACGAAAGAACATCACCAAACAGCCGAAATGGTAGGACTCCTATGTGAAATCACAGTAAATTTATATGTCACCCTGTCTAACCTGTATGTAGGAGAGTCCTCACGAGCACCAGCAGAACCTACTGCTTTCACGTATCATTACCAACGTTGTATGTTTGTTCGGGATGAAGTCAGTCTGGAATGTCCTAACAGTGGGCAGGAGAAGCTTAATGAGGCTGTTATTGTGATGAACAAGAGTCTTCAGGTTTGTAGATTATTCTGATCATTTTACATGGTACACTCATAAGTCGTTCTAGGATATCAACATCCAGAATATGAATGTCGAGTTGGTAGCTCAAATGTTCAAGAACTACCAATCGAACGTTTTGTTCCACCTAGAAGGTGAGTTTAGCGTTGGATGGTTTGTAGGTTGATGCTAATGTCTGTTGATAGCCACGGACAACTTGAAGCCCCCGAATTAAACACCTGCATGGGGACATGCGATTGGAGTTCTCCTGTATTTGTTAGGTGCATGATTTAGTATGAATTGATGACTTGCCTCTGGCTTCTTCATAATTGTCGACCAAGGCCTGAACGAATGCCTCCATATTGTTATAGTAACTCTTACATGTTTTGACAACGTTGGTTGTTGTTTGATCGCCAAACCTCATGACTTCCCTATCGTATAGATATTATCGCGGCTTAGTTAATTACGGGCATTCATTTTTTTTTAACTTGATGACCGCCAAATTATAGATAAATATCAAGCCATGGAGTAACAGGTGAATCTTCTGGGCATAGGCTGCTTTTGTATGTCTTGTTGCACTGCGAAAGTGGATACCTGTTGTTGTATGTCACGGCCCTTGATCAGCCTTGTAGCTTCGTACAGTATATTCTCGACCTTCCAACAACTAAGCTCAATCAACTTGCGCCGACAAAAATTGGCCACTGAAGCCAGGCACTGACTTGACTTTTACTTTCTTTTTTCTTCTGCCATGATTTTTTACTCTTGCACATAATCTACATCATACCATCCTTGACCAACACAACCATGGCTCCCTCGGCCATCGACGAGCCTGCAATCAAGGCGCCTGAACAAAAGACATACCCTCCCGCCCAGATCTTTCCCGTTACGGAGACGCGGTTCGAGAATTATATAGAGCCATCAAAGGATGGAAGAGAACGCGCGATAAAGCAACCCGAAAGCTCAGCCATCGTTATTGACAATGGTAAGCTGGGAGCGCAGCGCAAGGGGCTTGCGACAACCATGGATTAACAGTTATTCTCAGGATCCTCCACCGTGCGCGCCGGCTGGTCATTCGAGTCGAAGCCGAGATTCAGTATCCCGCCTATAATGGCTAAGTACCGCGACCGAAAGCTGGGCAAGACATTCTCGTTTGCTGGATCTGACTGTTACGCCGATACAACCGCGCGCGGCCATATCAGAAGTGCTTTTGAAGTTGGAACAGGAATTGTCAGCAACTGGGATGTGATGGAGCATGTGCTGGATTACATCTTTCTTAAGCTGGGCATGAACGATGCAGATGGCGCCATTGAGGTCCCAATTGTCATGACGGAGGCTGTTGCCAATTTGCCATATTCAAGGAAGTGTGAGTGAGTCACTCTGACTACCAAAGCATTGGCTGACTTTTTAGCTATGACCGAGATTATCTTTGAATGCTACGGCGCGCCTTCACTGGCTTACGGAATCGATTCCCTCTTTTCATACAGACACAACAAGGGCAAGACCGGTCTCGTCGTCTCGTCGTCATACACATCAACACATGTCATCCCTGTGTATAACAACAAGGCTTTGCTTGGTCAAGCCACGCGATTGAATTGGGGGGGTTACCACAACGCTGAGTATCTCTTAAAGCTGCTTCGACTTAAATACCCGGCTTTCACCGGCAAGACCAACGTCTCACAAGCAGAGCACATGCTACATGACCATGGATATGTGTCCCAGGACTATGACGATGAACTCGCTAGCTACCTTGAATGGAAAGGGCTAGAGGACCGCGATATTGTTATGCAATACCCATACACAGAAGTTGTGGTTGAGCAAAAGACCGAGGAAGAGCTAGCAAAGATAGCAGAACGCAAGAAAGAAAGTGGACGAAGACTACAACAACAGGCGGCCAAGATGCGTTTGGAGAAGCTCATGAAGAAGGAGCAGGATCTGGAATACTACAAGAATCTTCAGAAAAACATCACTGATGTGACAAAGAAGGAACTCAGACGCCAACTCGACAGCAACGACATCAAGGATGAGAACCAGTTGGAAAAGATCATCAAAGACTTGGAAAAGGCTGTCAGGAAGGCCCGAACAAAGGATGTTGGTGGCGACCCCGAGGAGGAACAAGAGCAACCTAACTTTGATCTTCTTGATATCCCTGACGACCAGCTCGATGATGCCCAGATCAAACAGAAACGCCAACAACGATTACTCAAGTCAAATCATGAGGCTCGTGCGCGCGCAAAGGCTGAGAAGGAGGCCGAGAAGGCGCGAGTCATTGAGGAAGAGCGTGCAGATACTGAGAGACGAGAGAATGACTTGGAGAACTGGCTTGAAGAGAAGCGCCAACGACGAGCGGAGACACTGCAGAAGATGAAGGAACGCGAGCGTCTTAAGCAGGACCTAGGCAACCGAAAATCTCTTGCTTCCCAAATTCGTATGAAGAACATTGCCAACTTAGCTTCAGACGCTCCGACCAAAAAGAGACGTCGTGGCGGTGACGATGACAACTTTGGCGCAGACGACGATGACTGGGGAGTCTATCGTCAAATTGCCGTGGGTGACAACAGTGATGATGAGCATGAGGAGGAGGATCTCAACTCGACACTCAAGTCACTAGAACAAGACCTTTTGCGTTATGATCCCGACTTTGATTACGAACATACTCATGAGGCTCAGTCCGACTGGTCCAAATCTCTACTGCACGCCTTTGCACGAGGCCCCCGACCCTTCGATCCCTCTTCACAAGCCGAGCTTAACCAAATTCACCTCAACGTTGAACGTATTCGTGTCCCCGAAGTTGTTTTCCGCCCCTCTATTGCAGGTGTGGACCAGTCGGGTATCATTGATATCGCCGGTGACATTCTTAGCCAGCGTCTGGGCAATTTTCCCAACCGAGATGATTTCCTACGCGATGTATTCTTGACAGGTGGCAACACTCTTTTCAAGAATTTTGATGATCGCGTTCGCGATGGTCTGCGCTCTCTTCTCCCTGCCGACTCACCCTTGACTGTGCGTCGTGCCGAAGACGCCCTACTGGATGCTTGGAAAGGTGCTGCGGGGTGGGTTGGAACGCCTGCTTGGAAGACGGCAAAGATTTCAAGGGAAGAATATCAAGAAAAAGGACCAGAGTATATCAAGGTGAGTCTCTTCCGGTTACATACAGAGTTTCCCCCTTTACTAACAACTTATCACAGGAACACGACATGGGCAATTCTTATGCGTAGATTATGCTGTGATGGAGGAGACGCGGAGTCAAAAGCGGGCGGGCGGGTTTGTACATGGTAGATTGAGATTCTCTAGTTTGCATGTTATCAAACAAGGATTGCTTGTTCATATGGAAAGAAATGTATACTGGGCAATTGGGCTGCCATAGTCCAAAGGCTAAGCGTCATAGAACCAAAAGCTTTTCATCTTGTTTTAATCGAAGCAGCAATCGTCTTGCTTAAAGATATATTCATCCAGAAATCCAGCCTGGCAACCCAGATAATCCTATCATGCAGTTACGTATTGATTGGATCTCGTGCGTGATGGTCCTCTCAAAGATACAAGTACGATACTCATGGAATATCTTGGCCCTATAGTCTTGTGAAATGTAAAGAATATATTGTTTCTTAAAAGCCTTAAGTCTTGATTTGCTGTCTCGAAATTAAAGTGAATTGCTATGACCGCTTGAAGTCAACTGCCGGTCTCTGGTTCTTTATCGATAAAGCTGTGTGTGCGCCCACTTTCTCCATGAGCCCCTCACCTCCCGAGTCTCCGAAAGTCGCTGATCTTTCCATCTCATGATCTTTCTTTCAACTTCCATTGTGAGTTACCCACCAATTCTTGTCGCTCTAAATACCTTGTGAACAGTGTCGCTAAACGCACGCAAGCTCACATTTGAATAAGCAGCAACCCCATCCAAAGTTCCAAGACATCATGACTTCTATGGATCCGGCTACGGAGCAAACCTCAAAGATACCCGTTCTTCTGCTCAAGACGAGATCGAGTCCCGGTGATTCGTATGAAGACCTCTTCTCAGAAACCAGCGCCAATGGAATTGGCTTTACGCCTCAGTTCGTCCCGGTACTATTGCATCAGTTCCATGGCGAGGGTATGAAGGAAGTAGCAGCGCTACTTCGCGAGTGTCGCATTGGAAACCAGGAGCACCATGAATATGGCGGCTTGATCTTTACGTCGCAAAGAGCAGTTGAAGCATTTGTGAAACTTGTCGAAGATGGCAAAGCCGGTGCGTCATGATGTTGAGCTATTGTCTCACCAGAAAAGCCAAAACTAATGTTATGCATCATGCGACAGAGGACACCGCAGATCCCTCAGAAACAACATCATGGCCTCACCTTCAAAACGTCCCTGTCTACAGCGTTGGCCCTGCCACAACACGCGCCCTCGCTGCCGTCCCCCAGGACCCTCCACTCCAAGTCTTCGGCAGCCACACGGGCAACGGTGCCGCCCTGGCTCCCTACATTCTCGCCCACTATTATGAATGGTACCGCGACCAAGCCCGACCTACCCTTCCACCACTACTCTTCCTAGTTGGAGAGACTCGCCGCGACATTATCCCCAAGACTCTACAGGATGGCGCTCTGCCCGACACAGAGCGCATCCGAGTTAACGAGACGGTCGTTTACGGAACGGGCGTCATGGAGAGCTTCCCCGTTGATCTGCGCCGGGTCCTTGCCGAGACGCGCGAAGACCCGGTCCGCTGGATCGTGGTGTTTTCCCCTACGGGATGCGACAGCATGCTCCGGGTCATGGGTATTCTGGATGCTGAGACGAACAAGGTTTATAAAGGATACAAGCGGGACGGCAAGACTTTTATTGCGACTATTGGACCTACTACGAGAGATCATCTGCTATCGTTTGGCTTTGAGCCAGATGTATGCGCCGAGTCCCCTACGCCGCAGGGTGTATTGGACGGTATACAGGAGTTTACGGCGAAGAGGAGGCAGAGCTGAAAATTGGTTTCAATAAAACAGAATCATGTATCGAGTGGATGTATAATATTGAGGTTGCAAAAGCCAGCGTTGCTGTAAAGAGTTGGGAGTGTCTCCGGGTATCATTTATTTATCATTAATTTCTGCAGATCCTCCGCTGGACATCTTTCTCTCATATATTCTATCCTTTGTAACCAGGAGGCCTTGTCCTGTCCGTATTTACGCTGCCTTTTGCCGATACATACGTTGCTTTCCCTTTGCCGTATACCACCAGACTGAGGAAAGACCAAAGCTGCCATGCCTATTTCATTTCAGAACACCGAGCGCCGTGCAAACAGCTCAAGCCAGAATATCGTCATCATACGCCCATAACCCAGAGCTCTACGCCAATGACCCCGAATTTGGTTCCCTCATCACTCAGCGGCTCGTTTCCGTACGTCTCGCACCTGGAGCTGTGCCCAACTTCTAGTCCATTGTCTAACCAGAGTCCATAGTGCCCACCGCCTGATCCGACGCTCAGAAAGCCCGTTTCGCAATTAATGCAAAAATCGTTCAACCCACTGTATGGGAATGCTTTAAATCGCACCGCTTCGCTGGGTGTAGGTGAAGGTGCGCGGGAGTGTGTGGGCGTGTTGGTTTCTGACGAAGGTGGCGGTGGAGCGAGCGTTGTGTTTCGACAGTTAAGATTCGTCGTATCGGCCGACGGAGGCGGCGGGAGAGGTGTAATAGTTGAAGCTCGCCAGAGGAAGCACTCGCCGTTGCCAAAATATGTATGCGCAGGATGAGGATATTCGGAAAGATATGCGCCAAAGACCTGATAATGTTAGTGAACAGAAAACGTCATATCATCTCACTCTATACGCACCCCTCCTTCGAGATCTTTGACAACAAGGACAAAACCCGCTCGCTTGCCCTCGAATTGCCGACATCGTTGGTACAGCGTCGCTAAGCTTGCGCCGTCTTGTTCGAGGCTGTAAATAAGATGCCAATCGTCGACGATGCGCAAGCGCTCTGGGACCATGGTGCGAATTTCCTCCGCCACCGCGGCGCTCAGCAACTTGGCTGAGGATGGTGTTCCCTGGCGATAACCATGAAGAATAAGAGGATCGAGCGGCGGAGGACGCATGGGACTGGCTGTACGGCGCACGGGAGAGAAGACACCGTTTATACCGTCCTTTGTGTTGTGGCCATTGCCGTCATGAAAGTTGAAGTTGTCGTCATAGGCGGTGTCGGCTTGGCTGGGGAACGAACCCTCACTGGAGAAGCGGCGGATGAGTCCAGTCCACATGTTGGTAATGTACGACGCAGAAGCGCGATTGGAGTTAACAGGCGTACCAGCGCCGGAGGATTCGGGTGTTTCGGGGGAGTCGTTGCGGTCCAAAAAGCTCATAACGGTTACAGAATGCCTGTCTGTAGGTATGTACTTTGGTCCAAGGCTGTATGCAATAGCTGTGTAATGCAGAACAGAAGAACTAGGAAGCGAAAGAGATACACATAAATAAAACAAACAGGATAACTGACAATCTTTGGATAGGAGAAGAGAGGTTGAATAGAAATCCTGGAGTAGTAGTTCAAAGGGAGGAGAAAACACAAACGGTTTTTTATATGGTGGTGCTTAGATCTGAGACATTGAAGAGTGTAAAATGTTAAAGTGCATGGAATGGAGATGAATGGCTCTGACGCAGCTTCAGTTGGAGCCAGTGGAGCTAGATATAGCGGGGTCAACGCCTACAAGGAGACGTTGTGAAGGTAATCAAAAAGCCTGATTATGACATTCAATGCACTGACTCCAACGCCTCCAAATGCAATGCATTGATTCGGCATCTTTCAGGCAGCAACCGTGGCAATTCGTGCAATGGATACCTGTCCGGTATTGGTTTTGAACAAAGACAGCTTACAACTGATTGCGTGGTGATTCATAAGCCCTTCCATGTGTCTGGTCTCTTCCACTGGCCGCAGCCACCTGTGCGTACATAGTACACGCTGGCAAACTTCCTGATCGTCATCAGATTAGAGCCTCAATCATCAAGCACTAGCTCGTTCTGTCCAGTAGCATATCACCACCACTGAGGCCTGGGACGGGTCTAGACCTTTGATCTGTGGTTAGTACTGAAAGTCTTGGACTGTCACGTTGCGAACATGAATGGCCAATAGTGGCAAGTAAAGGAATGAGCCAAGCGAATGCATAGTACTGTAATCAGGAGATATGCGGTGTTTGCCGTACTGTCGACCAACTGACTTGTAACTATTAACTTGACTTGCACCTCGTCATTTGCACAGAGCCACCAATGTACAAATAAACACTTATTATGAATTTTCTTTTGGGATATAACAACTAGTAAGAAATGGTTGCAATGTGCAATTCATGAAATCATCTTTATCACCGGTCTGGATCTCAGTCTCCATTTCATATCTTCGATCCTGTTTCCTTACATTCAACCACTCCTATCAGCAAGATTGACAAAAGATTCATGCCAGATACATGATATGCAGAATAAACTCGACCGGTAGTTCTGCATGCGCTTGCTTGCTTGCGTGCCCATAGGTATGTGATGTAGTCTATTTGACATCCCCGAATTCGCAGGCCATCTTTTTACGGAGTCTCCACGTTTACCTCATGATCTCCTGGTAGATCAACTGCTTCAACTGCTCCTTGCTCAGGTTGTCCTTGTGCTTGTCAAAGTCGAAGAACTCCTCGGGGATAGGGGGCGCTGTTGGCTCGTCCTCAGGGTCGTGGTAAGGCTCGAGGTATGGGTGCTTCAGAGCTTCCTCCACAGTAATGCGCTTAACAGGGTTGAATGCGAGGAGCTTCTCGAGCAGGTCAAGGGCCAGTTCCGACGTCTTGGGAAATAGAGTTCGGAAGGGAACCTTCTTCTTGAAGGGGAGCGATCGGATGTATTCTCGAGCACGGCGCGACTTGATTCCGTAGTAATCTTCCATTGTAGGTGTGCCCAACACATCCAGAATAAGAGTCAACTGGTGGTGGTCTAGTAGCACAGCAGTCAGTAAACAGATCTAACAGCATCGCGAAGCATCAGTGTCCACTTACAATCCTTTCCGGGGAAAAGAGGTTTACCGCTGAGCATCTCAGCGAGGATACAGCCGACCGACCAGACATCAATAGCCTTGGTGTACTCCTTGAAAGTCAACATGATCTCGGGCGCACGGTACCATCGAGTAGCGACGTATTCGGTCATGAAACCAGAGTTGTCCTCTTGAGAGGCAGCGGATCGTGCAAGACCAAAATCGCAGACCTTGAGATCACAGTTGGCGTTGAGGAGGAGGTTAGAGGGCTTCAAGTCTCGGTGCAGCACATTGGCTGAGTGCATCGCCTTGAGGGCTCGGAGTGTCTGGTAAATGAAGTACTGGCAGTGGTCGTCAGAAAGATCCTGTGTACGAATGACACGGTGCATATCCGTCTCCATCAGCTCCTGCAGTATTCGTTAGCTTCCTGATTTTGCTGTGACAAAACAGTGGTATTTCGAACCTGGATCAGATAGACTTCCTGAAATGACTCGTAACTTCGGGGCTTCTGAATGTCGAGAATGGAAATGATGTTCTCATGGTTAAAGTATCTCAGCAGCTTCATCTCTCGCAGAGTTCTTAGACAGAACATGGAGTGATCGAAAGGAGTGATCTTCTTGATGGCGACCTTTTGGCCCGAGGGCTTGTGGATGGCGGAACTAAGCAAGTGTCAGCATTTGAAGGATTTCACAGACGTGACAGGAAGCAAAAACATACCAGACAACACCATAAGCGCCTTCACCGACCACATCTTGGATATCATATTGCTCGCTCACGTTGAAGGAGATCTTGCGGGACCCCGCAGCGTTAGGGGGGTTCGATCGAGACATGGTCGCTGTGGTGGATGTGATGAGGATGAGGAGAGGGAGTAAAGATTGTAAAAAAAAAAAAAAAAAACGGCGAGCGTGCGACCGAAAAGTAAAGACAGAAGGCGCGAAAGGATTGCGCAGTCAATCGATCGGTCGGTTAGTCGAGAAGTTGTTGGAATAGAACAGAGTCAAAGAGGAACCAGCCAAGACTTAGACTCCTTTGTTCGCACGCAGCCGACGCTGATTAAGGATGATTTGAGGGGAGGGGTCGAGTTAAGTAGTAGGTACTGGTATCCGTACTGGTGCAGCTGGTAGTGGCACTAAAGCTCCACCTTGTAGGTACAAATAGTATGGAGGACCTTTTGACGGGACACGGAGGAATCTTTATAATTGATTGGGGGGGATGACAGGTTGAAGGTGGCAGGGGAAGTATTAAGATATAGTAGAAAGTACAAAAAGAAGGGTCGTTGATATTCGCTTGGATCAAGCAACGTCAAAGAAACAGTAGACAAAGCTTGGTCTTAAGTGAAAGCAGGTAAGGTAAGAACAAAGAGTTCCGCCCGGGCCGTGCTGTCGCTGATTCAAATAGTCTAAGGTCCGCGGGGCAAAAGCAGGCCTAGCGTGAGGTGGTAGAGGCCCAAGTTTCAGTCGGTTCGGTGTCGCGACGGTGAGTATAGGTAAGAATAGGTAAGGATACAACAAGCACGGTCTTTGGTGATGGAGAATCCAACTCTCTCTTTTGTCAAAGGACAGGACGGCTTCACCTTCCGGGGATCTAGCTCCAGTCCAAGACTGGTCTGGGCTTCTTGCAGGTATTGAAGAATGGACAAGGAAAGGTTTTTAAAACAAGACAGGTTGGATATGAAACGGGGCGAAATGGGTCAAGACGAGATGGGAACAAGACAAGAATGAGAGCAACAGGCAACTAATAAAGGAAATGCATTTCAACGTATTCCAGTACAGTGCTATACAATAAACAATGTGTGAGTCTTTTTCTTGACTAGTCATCTGATTCATCTGTCCATCTATTTTCTATCAACTGGGCTGATGGCTGCTAACTTTGATGTGATCAAGATAGCTGGGCGGCTAAGAACCAACAACTACTTGCCAACAGCCGACTAGATGTGCCACCCAAGCTTACCCATCAGGTAGCAATGGACAACAAAAGATTTCGAAGTTTAACTAAGCCTAGATGAGAGCCCGTCTTTGAATTGTCTTTCTCTTGGCTGATTTCGAAGCCTTGTAGGGAATCTCAACGCCAAGGGAGAACGAATCCTGGGTCACAAGATGAAACAATACCTCTCATCTATAGCAGTGAACCCTAGATCCAGTCTAGACCCCAGATGGGAGACTAATGATCTTCAGGATATCCATAGAGGGGCACTAAGAAAGACAACGAAGGCCTCGTATAACAGTCAACTTAATTGAAGTGTAGAACAACGGACGAAATTAAATACCACATACAACCTGAAGATTAATACCACAACTATAAGTCTACAGGATTGTTCGACTACCTATGGATGGATAAACAAACTTAACAGCTTGACTTATAGAGACTAACGACCAGGGGACGAAAGTAAAGGGAACATGGTGGGGTGAAGAACAACCTACTGTTTGAGTTTGTTAGGGGCGGACGGGACGGCCAGCTTCCATATTCTGCAGCAGTCCCCATTGAACAGGGGTCTTCAATGAGATTGTACCACAGAGGTACCTGTAAACTCAATCTCACCGCAAACATCACCTCACCAGAAAACAAAGATGCATCAATAGCATAATATATACCCTCCCTTCTGAGACGAAACACTGCAAGAGGACCTTCCAATGACAGCCCCGAAACATGGATATGCCAAGACAAGACATACATAAACCTTGATCATATCCCGGCTCTTACAAAGAGTCCTCTGACAACTTGCTAATGCGTTTCACCAACGCTCTGGACTACTACTGGGGCTCACCACACTTGGTTGCTTCCACCACAGCAAGTTTAACTAATCGTGATCTTTATATCAATTAAACACACAGTCCTCCGCCTGACCATGACAGAACCACAGACATTCACGTCGTAAAAAGGTCGTGCTATTAAATACCAAACTCTTAAAATAAACCTCTCAGCGCCTACTCTGTCTTTCCATTGGCTGCCTCACCTCCCTAGGCGCGTGTTTCACACCCACCGCAGCCTGTCGTGTTTCATCATTGGATGGCAAGGTCCTTGTATCTCGACGTATCTCCCTCCTAGTCCCTGTACAGTATCAGATGTGGCTTCAATTCATGTGAACCAACCCCTTGGTCATGGATTCACCCAAGAAATCGGTTTGTCGTTTAGTTTCCGTGATAATGCATTTTACTAAAAATACAATTGATTCATGCATCGCAATGCATTCCTGTTTCTATCGCTTGGTTGGCTACTTTTCGAGAACACATCGACCTTACCATAGATACCTAGTACTGTTTTATGTCGTGGACGTGGAGCTTCGTATAGACTACAGTCTACTACCAATATCATGATAACTTCGTCACGCTAGTCTGCACGCTTGCTCTTGCACACAAAACATTTGATTCTATCTAGTTGATACCGTTCGCATCTCTGTTGCCAAAAAAAAACAAGCCGGCTGCATCTCCAGGACCCCGACTCCAGTCATTGATTGAATCCCTCCTCATCACAATATTACAAGGACTGATCCGACCTATTTCTCCCGACTACCGACGCCTGACGCTTAACAAGCTGTTTTACTGAACAACCTACGACAAGTGACTGTTAGTATCTTGCATCTTCTGGCAAAGCATTTATTTTACTGTGATCAACTCACCTTTTCTCTCAACATTCCCAACCATTGAGCTGCGCTCACGCCCTGATCCGCCCGGTCCTCCACAAGTAGGGTCTGCGCCCAAAGCTTCAGACTGGGTTCTCCGTCTTCTCGAACGATATAGAGGTGGGGCAATGTAATGCTGCCCACACCTAGTGACTTGTGGTCCCGGCTCTTTTGAACCACAGCCCGCACTCGTTCGTTGAAGTCTCCTTCCAGTTCCGGCACCCGGCCCTTGCCAACCTGGACCTGGCCTCTGTCCTCCACTCCAAACACATCGTGTACCAGCTGTGGCACCGCATCTCGGCCGATCCACAAGAATTGAGTTTGGCCGTCGTCGATAAGGTAGAGTCCGTAGGGCACGAGCCTTTCTGAAGAGAGGTTGAGAGCGGGGGGAAGCGCGATGTGGCCAGTCTCTGGCTCGGGGACTCCAGCATTGTCTGGCATGTCATGTAGTGAGTACAGTCGGGGGTAAATGTAGCGCATAAGAAGGGGAACCGGAAGGGTCGACAAGAGACAGAGAGCTGCTGATCTGATGTCGGATGGAATCTGAGATGACTTGCGGAGACCAACGTTCTTGATCAGACCTAGGAACAGGAGGGGCAAACCGCGAAGGTTGGCAGGGAACTGAAGACCACCGCCCATGCTGCCTCCAGCGAGTTCCTTCTTGAAAGTCTGCAAGAGCTCGGTGACCTTGCTCTGAAGAGCGTCTCGGGCCGCATCAAGGCCGCTTGACAGAGATCGCTCCACAGCCTTGTGGCTGAAGTATGTGGTGATGGCACACTGATCGGCCGAGGCGTACATGTCGGACAGGTTGGTTGTTGTGGGGAGGGCAAGGGTCATGACGCGGATGCGACGCTCGCCATTGCAAGTTGTATGTAGCACGGCCGCCTGGAGGCAAATGACATTCTTTGTAAGATTCTCATCGATAGCCACCTCGACAACGTAGCACTGGTCGCGGGGGAAAGCAGGAAAAGCGCAGAGGTCAGAGCTTCGGTTAAAGAAGTTGCCATAGAACGTGTTCATTCTCAGACCGCTAGTGGCACGGACTCGAAGAACGGCCTCAAGTCCAATCTCAGATGACAGATAGTCGCTGAACTCGGATGCGAACTTGAGGGCATCTTCGGGTCGCGAAGCGTGCCATCCAGGGTAGAACCAGGTCTGTCCACCAGTGTATCGGGGAAGGTTACTCAGCGAAGCAACATCCTGGTACTGCGACGAGAAGAGGAACATGTCGATAGACACCTGACTCTTCGAACACTCCACAGCAAAACTCTTGTAGAAACTATTGGCGGTCTGAAGCAGAGCGCCCTCTTTTGATGTGCCAAGGAGCTTCTTGTCCTCGCGCATCTCAAGCTTGCCAACACCCATGTTGGGAAGGGAAGCAGTCAGAACAACGATCTTGCCTCCAAGGGTGGAGATAAGCTTGTGTGCTGCACGGAGGGCTGATCCCATGCAGGAACCGTTGCTCTGGTTGTTCTGGAACATATCGGGAAGCTTCTGCAAGAACTTCTCGACGCTTTGTCGGCTCTCAGTCAAGGGAACTAGGAGGTCGTTAGGGATGGGCAGGAAAGGCTCGTCGAGATCGCTGACGACAAGCATGTTGGTCTCGCCATTCTCATCTGTATCCTTGGGGACCGAGAAGTAGTGCAGGCTGGAATCCACGGCCAAGAAACCGAGACGAGTACGGCGATCAGCATTTGGTATCCTGTCGAGGCTGTCCAAAATAGTGCGTGCCGCGGTAGCTACAAGTCCGGTTGAAACAGCAGCGTAGCTGACATCGAAGCAGAACAGATAGATAAGAGGCTGGGGAGGGCGGACCATGTACTCCTGAGGAGCGACAAACTCAACAACAGCGTGGTTCAACTCGGGTCGCTGCCACCGGTCGACGCTCTGCTGAGCAGCGGCATCCCAGTCGAAAGCTTGAGGAACATCATTGGTGAGGTTACACATGTTACACCTCCATCGGTGTCCCTGGTCCAAGAAGGTAACATAAGGGTTGATGTATGTCCTGCAACGTCTGCATCGGGAAATGACCTGGTCTTGGACGACAGGTACGGGGTCCTCGTCGTCGTGGAGAGAGCCGTAGGGCTGGATAACGAGCGCAAGGGGAAGCTTGGACTTCTTGAGGAGAGAATTGGTGGTGGGAACAGCGTTGAGGGTCGATCGGAAATATCGCGGGGAACAGTTGGCGTCGGGAGACGGAGTAACGCTCGTCTAAAGGCGCATGTTAGCAATTGATATGATTGGGATCCGTTAATTCGGCCGACATACGTTGGGAGGAAGAACAATCGGAGGCGGAGGAAGGTCAAGCTCCGAGACATTGAAGGGCTGGCTGAGGAGATCAGTAGGGTAGAGCTGGTTGAGGACAGCAGGGCGAGGAGGCTGAGCTCCCTGAGGCTGCTGAGGCTGTCCAGCAATATTCATGTTGCCAACTCCTTGGGTGATGCCACCAACACCGGGCGCGGGCTGCGGGGCACCAGGTGTTGGGTATCCTTGGTCGGGAGCTTGATAACCATACTGAGGAGCCTGAGGAGCAGCGGGCTGCTGTGCGCCATAACCCTGGGGATACTGGTAGCCCTGAGGGGCAGCAGCTTGAGGCTCAGCTTGATAACCTCCATAGCCTGGTTGGGCGGAAGGAGCGCCGAATTGCTGAGTAGCTCCTGCGGGTTGACCACCAGCGACAGCATTGGCGCCGGTACCGACTTCGAAGGCTTGAGCCGCATATCCTCGCTTCTTCTTCTTGTGGCCTTGGTCGTGGGGCTGTTGGGCGGCAGCAGGGTCCTCGTAAGGTTGTTGAGGTTGTTCATCTTGAGCAGCAAATTGATCATATGGCTGGGCCGGATAGCCGCCGAAGCCATCACCAGGAGGAGGCATCGACATGGTTGAACGGCGAAGGGAGCAGCGTCGCACCCAAAGTTATATAGATGGGTTCGATCAATCGGGTTGAGAAATAGTTCGGACGACGCTGCAAATTAGCTAGCAAGCGTATACGTAATTGAGGAACTTCGAAGGTCGAAAGTCGACTCCAGATCCAAATGCCCCAGTCAAAGAGGTTTGCAGATATTGGACTGGAATGAAGAATGGAGGATGAATGGGTGGTGGTTGATTGATGAGCTCAGAGCTGATCTGTACTGCAGTCTGGCCTCTTCGCATTGGTCACCGCCACAACGACAGCAGCCAAGAAACCTACCAAAAGGAGGGGCTCCTTTTTTATGGTTGCCCGAGCCACGCTATCAAATGCCAGACATGAAAAGGACAGCAACATCAATATAGGAGCTCGGATAGAGAAATGAGTCACCTCTAAAGATATCATCAACGTGTCATAACTCGAGATTTCTCTTTATGTTCCTGTTATCCCGTTCGTTTAAGCTCGGAGCTTGGAGCTCATGTATGTGGCGTCAGAGCTTCAAGCTTTAGCACTAGCCACACATGACGGATGGTCTACACTCTACAGTAATCACGACTACACTTCTCTGTCGTGACTTTTCCGTTTGTTGTTTACTGCACTTAACTTGTGTGTTTTAATGGTATATAATTCGTATGAATATCAAGACTAATTCTGTTCGATACCTCATAGTTCGCTCAAGGCTGGACACTTATCCTTAAGGTGTCAGCTAATAGTACGCATGTAGATAACCGGCCAACTACTTGAATTACAAGCATTAATCCGAATATATCTAGCTGGAAGAGAACTAACATGTTGTGAGCTGGTGTTCGAACTGAGTGAATGCCGTGCTATGTCTTAGTATGATATACCCTGCCGGTTGCTCTAGCTGCTGTGCAACTTTGTCTTAACTCAACTTATACCGAGTAGAAAGCCGACTGTGGTGTGTCGAAATGCGAAATCTAGAACGGCAAACATAAATAGTTTGATCACTTCTGTTGTTCTTTTCTCCGACCTTCCATGCTGTTGCTATCAAGCCTCGCGCGTGTGGCACACTCCAAGACTCATCTCAAGCATGGTCACGGGTACACACAGAACACAATATTATTCATTAGAACCAGTCAAGTGAGACCATATATATATATATGTCCTGACTAGCACTATCATATGCGAGAGTCAACGGAGTCTTTCCAACGACTCACCCAGTGAAATTTATTCACACTCACTTACGACCAAGATAGAGATTTATAAGCCCCAGGCATAAGTGCAGAGTTGTATAAAAGATACTAGTTCTGAGGTAACACTACTGGGATCACTGCTCCCTTAAGTCAGCATAGATTCATGATGCATCGTCATATATATAAAGGCATTGGAATGTGCTTCATTTTTAACGTTTTCATGTCGTTTCCCTCACATCGGTACTGACATATTTGTCTTTAAGTTGGGGTTTATTACATTTGAACTACAGCAGAAGTCACTCCTATGTGAAACCGGATAATAGTACCTGATTCGCCCAATCTAGTATATCTATTCCACTGAGAAGTGCCGAAGAATCAGCCCCAAGTATTATCCGCAGTTGTGGGATTTCACTGCTCGTACTCAAGCTAGGTAATGCTAGATCGCAATACAATCATGGTGCTCGTCTTCCAAGTTGACCTAATAACTGTTCGAATGAGGCATCATAGAACCACATAATGACTGTGTGTTACCTAATTTAAGGCAGTGTCGTGATACATATTAGTCAGAAGATGAAGTGCCACTGAGCCTGTCAGATTGCCATGCTATCACATCTCCTTCCTTCGCCATTCAAAAGCCAAGTTTTACCGTACACTGCAGTTGAACCTTATCATTGTCCGATTAAAGGCGTTATACTACCACGAATTACTTGTGTTGAGTGCATGTCTACACATACTCATGAGACGCTTTTTATTGCGCCGTTGTCGCTTATAGGCTTGATCAACGCCCTTGTACCAAATCCTCGTGTATCTCATAAGCAATTCAATTCGCAAACAAGTCACATCGATCTCGCATCGCCTACATACGTCGCTAAAAGGCGCTGTAGAAATCCCCATAATTTCTTATTCCGCTAGACTTGCGCCAAACCCCCCTGAATAACCTGCAAGCCTCACCTCACTAAAAGCAATCTCGAGTGCTCGCCACTGGAAGCTTGAATCCTCAAGACAAAGCAAACACTGTTATTTGAACACGAGTAAGCCTGGCAGATGAGCTAAGCAAAAGCCATGTTTCTAAACATGCTCCTTCATTTTTTGTTTTGTCGAGGTGTACGGATACAAAAAGTGAGTTTCATCTCATCTCATCTTGTTCAGCTCAGGTCTCTCCTCTCCAGCACTGCCACCCACTCACTGTACAAGGATGGCATGGACGGCAACGGGCCGGGATAGTCTCTTGGCATTTTCAGGTACTGAATCTTTAAGCCAGGTATCTCAAGGATATTTTCGGTAATTAAAGGCTACTATAAATGTAAAAATAGATTAGTAGTTCGTGATCAGCAACAAGAAGAATGTGTTTTACATGATGAACTGTCCATCAAACAGCACCAAAGACTGGCTGTTGTCATTATCGAAGTGGTACAATCACGACCAACTTGATTGCCCGATCAATGGATGTTCCCCGTCAACGCCCTAAAAAGCCATATTTACAGGAGGGGCGAACCACTCAGAAGACCCTTTTTATCGATCCAATTGGCGATCGCTGCAACGTTTTTCGCAAGTTGGAGCTAAAATCAGGTCCCTGAAGTACCACATGCCAGGCTTGGGTCACCCATGCTGGGCTGCGGCTGGCCTGGTCTGGCCTGGGTCATCCATCCATTCCTCTCTCCCCATAAGTCAATCCAGCTTCTTCTGTTCTGCGACCCCTCAAAACTCTGTTTGCGCAGCAGTGTAACCCCTTTCGGCTGCCTCTCTTTCGTTACCTTTGCAAATCGCCCGCTCCTCTCCTCTTCGCCATTACTTTATCAACTTTGTAGACTGCGTTGATCGCATCCAACTTCGACTCTTCTGCACTATCCGTACTCGAACTCCTTTACTCGGTACTATCGTCGATTCCGCATCACATCGCGCGTGCAGGCAATAATACATCATGGCGCAAACCTCAACAATCAGGTACAACTGATACTCCCCTAGGCTTCCTCAAGCTCGTCTAACTCAGTGCACCGAACAGTCAGGTCCTTCCTCTCATCATCGTATTTGCCCTCCTCGGCGTGGGCGGCTGGGTTGGCTACCAAGTCTACATCAGCGTCGGCAAGATGTCCGACGTCGCCTCGGAGCGCATGGGCAAGAAGAACGTCGTATTCACAAAAGACGGAGTTAAGGTTGGCGTCAAGCAGGTCAAGACTGAGAATTATGTCGACGCGACACAGAGCTGGTTCGTCAAAGCGTGGAATCTAGGCACAGCCCAAGATGGCAGTCAAGCGTAAGTACAACGTTGCCAAAGGAGCTCTTCACATCTGACAATTTGTACAGTAAGAAGCAAAAGTAAAAGCCGGTCGCCGTTCCATCGCAAAATTTATACAATGGGGTTAAAATCATTATTAGGGTAAACAGAAGCACCAACGAATTGCTAGGACGTCATGGGGACTGGTTTTTATTCTTGACATGGTCTTCAGAGCGCCATTCATGTCATGTCAGATATTCAATTGCAACTTTTGTTTCCTTTTCATGCAAAGGCTTCATTCAGGATCAATTCTTCAGGGAAGTACTGATCACATACAGCATACGCGGGCATGCGTGTCAGAAATATAGTATCTGGATGTCTTGCAAATAGAGACAGGGGTACTTGATCTTTCAGGATCATATGCACTCATGAGATAATATTCACTAGTTAGCAGGCTTTGAAGATCATACACTGATCTACGTTTTTGTTTCATACAGTAGATCTTGTCAGATGGCGCAATTCAGCTCAGATCAAACAGATTTGTGATGATTTTAAACCCCAGGTATCCAGCACCTGACACATCTAATTCCTAGGTAGCTATATATATAGCTTTGCTGTCCAAAGCCAACTATCCTTAGCCAAATGGGTTTCCAGAGAGCATTCCTCGTCTATCATGGCATGTAGCAGAACACAATATTCCTAATACTAGCAAATCAACCATTCTGGCATCTAAAACCCAGAATTCTAAAGCTGCAGCAGACCTTGCGCCACCTTCTCTTCGTTATTCAAGGACCCACGCGCCTTGCTCAACAACTCGTGCTTCTGGTGATGGACCCGCTCCTTTTGCATGGCGTCGTGTTGCTGAATTGGATTCAAAGTATATCCTGCCATTGCGGGCGCCGTCTTGGACGACAACAGCTTTTCAAAATTGTATGCACCAGGGTATGGGTTGGCCATTAAGCCGTCTCGGCGGATAAGCATTGACGGAACGCGGATGTTAAGCTGTGGAACAGCGTCAGTTAAGCCTGAAGATGATACAGTAAAAAGCAATAAATGTGGGGATCAAAGCACAGAGCAAAGCAGGGCTTAGGACCAAGTCAAAGAGAAACGAACGTATTGAGAAGCAGAGAATGGTTTGCCAAAATGCACTTACTTGACGAAGAACGTGGGCATATCTGACGCCGAGATGGGAACCGATGAATTCAAGTCGGCCTTTGACCCATGCTCTTTGCGCATCAGTCGTGTAGTCTTGACCCTGGACACAGGTCAGGGGCCAAGTCAGGAAATAACCTGGTAGACCCTTAAGGGCATCTTCCTCTCCACAACCGAATGCGGATAAATTGGCTCTCTCAAGGAGCTCCCTGCGGTTGCTAAACCATCCCAGCTGGTATGGGACTGAGGAAATAATATCTGTGATGTTATCGACGCACGTCCTTGCTGCTGTTGCGTACTCGGGAGTTGTTCGGTAATCAACGGGAGCGCAGACCCAAGCAGCACAGCGAACAATGAGAGAGGCCAGGATAATACGTGAGCAACGCATCAAGTTCCAGACGCTAACGACCCAGAGGTCTTGATACGCGTCGATTCGACCTGGGAACACCTCAGCCAAGCCGTAGTTGCCGTTGGGCACATTGTCCTCCCAAGCCACAGACTTGTAGTGGAAGTACTCGGGCAAGGAATTCGCCCAAGCCGCGTGCTGCTGGTCAAGTGTTTGACAACGACGAATGATATCAAGCAACATTTCGATGTTCTCAGGACTCCGGCTCAAAGTTGCCATCAAGCGATTAGACTCAGCCCTGAGTTCTGCTGTGCGAATGTTAAGTCGCTGGCACTCCGCTCCGAAGTGGTTGTTGACGCTATCTGTAATCCACCATTCCACTCCCATAGCCGGGGCTGTGCCCGTGGTTAATGTGTGAATGATCTGTTAATTTGTTAGTTGGACTACTCGGCAGAGAAATTGAGAGGGCGACAATACCATTTGCGTTCGTGTGGCCACAAAAAGAGCGAGACCAGTTTTCGTTTTTATCTGCCTCTTCTCTCTAGACTTGACCAGGTTGATCGCTCCCTCAATGTGAGAACCCCAAGCAAGCATTCCCAGTTGCTTTGCACTGATATTCTCGAATAGTCCAAGGAGAAGCACGGCAGCCAAGGTAGAGTCTTCTTTGCACAGGGCTGGGTCTTTGAGAGCGACGAATGTGGCGGAAAGTGCTCGGGTATAGTGTCCCAGAGCTTTGGTTTCAAAGTCGCATCCAGGACCAACGCGGTTTCCGAGAGAAGCCAAGGCACAGGCTTCGAAAGCCAGCTTGAAATGGGGAGCCGGTCTTGTCTGATCGGCCTTAAGAAGAGGGACAACGAATTCCATCCATCCGCGCGTGTGATCATGAGCAGGAAGGAGAACGAAATTTGACAAAAAATGACAAGTAGCCTGTTGCTCAACGGGAAGCTGGAGTGTTGACAAGATAGACTGGTCGGGTGCTGGCTTGTGGATGACGACGGCCCTGGTAGCTGTTTGCGAGCTTAGTTTGCCTGGCTTTTGGGCTGATGCTTTCTTGTTGGCTTTGCGTGCTCTTCTTTCAGTAGCCTGTGTCTCATTGCGAAAGACGAGATCAAACTCGTCCTTGTATCCGGGACATTGTCTCCTGGATTTGGCACATTGGTTGCAGGTTGGCTTCGTCTCATCGCACTACGATCGTGAGCAGTTGCACTAGAGAGCCTCTATGATATGATATGTGTGTAGTGAGGCCTAGCAAGACAAGATTACCAACATACCTTGATTCTTCGGGCTCTGCACATTTGGCAGCCCCGTGAAGGCTTACCACAGTAGACCATGACGAAGCGTAGTTAGGGTGGCAGAGATCAGATTCAACAATAAGATTCCGCTTGAAATGTAAAAATCGCCAACAAAATAGGTGGTAGAGCTGGAATTGAGACAGAGGGCGATCGTTCAAGGGCTGAGTGTCCAACGGCTGGGTGGGAGGACAGAGTAGACGAGAGCCACAGGATAGGGTGTACGAAGACGCGAGCTACTTATCGTATCGGATCCCAGATCAAGAGTGTGATTTCGTAAATCAGAAGCGAAAGGTGTTGATGAAGCTACTCTTTCACGGCGATCATAAGCCAGTACGACCGATTGAGTTGAGATAGACAATACTAGATCTGAAAGTTTCGGCGTGCGAGATGAAGCATTGATTTAATGGAATCAATGACTCGCTAGTGGCGAAGACTTGGAAGTGTCAGTGGTTCTGGTATCCAGATTTTGGTTCCTCTTCAGATGTGATATACCAGGGTGAGACACGGGGATAACGATAGAATAGGACGAGATGGTGGAGAGGGGAGAAAGAAGCAATGGGAAAGGGCAGGGAAGAAAGAGGCAAAGTGTGTCCGAGCGGGCAACAAGCGAGACGTTGTATCCGAGACGCGCGAGCGAGCGAACGAACGAGGAGATGAATTGTTTGCTTATTATTAGCCTTACACAACACAGGACCGCAGAGCACAGCGGGGGGTCTAAGCTAAGGAGCGGTACAGTAACTGTATCTGGAGAGGAAAGAGAACGAGAAAGAGACGACAGCAGGTTGGTGGTGTAACCTCGAAGAGGAGATGGAGGGGAGGACAAGGGGGTCAACGTGATGACAGGCGATGAGACAATGCGGGTTTGCGAGAGTACATACGGGCGATGTGATAGATGATAGACCAAGAGACTAGACTGGTGTACTGTAGATGATGGTCAGGCGAAATAATTGCTTTTTCAACGACGCCGTTGGACGAGATAAAGCAGGTAAAGAAAAGAGGATCCCAAGATGCAATGCGATGCAAAAGAATGGATCAAGAACCAGGTACGGTAAATAACGACCCGCTAGAACTGTCAGTTAGGTGACTTACGGTACGGAGTACTTGTCAAGTTAGCGATTCTCGCGTTAGCTGAAGCGAGGGAACTGTTAACTGACGCCAAGTCAGGGTTAGTGCCTGAGAAGGTAGTATGTATGAATAACGATACTACCTGACTGACTGAGTTCAGAGAGTTGAGTGAGTCGTGGAGTTTTGGTTTACGGGAAGCGGGAAATCATCCCCTGATACGCACTTGCTAACAGTTGAAGTCTAAGAGCTGATAGCCAATTAGAGGGTAGCGGGCTTGACAACCTGCAGTTTCTAGACTGAACTGAGCTAGATCAAACTCCGCTCTAATACTAGGCCGAACGATTTTGAAGGCAGGAACTGCACGGGAGAAGCCTGCCCCGAGGAGCTTGACCTTGCTTGGCCTGACAGGCTAACAACATCAACAGAGGCTGGAACAGATGGCTGAGCGGGGCTTACAGGGGCTTTACAGATAAAATGGTCGCCCAGTACTGACAGAGTGTACCTGGAACCTCGGCATCTCGAAGCTCACATTATCAGATTGACTCGCGGTCTGTCACAACTTAATTGTCAAGTGTGTGTATGTGCACGACAATTGCTTTTTTTCTTCTTACCTATAATCTGACAGGTACTTATAGCATAAACTTGTCGTTCTTGAGGCCGAGGTTCATGATGAAAATCAATGTATTTGTAACAGCCGAGGAGACAAGATATACGGTAACAGCATTGATCGCTTGGCGAACAGTGCAGCCCGCGACAATTATTGATGAGGCCGCTGTGATAGCCTGTATAATGGGATTGCATACAGTATAAGCCTGCAGTATTACGTAGTAGATTGATAGACTAACTAGAGTTATTCAACAGTTAGACAGGTTCTACGATGCATAAAGAGCTACAGCAGGTGAGGCTGCGACAATCCCTGGGTTGAAAGCCAAGCATTTGCTCGCTCCAGGTCTGCTGTTGATCATGATGCACAGGGACTGGACTGTGCACCGGCAACCATCAGGGCCACAGGGGTCCTTTACGAAGCGAATATGTCAATCATTGTCTATTTTTTGTTCAAGCAGGCTATAACCAAGTCAAATATTGTGATATATTGGTTGATCTTATTTTTAGGGACGTCGACAACATCATGATTATGATAGATTGCATTACCTTGCGTTGACAGAATGGCAGATCGATCACTTTATTACGTAGTTTATGCACAAAGCAAAGAGACAAAAGTAAATCCAGGGAATTCTATGCATCTGTAAGTGGCATATATGTAGGTAGGGCTTGGTTTGTCTTTCTCTCATTGGACTAGACTGGCAACTGGGCTGTGCTATAGTTAACTATTGCGGTATTATCCTCAGGAGTTGAGAGCTGTTCAACAAATAGTGCGTGATAAAGAGTGTCCGTCAAGTACCACAAATCGCATCACTGGGATGATTACCGCATCCGGTAATTGCGGCTAATTCTGACTCTAACCATGTGGATGCCATGTCTCGGTCAACGCCTCTTTGCTATTGATGGTTTCACCCATAGTTGAAGGTCCACGTTAATCCATCCATCCATTTATCCGTACATGTACCTATGGTCTGAGTGTGTACCCTGGCGTTTGCATTTGCTAGGCTCTTCTCTCTCATTGGTACCTTGAAATCCAAAATACTATTCTGTACAGCGACGTTGGTTGGCATCTCAGCCCTAAAGTCAATTCTTCTTCTATCTCCATACAAGTAAATAAGGCGTGTCTAGCGTGCTGTGCAGACGCCAAAAGTCTAAGTGGAATTTGCCGATGTATTTGAAAACCAAGGTCGTACAGTGTATAATCATATCCAAGTTGAGTACCAAAAAGTCCAAAGATCCAAGTGCAGAGATGTACCTCTCTCTAAAATCCATGGAGAGAGGGGCAGCTGAGCCCTCCTCCCAGTTGGGTACTGAGAAAGTCACCCGCAGGGCGCATTGCATACATCTTGATAGTCAATTACAGGGCGTGCGCTCTGTATAAATAGCTGCTAAGGGTACAGAAATAATCACTGCGTAACGTCTACTCTCACGTAAAATAGAAATAGAAATCTATCATCACTATATCCTTGACAAACATGACTAGCCTCTCAGACTTTAGCCTACTCTCATTCGATGTCTACGGCACCCTAATCGACTGGGAAACAGGCGTTCTCGACGCCCTCAAACCCTTGATAGGAGCCCGCAAAGACGAGTTCTATAGGGATCAGCTCTTGAAAGTTTATGCTGAGGCCGAAGCCGCTCAGCAAAATGCCACTCCCGATATGGAATACTCTGAACTTCTAGCAACCATCCACCCCAAGGTTGCAGAGAAACTCTTCCTTCCTGAACCAACTGCAGAACAAAACGAGGCATTTGGCAACTCTGTTGGCTTGTGGCCCGCGTTTCCCGACACTGTCGATGCTCTTCGCCGCCTCAGCAAACATTACAAGCTTGCTGTTCTGTCAAACGTTGACCATGGGTCCTTCTCCAGGAGTAACTCGGGACCTATGCAAGGCGTCCCGTTCGATCTGGTCATTACAGCTCAAGACGTCGGCAGCTACAAGCCCAACTTGCAGAACTTCCAATACCTTCTGCGCGAAGTCAAGGACAGGTTTGGGATTCCAAAGGAGAAGGTGTTGCAGACTGCTCAGAGTCAGTTCCATGATCATCAACCAGCCAAGATTCTGGATATCAAATCGTGCTGGATTGAGAGGCCCGGCGCTTTGATGGGGAACCGTGATTACCCTATTTATGATTGGAAGTTTGCCACGCTTGGGGATATGGCCGATGCGTTGGAAAAGGAACTTGCAAGTAGATGAGTCTTTAGGTATGAATGGTCTCAATTGCGGGATTATCCACAATATCAATGGGTTCGCATAACGATACACATATCCTGTGATGTCCTGTTCCTCCACAACAGTATAATCATTGAGCTTCGATAATTACAATGGTTCCAATCTCCTCTCATTCTCTGTAAATAAACAACTTCGTTTCTCCTACTTCGGTAGCCGAAATCCTTCTTGAGTTGTGATTTCTTGCAAGGCTACCCAATTTTGAAACTGCTTGTATCCATCTTCATCCAGACTTCTAGCACTCCCTTTCCTTCCATGACTTGTTCTTTCGAACGCAACCTTCAAGCTCTCCGCCACATGACTCTTGAACCCGGTAGAAGAAAATCCAGTTGACATCTCTTGCAGTATTTCCACCCCTTTCTCACATGCATCTTTGAGCCTGTCATCCTTATCGTAGGCACAGCTTGCTACCAGAACCAGGACGGCAGTATAGCAAGAACTAAGCTCCATGTATAATGATTTCGAAAGGCTTTTCTCATTGTGAAGCATCTGGCATAGATTGACAATGGCAACAGCACTATCAACACAGCCATCCACCAAATGCGCTTGCAACTTTAACCATGCTACACCCAAAGTGTAACTGACTCCCAGATTCAAATTATCGGTGATGAAATATCGTCCCATCAAAATATGTAATAAGTGATGATTCAGGGCGAGGTGTATGTTGTGTCGAAACAGAGGTTTTCCAGGGGTGAGATCTCGGCAAAAGGTTCTCTCGGCAAGACTTTGCCAGTGGCTGCTAATACATTCTCTGAGATGCACGATATCTCGAAAAGCTCTTTCATGTACCGTTCTGTCGTTGTTTATCAAGCCTGCACTTTGGATGATTAACTCATAAGTTTCAAAAGGGGTGTGGGCAAACTCACACTCCCTCCCAGGCATTCTCCATGAAGATACTGAGTTTCAACATAGCCATGGTATTTTGAAAAGTATTGATTCGTTCTTTGGGCTGTAGTTCTTCCATGTCTACAGGAGAATCAGCATTAATATCTGCTCGGGGAACGGAAACGGGTCGTCCGTGTAAGGCGCTGGTTCTTCTTGGAAACGTCAGCTTGTTTCTCATGATTCCGACAGTCTACATATACCGTTCAAGAGCGTACGCGGTCCACCAAACCCTTTTTCTTACTTCAAACTCCTTTGAGAATACAGCAGATGTCGTATTCATATGCAAATTTAGTTGTGTTGCTAGCTTGATAGCAATTCCAAAATAAGTGTAAGATAGTCCAACCGGGTTGACGGGTAGCATATATAAGCCAAATAGGAGAAAGGCTTGTACGCTCTCTGTCGATTCTACAAGCAGTATATCAGGAATTAGTTTCTTGGCTCTTTGATAAAATATTGAATCAATAGAATCATCCATGCTCTGGCAGATATCACGTGCGTCTCTCATCAGCTCCCTACACGAATCCCGTGTTGTAGATTGATAATGACTCGAAAGCTGCACTCCAAGAGCAAATACCATCAATGCAACTGAGATCCAGGAGGCATCTTCAGGTGATATTTGAGACGAGCATGAATAAAACTGGTCAAGTCGTTGTCGGAGCGACTCTTCATCGATATAGAAGTAGTTTGTCTGGCCGATTTCAAAGAATACCCTCAGCAAGACAAGAGCTGATGAAGCTGCGGGAAACAATGAAACGGCTTCGAGGATTGAGGTTTCTTGTGAGGATAATTGAGGATCGCTTCCTCTTTTGTTGACTGTAATGTCTGTACCTGACACCTGAGTGGTACTGTTAAATTGGCTTCTGGATAAAGAAGTACACACTTACCTTAAATCTGAACTGATTCATTTCGTAATTCGCTTCTCTTTTATTAGATTCCACCATATCGGATAGATAATTCCCTCTTGTCTGGCAAGTCACTTACTAGTCAATGCTTTATCTGCCCTCCTATTTTCATCCTCCTCCCCGTCTTTGTCCATCTTAGGGGGAACTATCAAATTCAAAGAAATGCCACTGATGATACTCTCAAGGGCCAGTCTGTCACATCTCTCAAGCCCCGTATAGTACCTCACAATGTACTCCAGGGCTTGGATACGCTCCGCTTCGAAGTCCATGGAGATGTAATCGGGGAATATAGTGGCCGATGACGCGCTGCCTGATCTGGTTCTGTACTTTCCAGAAACTGAGGCTCTTCCCATTTTGTCACCGAACCGAGGGGGCCGCCTAAGCCTCCTGCATCTAATACAAGGGGTTACACTCATGCACTTCTCCTTGAGACGGCGGCAGTATTTGCACCTAGAGGGGACGAGCTGTAAGCTGCCTATACCGGCACACCGAACTGCCCAAGAGTCACGTACGTTCGACCTATCCTCCTCCACATATTCGATGAAATTATAGAGGTCGACTGGGTCTGCTGTCTTTCCATTGCAAATGCAAACTGTTTCAACTTCGCTGGCACCTCTGTTACATGAACTGGGCTTTGCTCAATTTTAAGCCATGACAAAGCCAAGAGGGGTCCTTCTAGTTTTATGCCGGATTCGATCATCATGATGCGCTGCCTACTAAGTACAGGCAGACACGGCCCGGTGCCGGTTCATGCTCCGGTACCAGCTGTGGGCCTCAATCATATATACTGATGTTAAGATACAAAACTGCTTCTAATTGTATCTTGTGCCACCTCCAGGCCTCCCAATAAGGAAGTCTGGGATGCTGGTGGAAAAAGACTGCCACCGCCGGTAATGAAGCCCAAGTCGCGCGCAAGAATCTTACCAATATTTACCATTTTAGCTGTCTCGGATGCTTTCCCCGGTATCACTCGATATCAGCATCATTACCTGGGTGGCGGCCTCACATAGGTTCGAGATGCAGGCTATTCAATCCAAGGAAAAGGCGTGCCGGTCAACTAAAACGCCGGGCCGGTTGTGAAACCACAGGAAGGTCAAGACGCTGACCGGCCTCGGATTATTTCCCCAAATTGATTGTCTTAAACAGGAAATGAGGAAATGAACTGATGATTGCTGGCTATGGCTGTATCCATAAACACGATATCAATGCGCGACATAACCGGCCTCGCCGAGCGTGACATCAAGTATGGTGTGATAACAACGTCAATATGCATACAAAAAAGAAACCAAGATATCAGAAAAATTGCCCGCTCGAAGCATAAGAGACAATATTATTAGGTCAGCTTATACTACTTGGACTAGATATCTCAAGCTATTTATTTTTATATCCTAAGACTTGGGAGGCTGAGGTCTATAAGCTTCTACTCCTCTCCCTCTCTTTTGTGTAACCATATCCTCTTTCAATAGTCCCATCTGTGCAGGTAATAGGCTCCTTTTCCTTTCCTTTTCCACCCACAACTTTACCCTTCGAATAGGTTAGAGACTCCCTCTAGCCCATCTGGCGTCGACTGACGAGCCACGTTCATACCTGCTCGCGTCGCATTTTGCCCTTCAGGATCGTTCATGAACTGCTGCGCCATCTTGCTTCTGTTGCTTCTCTTGCCCCTGGAGCCCTCAAATCCACTGCTCTTCGGGAGCTTTCCCATCTCCGATACGCTGACACCCTTGAGATCTTTCAAAAGATCCAACACGAGGGCTCGCTGCTGGCGAGTATGAGCACCGGGCTTGGCCATATACGTTGATAGACGCTCAAGACTTGACTCGCTCACATTGGGTAATGAGAGCAGCACATCGCTAGGAGTCGATGTGATGGGACTGTAGTAGACAACAATAGCCGCAATCAATGCGGCCAAGTCCTTTTGGAGTTCCACAAAGTAAGGCTCATGAAACGACGTAATACAGGCCTTCAGCACATCAAGCGAGATGTATTCCCGAATAGCCGACGAAATTGAAGAGGGAATAGGGAACTTATCCGACGCAAGATGTGCTTCCATAGGGCTTTGTGCCACTGACTTGGGCAATTGGCCATCCACGAGATGAAACTCAGGAACCAGCGACACGAACAACCGTAGGATCATACTGCAGCACCTAGTGTCCCGCATTCGAATTCCATGAGCGCAGAATACAAGCAGTGGCTCCACAACCTCATGGTGAGTGAGACAGAACCTGCGAAGGGTTGGATAGTTTTTTGCTTGGTCGGAGTCTGAAGTACCCTCCTCGATCGGTCCATCTGAGCCACCATTAGCATGACCAGTCTGAGAGGTCTCGAGGCATCGTAACTTACTGAGTTTTGTTGGGTCAAGAAAGTCGGCCACCATTAACACCGCGGTGTAGGTCACTTGACGCAGGATACTTTCGGCCTTCATCTCCTCCTTCAGACCCGCTTCACCATCTGCAGCCACTTGCTGTTGACGTTCCATCCTGTCCCATTCGCCGTTGATTTTGGCATCCATCTGCTGGAAGCATGCGGCGAGTACTTGTGGGAGGAAGTGCTCTCGGCAATCAACAGGACAGTCATCAACCAAGTACCTAACCAAATTCAGCAAGTTGCTTTGCTGGTGTGTGGACAACCAGACTGAATCTGCAAAGAGGGCTTTGGAAAGGGGCGCGGAGAGTCCCTGGAAGCCATAAAACTGGCGTTCCAAGCGGCTCATGCAATAGATGATTGCATACGCAGTTTCCCTAACAAAGCGCACCGATCCACGAATAGTTGACGCGAGGCCCTCCATCGTGTTCTTCTTATCCATGACACGTGCGTAAAAGTCATCCTTGCTACCCTCGGAAATTCCAGCTTGCCAGAATCGATCGCTGAGTATTCTATTGACTGTTGATCGCATCTCGCTGGGTAAACCAGTCCAGTTGTCAGGGTTATGGCAAGCGTGTGCAAAGCTCAGGAACTCGAGCAGATCAGCTAAAATGTTGGAGAAGCCATCTTCCCAGAGCGCATACGAAGCCTTGAACGCATCCGAGTTCTTGTCGAGTCTCTCAACTGAAAACGCCAGGAAACTCTTGGTTGATCGAAGTGGGAGAAGTTTGAGGCGTTCTTCGAGCTCGCTTTGAAGAGCGAGTCCTTCAGCATCAAGCTCACGAGTGCCCCAGTCATGGATCTCATGGGCTCGGTGGTTGGCCATGTAAGCCTGGGCCTTGTCCAGACCCAAAAGCTCGCAAAAGCTGCCGTATGACTTCAAAGAGTTTCGAACATTCTCATCTTGCCATTGCGCCTTCACAGGGTCAATGAATTCGCGAAGCTTTTGAATCTTGGCATCTGCACCAACGCCGGTTGCTCGGTGTCTATCAACAGGTTAGCGAATTGCTTGATCATTCAGGGGAAAGAAAGGGCTTACATGATGATGAATAGAAAACTACGATAAGCAATAGAGCGCTTCTCGTCGAGCGATCCGGATGACATCATTTCGTTCACCTTGTTTTCGATTTGGTCGTATACACCCTGTGGGACTGTTAACATATGTCTTTATCGGATATTTAGATTACTTACCAAGAGATGGTCTGGCATCTCTGAAGCCAATCGCTGTAGCTCAACCATACTTTCACCCTGCAGGTCCTTGATGGCATCGTTGAAAGCGCGATACTCGGGCTCAAGTGCCGGCCATGTCAGCAAAATGTGTTCCAAAACCTTGAGCATGAAGGTAGCATTCTTGTTGAGAGCAGTCGTGGAGAAGTAGACAAGGAGCTGCAAAGTTCGCTTCCTGATCATTGGGTCTTCGAATGTCATTTCAAGTATCTTATTACACCACGTCTCCAAATTCGCCTCCATTTCTGGGCCATGTTGCTGATGCTCCTGAGGACGGTGTTTGCGCCACTTGGTATATCCCTTGAGTGTGGCTTCGATAACAGTGAATTGCGCATCGACCCGTAAGACCGGCATGGAATGTTTGAAATAGCTTTGCTTATCCAGAGGAGGCTGATCATCGTAGAGGTGCTGTAATAATTCTTCGGTACGGTTGAGAATGTGCGGGATTGCGTCGACCAGCTTTAGCTGGACAACGGCTTCGATAATTTGGGAGCTATACCGGCGGTAATTGCCCAAGAAAGCGTGGCGCTCGGGAATTGTGTCTGTGTCCTCCATCAGATAGAGGAAAGTAGGATCCTGAGTATCCTCTGGTAGGTTCTCATATCGGACCAGTCTTGAGCTACATGTCTCTAGAAGGGGCGGGATAAAAGGAGAGACATGCTCGCCAGGGCCAATCAGACGGTTACTGAGCAGTCGTGTCCAGGTAACGAGGACCGGAATCGATACCATCAAGCTCTGATGTTGCACGATTTGGACCAAAAGTCCTAGAAACTCGTCCTTGGCGGCTTCAGCGGGTAGCTTAGCGTATTTCCTGTCAAAATAATCACCGAGGCATGAGAGCATCTGTCGAGGCTGGTTAGTATAACGTTGGCGCAATCCGCTCTTCTACATACCTCTGACAACTTCTTGAGTGTCTGATACTTGTCCTCATCAACGTCCTCGGGATCCACAGCAGACCATTCGAAGAGTCGCCTGCACAGGTTAATTGATTCGTGACTGTACATTGGGGCTACTAGCTCCCGAAATTCGTCATCGTTGAAATTGGTTCTGCAATAGAGAGCATGGAGGGCTTCCAGCGCAGCCTAGAAATGGTTAGTTAGAACTTGGTCATTCGTATGAAAAGTTGACCTCCTGGGTCTCGGGGTACAAAAAGAAACAGCCTAAGAAGTCTAGTCTAAGTAGCATGAGCTGACCAACTCATTTCGTCCTTTATGCTTCCAGCGGCCAACTTTTCTGATACCCTGAGGTCGGTGTACGTTACCTTTTGGATGGAGGCATGCGACGAGGCAAGACCAGCGCACAAAACTTCGACACAGCGTGCAGAAGAGACTGCTTTCGGGATTGCCCATGGCATGAGCGAGAGGAACACAGACAAACCCTTGTGTATGCATAGCTTGACTTCATCGTTATCGCTGTGCGCTGCGTTCAGGCAGTAGCTCAAGAATTGGGACAGACGGCTCAGCCAACCGTCATCGCCATACCGCACAGGTGGGCCGGGTTGTCGATTGGGAAAGGCCTCGACCAGCACCGAGGTAGGAGTGAAGATCTCAACGCACGCCTTGCTCAGGACACCTTCCCGCATGGCCACGACCGAGTCGTCTCCGGTAAAGACCTCGTCGGAAAGGTTCTCGAGGATAAACATGACAAGCTCCTTGTGAACAGCTGAGTCAGGAACCTCCCATAACTGGTACAGCATAGAGTCCATATCCATCCATTCTGCGCCCCAGCATCTCTTGGCAACCTCAACCCAAAGTTGAGCTGTCTTGTTCCGTATATAAGCCGGGTCTTCTTTCGCGACGGTCTGGCCGAGACTCAAGACCCATTGCCGCACAGCTTCCGTCTGTTCTGTGGTGTAGGTGGACCACCGGTATCGGATCGCATGCTCGAGCAAAGAGAGAGCGTAGTGTCGGACGACGGGGGATTGCGACTTGTCGGAGGCGAGGTTGAAGCCTTGCATTGGCGCTTCATTGTGGTCTTTGACTTCCTCCAGATAATCTTGGGCTGTTCTACGATCGCCGCTGGTCGCGTACGGGTTATGAACGATCTCGAGCGCCTGCTGCATTCTGGCAACGACGTCCGAGTCACCGCCAGACGACATCAGGCTGCCGTTGGCTTCCATGTCTCGATAGGGAACAATAGTTGGGAAGATCTATTCGACAGTTCGTTTCGTCGCTTGCTGTTTACTGTTATGTTGACACAGGGCCTGAGCGATGGTTCGTTTGCGACGAGGAGCAAAATGGGAGGTGAAGTGACTGTGGTTTTAATATGTAGTTTGATAAGAGGAACAAAGCTTTGGGCTACAAAAATAAGCAACCTAAGAAGTCTGATCCAAGTAGTTTAAAGTGACCTACTAATTCCGTCTTTTATGCTCCCAGGGGCGAGCTAACGGTACAGAGAGGTATGTATAGTAGTAGAGAGGTAGGTAGGTAAAGTGTTGGGCTAAAATTGAGAGCTCTCAGGCTGAGGAAAGAGCCGAAAGAGTAGGTCAAGTTAAGATCCAGTGAGCTGGAGAACGGGCCTACTAGTGCCTACTAAGTGGGTAACAGAAGAGTTGACCTTTTAGCTTTAGTGCACAAAATAAATAGCCTAGGTAAAAAGTCCTTTTCAAACAGCACACACTGATCTACTAATTTTGTCCCTCATGCACCTAACGACCCTGAGGCAGACCTATCTGGACCCTCCATTGGTGGCGGGGCTGTGAAACAATTCATCTCGCAGCGCATTAACAGCTGACAAAGAAGAGCTCTATTAGAAGCTTTTGTAGATGAATAGGAGACATGAAAGGGGTAAATAAAGCTGCATCTGTCTTAATCTACCCTGACACCTGTCTTTATCTTCTCTCCTCTCTCAGGCATTGATATACTTTCATTTCTTCCAGCTCTCGCCTTGCTAATGCTTGTTTATTTCTTCACCCTGTAGCTAAAGATACCCCATGCACGTGTTCAGTGGCACCTACAGATAGATGGGTCGTCAATGGATCACTTATTGTTGGGGTCCTTTGTTCCTACAGTAGGCGCCTTTTAGATCCTGGGCGTCTTGCAGGGGGGCAAATCTCCAAACAAGCTGCAAGGCTGAGAGATGGATACAATAGAAGAGTAACGCAGCTCTAGTTGCAGATGTAGATATGTATGCTTTCACTCAAGCCCACATCACTGTCCATGAGGGGTTGAGGATCGTCATGCCACAGTCCTATTTCGTTTACCAGCCTTAGTTTACGATACGAGCATGGATAGAGATTTGGAATTTAAATACGAAATTACAATTGGTTAACAAGTGTTTGTTCGTTGAAAGTACAAAGAACTTTCCATCTTCTAGACTATTCTACAAACAAAAGCCAAATTATGGCTCATACTTCCAAAAACAAAGCAGCTTATCATAGAAGCTAGTCGACACACACCACAAGGTCTCTCCCGCTTGATCACCCCTCACAAAATCACTTGCATAGTTCATGCTCTTGTGCTCTTCAAATCTTGCCAGGACCTTGCACGACCAGTCTTGTTCTTGCTTAACCTTTAGTTCGATAAACCTTGCACCAGCGTGCATGCATGAAGCAAGGATTCTGATCTTAGTTGAGTCTGTATCTTTTTGAATCTTGACAAGATCCAAACGCCAAACGCCTCCTCCCACGTTCTCTTCAAGTACCAGCTCGACCTTTTTCATGCCATACGTCTCGTGCAGGTCGTTTATAATGAAAACTCGCAGATGATCATCGTAACTGCCTGTCACAACAACTCTTCCATTGTTCTTGGTGAGTAAAAAGAGCGGGAGAACTGCTGTGACTCCTGCGTTGTGTGTTCCTTTGATAGTGATGGGCGAATAGGGCTCTTCACAAGGCGAATCAGAGTCATTGGGATACCAGACAGAGGATGTATAGCGGAGCAATGAGTCATCTCCGCCGCAATAAGCTGTAACTTGTGCCTTTTCGTCAGTTGAAGCAGGTGTTCCTGAAGAAAAGGCAATACACCAAGCCTCGAGCGAATTGGCAATGTTCAGCTCTGTGTAGTCTTTGATACAGTACCCCTCGTCCAAGTGCAAAAGTCGCGCAGAGCTCGTCGATGTTGTTACACCAATTACATTGGAAATCCCAGGGTGCCAGTTGCATTGCAGGAACAAAACATCCTCTCCAATGTCTTCACATCGACTTGTTGAGATGTGCTGTAGGGGTGCTGAAGAGTTCTGTGCAGGGTCCAGCTTGAACACAGCTAGTGTCCCAGTACTAGATGCCACTGCCAGGATATCTTGTTTGTCTTTGAATGGGTGAAAGCGAAGATCCAAAATTGCTGACGGTTGTGAAACGGTCTGAACTAGATGGCTATGCAATTGTCAACTTCGATGAGGAATTGTGCATGACAAAGAAACTCACAGCTTAGTACCATCGACCTCGAAAACCAGCAAACTGCCATTACGGCTTTGCGATGTCTTGGTCGCAGTTACGCGCTCATCACCGTCGTCATCTTTGTTGCCCTCCTGAACATTATCTTCGTTCTTTTCAAGGTTGTACGTTCCCACTACAAACAATTTTGGGTACGCAGGGCAAAACTGAATGCAGCTGGGAGGTAAGCCCAAGGTTAAGGACACCTCTGAAGATATGATCTTTGCATCATCCATCGAACGTTTGTTTCGGGGCTAATGAAGATAGATGCTGGGTTTAGGAAGATCAATGCAAACAAAACGTCGAGATAGAAATGGGGTTCTCATGGCGGGGGCCCCTCTCCAACTGCAAAATGGGTTGAGGCTCATTGGGGCAATATCACCACTCAACTCAATGTTACTACTTGGACTACCGACCTAGGTCAACAGAAACTGACGAGCCTAAACAACAAAACGCCATGCTCCATCACTTTCAAACCCAGTGCATTTTTGTTTTCTTTCATGGAAAGCAGCCAATTAATTGATTTTGATTGCAGGGTTATGAGTTGCTGCAGGGTATTGAAAGCTTAACTGCCGGGCTAGCGCTTCATCGACGCGAACTTGCTTTTGCGACTCCATCTCCTGACCTGGGGTAGGTAAAAGCAGACTGTAGACGATTTGTCTTCTTACGTCAACACGCGCTTCACTTGTTTCTTTCTTATCTTTGACGGATACGCCGGATCAAGGGGACATTACAGTTCTTTCAAACACAAATCCTTTTTAATTTTTGACATTCGCTCTCCAGTTTGTGTTCTTGCCCACAAACACCAAACTCAATTCCACCATCGTCATCGCACAGTAACATCGTTCCTCCACCTCTGGTTGATATTTCATATATCAACACCATGGATCACTCCGATGATTCTGACTTTTACGGTATTACCCAAATTCCGTCGATTTATTATTCACTGACTCGTCAACGCAGGGGGCGACGAGACCGTTATGGACCTCCACCGTCGTGTACAAGATTTCGATGTGCAAGGCTGGATGCTGCAGCAGCAGCAAAGTCCTGGAAGACCAGTTCCTCGCAAAAACATTCATGCAGACACATCCCATCTCCACAATCCTTACGCCGGGGTGCATTATGCGTGGCAGCTCACCGAGACTGTAGACGAATTTCTCACACGTATGCCACCCAAGACAACGGACATCACAGAGGACACGCCCTGGATCTACATATGCAACCCGTATATCTCCCGTGTGGAGAAATCCTTGGCCCAGAATCAGCACAGCAAGGGCAACGAAGATGAAGCCCCCGAAGAAGAAGGCAGCAAAACTGAGCTTGTCGTGGAAGGCGGCCTTGAGAGATTGGAGCTTCTGTCCAAATTCATCGAGGGCGTTCAAAGAAGCAGAAAAGTCTCTGCAGCGCAGGAGAGAGAGATCAATGCGGAGAGAAAGAAAGCTTCGGGTGATATACTACACTTGGCACATGTTGCTAGAGTCAGAGCTGGCAAGGTATGAATGGAGAGAAGCCCGTCATATCAGCCGACTAATATCATTAGTGGATGCTATTTTGCCCGCCAGCAGAGGTCAACGATGTGTGGGATATTGTCGCAAAAGCAACAGCCAACAACGAGCTTGGCATCGCAGCAAAAGTTGCTCCTCGACCAGTCGACGAGGATTCTCGCAAAGATCGACTCATTTGCGTGTACACGGCCGACTTCGCAGACAAGGCCGACGTGGGAAGAGTCCTTCAGAGGTTGCGAGAGCTCCGATTGGTAGAGATTCGCGGAAGACCAATCTACTATAAGCCAGGTGAGTCATGTTTTTGATGTGCTTATGCTGCCGTAAAAGCAAGACTGACACAAATCGATAGATGCATATACGTACATTGGAATGTCTTCCGGGAATCCCTGGGGTCTGAAAGCGTCGATCTATAAATCATCTGACATCTTTCAAACCTGACAACACACAACAAATGACTCATCCAAGTACAGAGAGGAGAACAAGAGGTAACAGCCAATAGATACCTCAGGGTTTGAGTGATGGGGTGTGAGAAAAGCAAAGGACAAATCGTATCATCGTAAACATCATACCTGATAAACCAAACTCCAGCTGTTCAATAATAGACATGAGAATAATTCCACATAGCGCTCAATGCTGTCGCTGACCGCGGCCCACGGTATTCAAACATTTCCACCACCGAATTTCCATGATTCGACTCCGTGAAAACAAGAACACCCAAGCAGAACTAAGTTAGACATCAATAATATGAAGGTCATTTGGTCCAGCGTTGAGGTCAATGTATTTGAGAGGCAGAACAAGCCGATATGCGCTGTTCCCATTAAGGTAGTAGCGGTGCAGTTTCTTAGTGCGCAGAAAACCAAGCTGTTCGTATAGTCGCATGGCGGCAACGTTTGTCTCCTCAGTCTCAAGGACAATCTCATCGGCATTGCGTTTTGTCATGGCGTCAATGGCCTTTTTAACAAGGGTTGTAGCAATGCCATGACCACGGAAGTCGGAGGCAACAGCCAACATAGCGATATAGCCTCTGCGAGTGGGATTGGAGTGTGAGGCATGGACTTCCAGCTTGCACACAATAACACCAATGAGGGACGAGTCGACTGGGTGTAGTGCCTAGATAACTGTTGTTAGATAGCTGAGGTTTGACATGAAGAAGAGATCAGTCTGACCATGAAGCAGAGATGTGCCCACTGGCATAGAAAGTAACGGTACACATATATGCTGTAAGGCTCACTCAGGTCCTTTGAGATCAAGGCCCGGATCGCGGGTAAATATTGAGCTTCGAGGGCATGTTCGTATTGGACGTAGCGTAATTCGCCAGGGAGATTCTCGGGTTTGGTAGTGGCCATGGGATTGTAAGGGTTCTTTTCTCGAAGTGGATTGAGGTACTCAGACGTAGTGTCCGAGTTTAGTACTGATTTTTGTGACAAAAAAGATTGAGTTTGGGATGATGTTTGAGTGGAATAAGATCTTAGATATAGATGTTGGAGGTTCAAAACCGGATGTCGACTTTTTGATACCTTAAAGAGGGGCAGGTGGAAATGGAGTTCAGCCCGGTATCGGTGAGTCGAGGGATTGAGGAAAGGAATTGAGGGGTGATTTGTGTTATAGGTGTTTGTTGTTAATGGAGAGATGGAAGAAGATGTCGGTTGAGGTCAGATCGGCAAGAGTCACCTATAAAAAGCCAATAAAAGAAGGTGGGAAGATCTTGAGATTGAATTTAGGCGTCGTCGTTTTGGGGGGTGAAGTGGCAACATCCTACGGATAGCTAGCGGTCCAATGCAAGCGGCAGGCCACGAGGGCAAGGCTTGCAGGGCAGTTGGTCTGGTGGATGGACGGGCAAGTTGGCAGGGGGGTAGTGGAGGGGCTCTGCCCGCCTCGCTACCTACAGCTGCAGTCTGCAGAGCCAGGCTATTTTAGAGCTTTTTACTCTAGGTTTATGTAGAGGGGGAGGCGGGGTAATTACTGCACTCTATTTGTGCACTCAAGTCGAGACCAAAGACTCGCACGATTATCTTTGTGGGTGGGCTAGGTTTCATTGCTTCAAGATCCATGATCCGATATAAGCGCTGCACTAATAGCAGGGTATGTTGGTCTGGATTTTTTCCAACTCCATAGGCATCTTTACATATTAGATACCTACCTGTAGGATTCATATGCGTGAGCATGTGACGTTCTACAACTAACTCCAAGATACACTCACCCAAGTGGCATTAAGCAATGATTCGCTCTGACTCGTCTAAAAGCCTTCAGTTCCTTTGCTCTCGCATAATCCCGTCGGTAGTTTAACCCCCTTGCAGTACCGGCCTTATCTTGGCTTTGACGCCAGGTTCCTGCCTATCAGGAACCACCGGCATGTCCTTTCGATCCGATGCCCGAACTCCCTCCCTTCAGGTCCCAAGACGTACTTATTTTCATGTGATATTTGGTCGCAACTATCAAACATGGCGCAACTGTTTAATCTATGCAGTAGCCCTCGGACTAAACATCAACCCCCTTCCACCCATTAGACAACATATATAATACATGTGTACGTAGATAAATGCCGCCAATAAATGAGACACTTCAGGATCGAGACCCCGGTTTTTGTTTTAGAGCACGCGCCAACTCTTTATGGGCGTCATAGCTACGTACAGTACAAGAATTCTTAAACACCAACCTTTCCTCTACCTAACAAGTCTGGTCGAGGTTCTTTTTTCCCCTCCCCAACCAGAGACTGAACCATACAGCGCCTCCGAGAGGCCTGCTTTTCAGTCGACACCATGGGAAAGTCCGCTCTGCGACGCCGGAATGTCCAAGATGTGACAAATAACGACAGCGCCGATGCTGGTGACACTTCGAGAGAAGAGAGCCCAGCGGCTGAGCCGACCACACACGTTCGAGTTGTTCAACATGCCGTGCCCAGGACCCGAAAACGCCGCAATACATTCGTCTTCTTCCTTGGTAGTTTGTTTGGAATTATAGCCGCCGGATTTTTCGCTTCCAGCAATGATCTTATCGACCTCCCCGAGTTCACCGACTTGTCCATGGACAACTTGATGGATGCTCTGCCTGCTGGCTTGGTAAAGGATATGCGCGATCTTGTCCAGGGTGAGCGGGACATTGCCGAATCGTACGAGCCATTCTCTGTTGGCGAAAAGGCTCGATCCGAGGGTCTAGGAGTTCACCATCCTATGATCATGATACCTGGTGTCATCTCAACGGGACTTGAGTCATGGGGTACGGCTAATATCTCGAAACCCTACTTCAGAAAGCGACTTTGGGGCAGTTGGACAATGATGAAAGCCTTGGTCATGGACAAGGAAGTTTGGAAAAAGCATGTCATGCTCGACAAGAGGACAGGCCTCGATCCACCCAACGTAAAGCTGAGGGCCGCCCAAGGTTTCGATGCTACCGATTTCTTCATCACGGGATATTGGATCTGGAGTAAAATCTTCGAGAATCTCGCATCCATCGGTTACGACCCAACAAACTCGTTCACGGCCGCTTACGATTGGCGCTTGTCCTATCCCAACCTTGAGGTACGGGACCACTACTTTACTCGGCTAAAATCGCATATCGAAGTTGCGGTGGCCACTGAGGATAAGAAAGTTGTTCTCGCATCTCACAGCATGGGGAGCCAGGTCCTTTACTATTTTTTCCATTGGGTGCAATCAGAAAGAGGTGGGCGCGGTGGACCAGACTGGGTTGAGCGTCACGTTGAGGCCTGGATCAACATCAGTGGATGCATGCTC